CGCGACGGTCTCTCGGCCATCTACATCTTTCTTCATGATCCCATCCTGGTAGACCCCGATTGTGGCCAACACGTCTAGCGTATTCTTATCGCAGGGCTCAATACCGTCGAACACCAAGCAGACTACAATCTTCTGCCACGCGGGGCCTCCTTTATTCCAAAACTCGGACTTTTTCAATGTAACAATATCCCGGATATTCTGCATTACTCCGTGCAGAGTACGCGCAGTTAAGACCTTATCCTCATTATAATAAGTAACCGCAATGAGTAACTCGGTATGCCGATTATAGATCGCCGGCCGAAGATTGTATCCATTGCGCAGGGTAAAGTCATCGGGGTCACACGTTGCCGCCGTATCTAATCAAGATCGTCAATCAGCTGAACCACAATTTCCAAGGTAAAGTAACCCACATCGCAAATGTGTGAATTCCTCCGGGAAGGCCTCCTCGGCATCCCGATACTCCGGCTGGATCGCGTTCTGAATCGCGCTTGGAACCGGATAGTCGACACTCAGCACCGCTCCCTTCACCAGATTAATCTTCCTCGTCCCGTACCGCTCCAGCCCTGTGCGATTTTTCCTTTCGGTCAACTGAACCGGCTCGTATTCCGGGACCCCGCCGATTGATGGACCGGGATCATGCAGCGTATATCGCTTCTGTGAATCTGATTTGGCGACGGAATCGGCAAATGGCGAGCTGTAACGGCTGGAGCTGTTCCGCTGCAGGAGCGATGCCGCTTGCTCATCCCATGCTTCCGGGTAGTGTTGCTGGTGTTGTTAGAATCTGGCGGAAATAGCTCCGGCGATACTCACCTCCTGGTAGGGGGAACAGTGGCTGCTCTCGCTGCTCTCCGATGTGTTGCCTGAAATGCCGGGGCGCCTACTATCCATCTTGGTGTCTGAGGGAGAAGCGCTGGGTAGACCAAACTCAGTTTAAAAGGTAAGGACAAGCTTAGCTATAAAGAAAAAGACGAGGAAATTAACCAGACCCGATGGGAAATGATGGCAGAAAACCACGATGTGCAACGGTAGCCTAGCTGTGGTTCGTCTCGGTACTTCGAGTGTGGACCTGATAACTACACAAGATCTAAAAATAATATCGTTTAGGATAACTGTGGTCTCTAAAAGCCTCGTAGGTCAGTGCTAGAGCTGCAGCTGCGGGACCAGCGCCTCCTTGCAACAGCTTCTGGAGCAGTTGAATATATCTATATGACAATTGAGACTATTCATCTACCCTAATTTAGGAAACAGCATCGTACAAATCTGTATCAGTTCAACAGAGACCTAGTACGCAACCGACACCTATTTTGAGATACTATCAGCACGAAATCTAAGACACAGCGCCAGCCTCTTGCGCCATTCATTGGATCCAATGAGAAATCTTAGCTGCATATGAAGCTGGTGACGAATTCCTAGACAATAATTTTAGCCATGGAGGAAAACGCGGGCTGGTGTACGGGAGCCAAGTGGGTCCAGAGAATGCCACGAACACGCAATGGCAAAGTATTTTTCCAGAAAACTCGAACACCGTGGAGACATCCCATCGCTAGTAGTTTTTCCAAGACGTTAATCAACCGTGATCTTTTAGTGGGAGACCTTATTTGTTGAAGGGCGTTGGAGGTCAAGGTGGATCGAGCAATGCTGTAAAGAAAAATGGTATTGGCTGCCAAATCAATTAAGGTCAATGCTGGTGATAAACTTTGGCATTTTGGTTGTCAGAATTGATAGAGCAGGGGGGAAAAAGTTCTAACAATAAAATTTATAACAATACTCATGTATCTGTCAGCATTTCAAATTAGATCTGTGATTGTTGGATATGCAATAGTTACTCGACTACTAAAATGCTACGTATAAAGCAGTTTTTCTTGACAAGCTCAGTCTTTCTACGGTTCATACCACTAGACAAGACTCAAACACTTGACAGGAGGAAATCATTACAGTAAAGCCGGAAGGGACTGGGTTCTGGTTTGAGTGAGCGTGCTATGCGCTGGAGCATGCACTGCGCGATGTATTTCTCCTTCCACTCGTTCTTCTCAAGCAGAGTGCTGTAGAGCTGGTAACGCAGATGGCAGAGCTGTTGAGTGACTATGTCTGTAAAGTTTTCGGACGCGTTGGCGAAGCTCTTGCTGGGCAACGGGCTGTGAGTAATATTGTCGGCTTGGGATAAATCATATATGCTCGCAGTGACGGCTCTTTTGGATACGCTCCACTTCCGGTCCGAGTTCTGCACAAAGGCTCCGATATATGAAAATGTTTATTTAGAGAGCTTGAGCAACATACCGCGGAGAAGCTGGTTGTCGGATTGAGACTTTAATTGCGATGTGACTAGGTCAGTGCTGACTCGTTAGTCGCAACGCCAATGCAGGTAGCTGTTGTAAAAGTGCTTGGAGCCAGGCAGCAAGGTGCTCCTGACTTTCTTTATTACCAGGATAGATCCAATCCATTATTGTGAACCACGGGTTAGTGATTTCAGTGGTAAGGATAGAAGTAAGAGAAGGTACAACTGGAAACGGCCCATAGAACATGAACAACCATCCTATAGTGAATCCAGCCTTCGGGCACAAAAATACCTTATCTACAATGGTTTATCCATCTTACTGCATAAGGACTATACTCGGTGTTTAGACACCATTTTGTACGCTATGTGCCAGCTAATTTAGGGTTATTTATATACCACACATGCATATTCGAGCACCAATGTCTCTCTCCATACCTTACCTGAAGCTGGATCAGAAAACCGTATAATCACTCTATTGACAATATAAGTAAACTACAATATAACCTAATCTAAATAAGGCGTGATGAGCCTAGGCGGCATTTACACAGAAGATGCGTCGAGGTCCCCTCATTGTGGGGAGATTTATCCATCGTGGGGATTTTGTTCGCCACAATATCTCCGGCACTGCCCCGGTCACTAAATCCAAAAATAAAGGGACACTTTCGGGATTCGGGATTTTCGGGATAAGTCCATGGCTGCCTTTCTTGAGACAGTATCATAAGTCCGACCTGAAGTCACTTATCAGGAAGCCAGGCGAACTCGGACTTAGATGCCGGTGTGGGTTTTATCAAGGCAATTATGCCGGGCCGTCGCTTACCCACAGCTGCGAATGATAGGTATACTGCTACGAATGGCAAAGCGGAGTATGAAAATAGACTAGATATTGAACCATTGCATCGGCAAGGCAACGATTTATATCCTCAATTCATGAATCGGATGTGAATGTTAGTTACTGCAGCCATCCGCCCAGACTGATTACGAGCCCGCAACAAAGATTACCCCAGACATTTAAGCGAAGTGGGTAGAGGCCTACGAATCATGCCATGGCATTCACCTGCCTCATACCTGTCTAAGATACGATGTATGCGGACTGATGTCGGTCCCTGTGCTTTCGTGCCTCTTGTGAGCGCAGCATTCTATTCATAGTTTTCTAGTTTCAGAATTGACTATCACTTGGGCCCGAGTATATAAATAGAAAATCAAAACTATATCCTGAGTCCTCAATGAATATTATTAGAAGACGATCTCTCCCAGCGTTCCATCGCTCATTATCCTATCAACCAAACACAACACCACCTCTCATCAAATCCACTTTATAATAACTTCATTCAAAATGTCTACCATAACAACCACCGCCGGCGCTGCAGAAACATCATCGTGTCACGCAAAGCTCTACGAGATCCCAACCAGCGATGCTGCATGCGCCATGCCCATGAACAGCACCTACCACACCCTAATGACGAACTGCTGCGGCTCCGCCAGCGTTATCTCCTACTCGGACTGCGACTATTACTGTCTCGCGCAGAACCAGACCGTTGGCGACCTTGCGGAGTGTCTGATTAAGGGCTCTGCGGCGGAACAGGTGTGGTGCAATACAAATGCGAATGCAACGGCTACGGCTACGGGAACTGCGACTGCGACTGCAAGTGCAACGGAGGATGAGAATTCTGACCCGACTGGATCGAACGGGGCGATTGCTACGCATTTGGATATCAAGTATGTGTTGATGCTGGCGCTTGTCGCGTTTGGTGGAATTGAGCAGCCTTTTGTTTGAGGTTTATAAGGGTGGAGGTCATAGGCTATGGCCTGGAACATGGTTTTGCGCTGAGCCCTCAATGTTGAAATATTCTACGAATACAGCCAGAACGGCGATAAAGGTGAACGAAAGGTTATAGCTCACACATTTAAGATGGACAGGAGCATCCAGCGTCCTTCCCTCTTGCACTTTCTTCAAGCTTTTGATAATCGTTAACACAGTATTGCTAGTTGAAAGCATTACTGCCTAAACCAGTTATAGTGGAATTGCTTTGAATCTTTATGTAGTATATACTTGCTCTTTCAGTTTGATTTGTTAGTTGAGTGGTATATATACCAACATTTGGTACTCACAGCTTCAGTGCTTGGTATGGACAATAACTTTCTTAACCGATAATATGTAAGATTCAAACCCGGTGTAGCAGGGGCTGGAGGGTCAATTAAAACTACGTGGTCTGGAAGACCGATACTGGCATGGGTATCTGCCCAAGCTACCCAGTCATAGCCTCATGGCCAATGAACAACCCGGCGCCCTGGAAGCGCTGCGCTATCGGAATTGTGTTCAGCATCTGCATGGGCGATACCTGCGGCATTATCGGTACCTACATGTATCTTGGTGTGGAGGCCCCGACCTATCCTAAAAAATAGAAAGATTATCTTTGGCCCTAATTATATATTATCTGGTAGAACAACAATAAGGTGATTTAAGTACATACAGAGAACAGCTTCGATGGAGGAACCTGTATTACTGGCTATTGATATATATTGATTGTTCGTATACACTAAATGTCGTGTCGATCCGCAAGGCTGAGCGTAGGGCAGATCTCTGCTCCGCTTTTTAGGCCCCCTTCGTAGGGTCCTTTATTGAGCCAGAACTTGTTCTTTCGTGATTTTACCCTACAGCCCGAAAGGTCCATGAACATAGATCATAATTCAAGTCACCCCAACTTCGACAGAGTCATTTGTCGAGATGGTCAACTCCAACGAGTATACCGTCGGCTGGATCTGCGCAATCGCTACCGAATTTGTCGCTGCCCAAGCATTTCTCGACGAAAAGCATGAAAACCCCGCATATTTGTCCCCACAAGATAAGAATGACTACATATTAGGCCGAATCGCGAACCATAACGTGGTGATCGCTGTATTACCAGTCGGCGAATATGGCACCTCCTCGGCTGCACGGGTAGCAGAAACCATGCTGCACAGTTTTCCTAACGTGCGAATCGGCCTGATAGTCGGCATCGGTGGGGGTGCGCCAAGTGTAGACCATGATATTCGGCTTGGGGATATTGTCGTCAGTACCCCCTCGAATAGCCACGGGGGTGTATTTCAGTATGACTATGGCAAGACCATCCAAGGTGAAACATTTTGTCCGACAGGCTACCTCAACCAGCCGCCTGCACTTCTGCGTGCAGCTGTAAATGGGCTCCAGGCGCTGTATGAGATCGAGGGTCATCATTTAGAGGACGATATTAATCAAGCCCTGGAAAGAAACCCAAGATTGCGAGGGAAATACAGTCGACCAGGTGCAGCCAGTGATAGGCTGTACAAAAGTCATATTGTTCATCCTCCAAATGGAAAGACTAATTGTACCATACGTTGCGGGGATGATAGCTCTGCCCTCGTACTGCGGGACCCTCGTACGGACGATCAAGATAACCCGATGATTCACTATGGGCTGATAGCCTCCGCGAATCAGTTGATGAAAAATGCCTATGTCAGAGATAAACTGGTTTTGGAAAAGGACGTTCTATGTTTTGAGATGGAGGCGGCGGGGCTGATGAATCACTTTCCCTGCCTAGTCATTCGTGGCATCTGTGACTATTCCGACTCCCATAAGAATAAGGCATGGCAAGGCTATGCGGCAATGGCAGCGGCTGCCTATACGAAAGACCTATTACACCGGATCTCTGCTCAACATGTGCAGGAAGAGCAAAAGATCACGGAGATACTTTCTACTGGTTAGGTTGATAATCCCTTTATACTGGTCATCCATACTGATTATCCCTCAGTGAAAGCGATTCATGAGACAACGCAAGAGATCGATCGCGGGGTCAAAAGACTACGCCAGCTCGGTGATGACCACGAGTATCAGCGTATTATTGATTGGCTTACACCGGTGAACTATACTCTCCAACAGAATGATTTCATCACCCGGCGGCAAGAAGGAACCGGGCAGTGGTTTCTGAATTCAACTGAATTCAAGCAATGGCTTAGCCAAAGCAAACAAACCCTATTCTGTCCCGGTATGCCCGGAGCAGGTAAAACCATGATCACCGCAACGACCATCGATCATCTTTACCGCGAGTTCCGGAATCAACCTATGACTGCTATCACATACATCTATTGCAATTTCCGACAGCAGCACGAGCAGCGATACACCGACCTTCTTCTAAGCCTGTTGAAGCAGCTAGTGCAAGGACAGCCTTTTATCCCCAATGCTGTGAGAGTGCTTTATGATGAATGCAAGCGAAGAGAAAGCGGACCCACCCACGAAGGAATTTTAAGTACCCTGTATAGTGTCACTGCGTCTTACTCGAGAATCTTCATCATCATCGATGCACTGGACGAATGTCAAGTCTCTAATCAAGATCGTGAAAGATTTCTCCAGATAGTCTTCGGTATCCAGGAAAGAGCGAAGGCGAACATTCTTGTAACTTCGCGTTTTGTGCATGAGATTGAAACAAGATTTAAGGGAAGCCTCAGGCTGGAGATCCGTGCTAGCAACATAGATGTGCAGCGATATCTCGAACAGCGGCTACAAAGCTTTCCATCTTTTGTTTTAAATAATTCTACTCTGCAGAGAGAAATTAAGATCAAGCTTGCTCGCGCGGTAGATGGAATGTCTGTACCGCCCAATATTAACCATTCCCTTGCATCGGCTGACATAGACTAGGTTTCTTCTTGCAAAGCTGTATGTTGACTCATTGGTCTATAAAACAACGCCTAAAGCTATAAGAGGTGTGCTTGCAGAGCTTGAGGTTACATCCCGCGAAGGGTTAGAGGACGGCCAGAAGTCCAAGGTTCTTGACCATGCATATAAGCAAGCCATGGAGCGGATTCGAGCCCAAGCACCAGAGCACCAGGATCTTGCCAATCGAGTTTTAACCTGGATTGCCTGTGCTACAAGGAGCCTTACATTATCAGAGCTACAGCACGCACTTGCTGTTGAATTCAACGCGCCAGAGCTTGATAAAGACAACATGCCAGATATTGGACAGGCTGTCTCTGTATGTGCGGGCTTGGTTGTAGTAGACGAGAAGAGTGACTTAATACGGCTTGTCCACTATACAACACAAGAGTATTTTGAACGCACGTACAAAGAGTGGTTGCTTCAGGGGCATATTGAAATTACAAAGGCTTGCCTCACCTACTTGTCATTCAGAGGTTTCGATGATGACCACTTGTCGACATCAATGTGCCTGGCCATGAGAATATGGTCAAATCCTCTTTATGGCTATGCTGCATTGAACTGGGGATACCATGCTAGAGAGGCTTGCATGGAAGAGGACAAGGTTGTCTTAAACTTCTTCCATAACACTGCCAAACTATCCGTCTGTGGTCAAATTATGGCATATCGCCACTTAGGCAGTGGCTTGGGGAATTCAGATATGGAAAGCATGCACCTTACAGCGTGCCTAGGGTTAGCAAATTCCATGTCAATTCTGCTAAAAGAATTACATGACGCTGATTCAAGAGACTCCCTTTACATGACTCCACTTCTGTGGGCCGCCATGCAGGGTCACGAACCAGCTGTAAAGCTACTTCTCGAGAATGATGCAAACGTCAACTCATCAGATGCATGGGGCATGACCCCACTGTCCCGGGCTGCCAACAGGGGCCATGAGGCTGTGATTAAGCTTCTTTTGGAATGGAATGCTGATACTGAGAAAAAGACTCGTAAGGGTTACACACCCCTTATAATGGCTGCTGAGGGCGGCCACGAGGCGGCGGTACGAGCTTTCCTAGGTCAAAATGCTAGTCTTGAAACAGAAAATAACTTTGGTTCTACTGCGCTGCTATTAGCTGTCCAAAATGGACATGAGGCGGTTGCCAGTTTCCTGTTAGAGAAAGGCGCCAATACTGAAATCAAGGGGTATCTTGACAGAACTCCACTGCTAATAGTCGTGGAAGATCGCAACAGTGTTATGGTAAGACTGCTGCTGGATAATAATCCCAATATAGAGGCAAGGGATTCGGAAGGCCTGTCCGCGCTCTCATTAGCCGCTTGGGGTGGCGACGAGGCGATGGTGAGGCGTCTGCTGGAATGCCAATATAAATTCGAAATCGGATAAGGGCATTGCTGCGCCCTATCTGGCAGCTCACAGTGATCATAAAGCCGTAGCCGATCTTCTTGCAGACGCAGGAGCATTATAGGCTTATGATTGGATGCAATAATAATATGGGACAATACGGTTATAATTCAATTTTATCTGCGCCACCAAGCATACCCTACTATTCCAAGAGCAGTTACAGCCAGCGCTCCAACCTTCAAGACAGCTAGTTGAATCCTGGGCTTCAGGTAATTTTCTATCAGAATTCGAAATTTCTCTGGCTCATTTCCGCGTGGATATTTTTCATCAGGAATTGGCAGGTCCAAAAATGGACAGATCTGCTCCCATCCGAGACCCTCCTCGAGTTTAATCAACAATGTCCGGTCCTTCGGGAGCGTGCTTTTCGCAAATTTGATACTACAGCTGTCAGGGTATACGAACTACACAGCTTGCTTTTCACATGATGATGAAGAGAAGAGGAGGGCGGTCATGCTACTTACTATTCCACATAATTCCTACGAAGCCTGGCCTCATTGTCCCGGTCCCCGGGGTTTGTCCCGTCAGATATAGCCCACCACATGATTTGATTCAGGCGGAGAAAGCGTTTGAGGATGATATCGAAGTGTTTCAAGATATTCATGGGAAATGTGGTTGCCATTCTCACTACATTGGCGACAGTGTTGTTCATTGACGTCACCCACTTGTCCGGGTCTCGATATGTTAGGATGAACTTAACGTCTGGGTCCTCTGCATAAACTTCGAGGGCTTGGGTGCCTAAATAGCTGGGAAGCTCAATGAAGCACTGTTGTCAAATTAGCTAACAACGAATAAAGGCACCCGAAAACGAATATGTATAGAGTACAGTTATAGTTCACATACGTCATATTCGCTCAACCACTTGTCAAACTCAGCCCTTTCGTATCGCTTGATACCAGAGAAACGATTATGCTGTGCAATGACTGCTTCCTCTAGAATCATCATGTGCACTGGGCCATTGAAACAAGCCTCAACCATGTGGTACGGACTGAATCCTAATATCCTCATCGCGGCGAGGAGGCCCAAGGTACCTGATCTAGTAGTCATTAGCCACCTTGTGGTAGTGTAGTTGTACCGTGGTGAGAGATCACTCGGGTATAGAAGACAGTTCACGGCGATTCTTACCTACTGCAGCTGGCGATAACCACCTTCATCTTCTTCTTGTTCGCTGGCTGAGGCAGCCTGTCAATTTGGCGAGACATGGTGAATGAAGGCCTCGTCCTGTACAGATATGAGTGCAAAGACAACTGAATTGGGGGGCTGACTCTCCTTTATATTTAGAGGCCAAGAGAAGAACACGACGCATCTGTGCAAAACCCAACCAGGTAAGGTTCGCCAATCAGAGGTTTACCAACACGGTGTATAGCCCAACCAGCGCACGGATCGCACTCTCCAGCACAGGTCGATTCATGGGCAGCGTTTTACGGTAGCTCCACTGAGGCTCAGCCTTACGGTGGCTGTTTCTAGTGGGGGCCTTATAGATAATATGTAAGCACTAGTAAGTTCAAATCGACGTGTGCATAACGGTGGGTGGGTACACTTTTGCAATACATGTATTCTGCATGGCTTTACAGCTATATTGTTATGTCTTGTATTCAATGCAGTATTCTCGCAACACACAGTACGTGCACCGGGATTTGACAGCTAAATTTGGTCTATACTATGAAGGAAACGCCTGTCACACATGGTTCGATACGAGAAGTTCTTGACTGGCTTGTCCAAACTTGGGGGGCGAGTGTGGCGATGTGCGCTAAGGTCTGGTTAGGAGACGACACGGCGAATGGCAGTTATTTCCGCTATTAGGTTGGACTCCACCTAACCTAAGGTCTTATCCTCCCTCGTTTTCGAGACTTTCCCATTGGTGTCGATGTCGAACGACCCGATGGTAGAGGAGCATTATCTGGCTCAGTTGATTGCATTTCCTGTCATAATATGTGGATCCTATAGCCTGACCTCTCATAACTCACAATAGCCGATGGGGGGTGACGGGTAGCTATATTCTGTCAGCCTCATCACCTTTTGTGTATAAAGATACATCATATGTCGTGATGTGAAAGGCACCTAGATGAGTTAAGCAAATATTTCGTACTTTGAAGAAGTCAATAACCGTCAAGACAATGTGGCAATATGCCTGAGCTTTTTCACTCATTTGGCTGGGCAACTGTGGCTTTGGCACGTGCTATGCCATACCCTATGTCCATATACACGTTAGACTCCACTTGCCAAGTCACTCTTTGATGCTAAGCTTTTGAGAGCTTGACATATTTCTGGAACTCTTATCTTCGTACGGAGTACATTGCTTCATTTAGGGTGGGGGGTATCATAGCGCACTGTTGTAAAGGATTTAATATTCACAGCACCTTGTTGAACTTGGAAATTCTCATAGTGGCTGGTGATTCGCGAACAGGATGATATATATTTCAAGTCCATGGGCATATTCGTTGCGCTTCAAGGATACCATCGACACTGAGGGACATGCAGCCACTATACTGATACTTTTTTCTTAATAGTATCATACTTTTAATCCTGCTTACGAAGGCTTTTCCGCCAATCAAATGAGACGAATATATGACCACTCTGTCGAAGCATAGAAGGGTTAAGCTTACCTCTCTTGTTTATCCCTACTGATACCGGCTTGACTAGTGATGGATTCTGATCTACGTGTGGGGGGGAACATACCCCAGCATGACGTCGGTTATCTATATAGTGGATTCATAAGCCGACGGCTAGATACGGAAAGGATGAATACCACTTTCGGGAAGCTTGATCCAAGATGCCCGCCTTGCCCCTTGATCTCTCCGCTCGGTGTATCGACCCTACAACGTGCTCTGTTCACAATTCTTGTAGAGTCATTGTCCAGACGAATCTATCACTCCATATAGCCATAAAATAAAGCGGGCGAGGGGCTCGACCTTCCTAGGTTTCCGATAAGTTCTTCAAAAATTGGCATCCGACGGGGTGCCACAGTTTTTGGGTGGCAAGTGTTACATACTCTAGGAACAATCCAGTTAGCTGCGTGGGCAGGCCATCGGTTTAAATGTAGGATGGCTTTCTTGGTCGAGGACCCTTGGACTCCCCACAAACCGTGGGGGTTCGGCTTGCGTGGGGGAAGCCGAGGGCCATTCGCCCGAAGTGCCGTTATGCTTTTGCGGGGATCGATTCGGATCCACTCAAGCTTTCCATTGCAGAAATTGGTTGGATAACGCAAAAAATCCCCAAAACGAAGTTCTCCATATTACGCTAAACTTATCTTGTAACGAATCTGGGGTTTAGTAAGGGCGTGGGGGTGCGCGACCCTGGCCACCCGCGGGGAACTTGCCCATATATAAACGGCCGTGAAAAACCCTTCCCCAACTTTCGGGTTGTCATTCAAGGCCGTCGCAAAGGCCATCTCATTATATTATAACCCTTTACTACATCCCCAATCATGGAGCCGAAGCCGCAAGGGACTCACCATGAGGATCCGGTCAAACCGGCGAACATGGACCACATCAATGTGGTACGGGTACCCCTGACCGAAGAAGACAGCAAGCGGATTCGACGCAAGACCGACAGGACCATTCTGATAATCCTGATGTGGGGTTACTTCTTGCAGATTCTCGACAAGACGGTTCTGGGATATGGTGCCACGTTCGGCCTGAAGGAGGACGCTCACCTCACCGGCAATGAATATTCCTTGGTCGGTTCGATCGCTCCAATCGCCCAACTGGCCTGGCAACCATTCTCCTCGTTCTTGATTGTCAAAGTACCACATCGGATTCTTCTTCCTGCTCTAGTCGCCGGATGGGGTGTCGCACAAGCGGCCATGGCTGCTTGCCACAACTTCGGGGGGCTAATGGCCACCCGATTCTTCCTTGGTCTCTTCGAGGCAGGTTGTTTGCCTCTGTTCAGTATTATCACTGCTCAATGGTACCGTCGTGCGGAACAACCACTGCGAGTAGCAGCCTGGTATAGTACCAATGGTCTTGCGACCATCATCGCTGCGGCCCTAAGTTATGGGCTGGGACACATCCAGTCTAGTGTGCTTAAAGAGTGGCAAATGTAAGTCTTTTGCCGAATTCATCTCTCTGCTCCCCATATTAGAGACCCAAGGCTTAACTGACTTCCTCCACCAACAGTATCTTCCTCGTCGTCGGTCTCATTACCGTCATCTCGTCTCCCTTCCTCTACTGGAAGCTGGACAATGATATTGCTTCGGCCCGATTCCTAAACGACCAAGAAAAGCTTCAGGCCATGGAGCGCCTCCGAGCCAATCAAACCGGAGCCGGAAGCCGCGAGTTCAAGATGCGCCAAGTTGTGGAGGCCGGCCTAGAGCCGAAGACCTACATATGGATCGGGATGGCCTTCTTGCTCAACGTTGGTGCGTCGGTGACGAATGTCTTCGGTCCTCTGATCCTGTCCGGACTCGGCTTCGACAAGTTCAAGACAACGTTACTCAACATGCCCTTTGGCGCCCTTCAGTTCATCATCATCCTTCTGGCCAGCTATCTCGCCCAGAAAGCCCGCCTCAAGGCCGCCGTGCTCGCCTCCTTTATGCTCCCGGTCGTGGCCGGTCTTGCCATTTTGTACGCCCTCCCGCGCAATAACTCCGTCCAGGGTGCATTAATGGCCGGATACTATCTGCTTTCGTTCTTGTTTGGCGGCAACCCGCTGATCGTCTCGTGGATCGTGGCAAACACTGCCGGACAAACGAAGAAGTCCATCGTCATGAGTCTGTACAATGCGGCCTCGTCGGCTGGAAACATCGTCGGACCGCTCCTGTTCAATGAGAATGACGCGCCCGCGTATCAGCCGGGACTGCGCGCCTGTCTGGGTATCTTCGTCGCCATGGCCGCCATTGTCTTGATTCAATGGGCCAATCTGTTTGTACTCAACAAGATGCAGGAGCGTCGGCGTGTGGCGAACGGGAAGCCGGCCAAGATCGTCGATCGGTCCATGGACAATACTTATCAGGTTTCTGAGGAGGATGCTGAGGTTGAGGCGGTCGAGACGGACAACCAGGTCGGCAATAATGCTTTCCTGGATTTGACGGATCGGGAGAACGATGAGTTTGTATATATTTACTAGATGTAATGGCTCGGGATTAGAAGTTCCTTCTTCTACAATATGAATTATGATGAGTTATGAATTATTATTTTCACTAAGCTTTTACGTACATTCACTATATCCGTAGATAAGTTCATCTCTTATACTGTCCCATTTTTCTTCGACTTCAAAAGATTCACGATATCGGGATTTGATATATTTGTATAACCAATACACTATCTACACCAGGGTTCACATCCTAGACATAGTAGTGATCAATCAGCCAAGCTATCGCTACTCATCCTCTAATTATTCCCACGAGTGGCAGTAGGTCATTATGCTAAACACGGGTCCCTGGATACGGTAGCATCGCAAGCCCTAGGCCGCGAGGCCGTCAGGTCCTCAAGGGCCAGTGCACCTGGACAAAGAAAGCCAAAAACCTGATAAGTAGCAATTGCGACCGAAAAGTCCACCGCCACATTTCTCTACTACGAAGAGATTGCGATCTGGCCAGCTCACGGACGCTGACTGCTCCTCTTATAACCACTTACTGACCATAAAGAAAGCTAAACATGGGCTCCAACGGTCAATCACGCCAAACTTCTTGGTGTAGCCGCAGAACTTATATTAAGATTTCGCCCGCAAAAGGCAACTCAAGATGACGGAATAAAATACATAAATAAGGTCTGGTAGCGAAGCATTGTCACCCAGCAAGGATACCCCAGCATAAATCCGCCCAGTCCCGTGACCCTGAAGAAACATAAATCTGCCCCACTTGAACTTTCAATTGATAAACAAATCACCCCACATAGGTCATTACTGCTCATTGAGAAGGAAATGGAGAAATCTGATTTGCTGAAGGAGCTGCAGCGCGATCTAGCGCGTAAATATCGGCTTCATGGGCCGAAGATCGAGAAAATATGGCACTCCCTTGGCAAGGGACAACGGGAGAGGGTCGTGAGAGCCGGTGCCGCCGACGGCCAAATGCTGAAGTCCCCTATCGATAGATCCTTGGGCGATGTTTACAAGTTCATCCCTGATTGGAACCTGCGAGACATCGCCAATCCGGATTCCGACTATCTGCTGGATTGCCTGAAACACCGCGCGACGAAGTCTTTATGTGAGCAATACATCGAAGGTGCCCATGGTGGCCCGGGTGACTTCGAGGTCATAGTTAAGAGCATGCACGTCCATGGTCTTAAACATGTGGAGCCCTTCCGCTATAGCTTCACGTTGTTCATGGACGAAGAACAATATGGACAATCCTTTACGGCCTCTGACTCGGTCAAGTTTGAAGAAACAATGGCGGCGATGAAAGCTGGTGTGGATGCTGGCTTGATTCTTCCTCAATCGACGGGCGAGCTTATTTTGGAAAGACAGTCTATCCTATTAACGTCCATGAACATTGTGATTCAGGACATCCTTGAAGCTGGCTCTACCTTCGAGACGGAAGGTCGCTCCAAAAAGTCAGAGAAGGCAGCACGTGAGGCTATGTCCAAACTTGCAATCGACCAGAAGCCAGAAAAGCTCTCACTGGAGGAGCTGGCTGCATTGTCTCTTGACCAGAAATCAGCATTGGAGGACTATGTGCTTCTTTATCGGACAGAACCCGAGTTCCTTGCTCACGCTGTCAACGCTTGGTTCTTCAGTCGACCCGAGCTGGTCGCAGACGAAAAAGGTCGACGATTGCCCTTGATCACGGACAAATATATTAGCATCGCATTTTTCGAGATGATCCACAATGCCGTGGTGGGTGCTGCAGTCTGGGGGTATATCCATCAACTTCTCCAGGCTCTTGTAACAGGGCCAAACGACCGGACCCACAGAGGTTCCTTTCTCCAGGAGCTTGCAAACGTCTGTCATTTCGAGTACCAACGGGTTCAGCGGCTTTTTAAGCGTCACGTACAGATGGGTTCCGGCGATAAACATTTCAAACGCGTCTCTGGCGTATATGATAATGGCACCGCGCGGGTAACCATGAAAACCAAGCCGGACACCCTTACCAGAACTGACCCGCAACTCAGTTATATACTTCGCCTTTGCCAAACGGACACTAATAGCTCCCGGGCAGTCGATTGGGTTAGAAAGCTAGACGAGTTCCACCAAACCAATCCCGCTGAGCAGGAAAAGATGGGAGAGAGCGAGTTTGACGCTTTCGGTGATCTTGCCGTGACAACCAATTTCATCCAGTGTCTCTCAGTGTCTCTTCCCATGCCACCAATGAATCCGAAGAAGGGACAAACCTATATCTCTCGACTAAAGGCGCTGGGATCTGAGCTTGGCCCGCTAAAGCCCGAGGTTGACTTGTCAGCGTTTGCAGTGCCCATCGATAATCTTGTGGAGCCGGGAATGGCCCAAGGTGCGCTGACCACACTTGATGAATTCATATCCAACAACACTGGGGCAGAGATAGGCTTCCTCTATCAGGATCTGAACGAGGAATGCTTGTTAGACTTGCAGAAGCAAGCCCAACAGCAGAAGGAGAAGAACGAACAGATAGCACAGGCTCAGCTTGCTTCGTTAATCCCTGAAGCGCCTACCCGGAAAATGCAAATTGAACAGCGCAAAGCAAAGACCAAAACACGCCCGCCACATTCATCCGTCTACAGTATCGCCCCAACAGCAGCTCCCACGACGGAACCAGAACCTGCAGCGCCGTCTCAAGCATTCAAAGTAAAGCCATCCTTCTTAGAGGTATTCTCGACCCTATTCTCAAAACAAAGAGAACGGGGCTCTATCACCTGGGCTGCGTTTCAAGCAGCTATGGCGCACATGAAATTCTCTGTCGTGCCAAAGACTGGGTCGGTTTATACGTTCTCCCCTCCCGAAGGCTTCAATGTCCAAAGGTCTATCACGCTCCACAGACCGCATCAGTCCCGTGTCGAGGGCTGGCGACTTCTTTATATTGCGGGTCGTCTGAAGAGAGAATATGGATGGGATGAGAAGTCATTCGAGACAGAATGAGGTGTTTGGGCAAACGTGGCCATTAAAATACTATATTTTGAGTTCATTATATCCAGCTTGTAGAGATTTACCTAGATTTCTAACCACGGCGAAAGTCGGAGATTCCAGACTTGCTACAAGTACTAGTCCTACCCAGACAAAGCAAGCCTGCGCTCCTTCAGCCACGCGGGGTACGAGTCGGTGCAGAATACAATTTTCTTTTGCCAACCTACGCCGTTTCTGTCAACTCAGCTTTCCCGAATTGATACTCGACGTTAACATGGAAGTTGTACAAAGGAACGAGGCCTTTAAAAAGATTGATGGCAAAATGAAATTTGCCTATGTCCAGATTTTTGTTTTGCAAGACGGCATATTATACTCTGGAAAATGGACAAGCCGATTAGATTCGCCAAGGACACTGAATGATCGCCAGGAAGTCAAGCGAATTCCAACAGAAGACAGGGGCCCAGAGGTGAATGCCGCTTGGTCAGCGGTCTATGTGAAAACACCCAGTCTCCTCGCATATATAGATGGAAATCTCGAAAAGCAAATCGCTCGCGAAGTTGAAACATGCGAAACTCTTCGCAATAATTCCCATCCAAATATTGCCACCTATTATGGCTATATGGAGACGAACTGTCGAGTGTCTGGGCTATGCTTCACGCGATATATGTCCACTCTACTTGAAGCAGTCAATCCTCAACGCCTTGGCAAAGTTGCTTTCCTTTCAAGTCCGCGCGAACTAGTGAATGAGAATATGAAAAGTAGCCTGGACGGGATTTTAGCGGCTATCAGACATCTCCACTCGCTTGGACTCCATAACGACATCAACCCGGCAAATATTATGCTTGACGAAGACGGTACGTTTATTCTCATCGATTTCGATAGCTCTCGATATATCGGGGAGTCCTTGCGCAACACCGAAACGAAAAGAACCTGCCACTGGCACGACCCTTCTGTTGATATTTCGCTGGAGAAAAACGACCTTGATGCTTTCAAAGATCTACAAATCTGGCTCAATGGATCGAGAGATGGAGACTTTCTACTTGAATGAAGCGCTCGTTAGTAAAACGTCAACACTAAATAGCTCATTCTTTCTTACTATTGACCAGACACTGTTGTTCAAACCCCGCTGGAACATTCTTAATGTACGTATTCCGCGTCATGTCTTGGTTGACTGGCCATCATGACCTCGCAGCCCCAGATAAGACATGGTTTAATGCCATGTGAACATTATGTCCTGACTTCCGTAGTTGAACATCTTTGTAGTGGAATAAAAGTAAAGAGTTTCCTCCTTTCAGGTTTCACACTATATGAAAGAGGTCAAGCACCGGTGTGGAAAGCTACGTGATTTCGTAAATAGTCATTTCAAGAAAGTTCAATCAGACAAATAGAGGACAGGAAGAAAATAGCATTCCTATAATATCACGTAGATTCATAAAAACTCTGGAACTGTCGGCGTGCGCTGTCTGTAAGCCACTTCTGTACCATGTCGGGTGTTATGGTTTCCTTGTCCGACTGATAAGTTTCGAACAGCCACTCGTTCCAATCCCAATTGATCCACTCGTCGAAGTTACAAATAGGCTCCCTACCCCGAGTCTTAAACCATCTGAGAAGAGGACTAATATAAATCCCTGAGAGAAACATCCTTTCTTGGTCGTCATTTTGCGGGTCAGGAGACCGCCCGATAATTGCGTGCCCAAAATCGATGAACTTGACATGTGGTTTAGACAGGTCCGGATTGAAATCTTGGATAATTATGTTCCGTGGATGCGTATCACGGTGTCTAAGATTGATCTTATAGAGCTGCGATTCTATATCGACGATTTGCTTCATCACAGCCTTCCAGACGTAATCAGGGAAGTCGATTGGACGAAGAGTAGTCATAGACTGCCCATTGACGTGTTCCAGCAGTATTAATCGTACCGTGCGAAATTGGTGATCGTAATGGGTGATATCCATAGAATAAGAGCCATAGTAGTTAGGAATGTATTTCTGTCCCTGGGCATGTAGATACCGATAGGCAGCACTTTCCTGGGTGTATTCCACGTCAACAAAAAGGAATGGATCCACATCATCAGCAGAATGATCATAATATAGAGGATCATACAGCTTTGCCACAACGCGGGTACTGGGAAGTTGACCAGAAATAACGTCCACTACAACTATTTGCGAACTCTTCTCATCACCGACTCGAATTGCCTTATGTATCTTGAGACGTAAACGTTGAGAGCCCGGTCTGCCAGATATCGGTTTCCGTGTAAGACAGCGTGTTAAGACATCAGTATTCTCTCTCTTGGTAGCCTCCTCAGGAGTAAGAATGAAGCGCTTGATCTGGGGTTCAGGAGGAAAATATTCGATCACTGAAAATTCATAGCCCTCGACGTACGGAAGGTCCGGCTTGGATATGCCGTTCAAGGTGTTGAAATCTAAAGAAAATGACATTTCCCTTGGTAGGTAGCAAGAACTGGTCCGAAGGGGTCAGGATTTAGCGTTTAGGAGTGAGTTCGGAGTTCTACCGATTTGGTCACATGATAGGACCTGCAGGGGTCAGGGTTATATGGTAGATATGTTTGAATTATTTACTATTGTCCATATGTCCAATACCGGCCTAGACTATGTCCACATGTAGATGATGGCCTCAAGTCATCAACTACTCGAGTCTCCAACTATATAGAGTGCATCAATCTATTTGAGCTCCTTAACCCAGAGAGAAACCTTGGGGATATCGGAGTCCTTTCCGAGGAAGTAGACCTGCTTGTTGTCCTCGGAAAGACCGAAAGAGTCCTCGCCGTTGAAGGTGAGGTAGCCGTCGTCGGTGATGCCCCACTTGTCGAACACAGCGCCTGTGGGGTGGTCCGCGGAGTGAGGTTGGGTCAGGCCGAGAGGCTGGGCATCACCTGGGATGGCGTAGAAGTTCTGCCAGGCAGTGGGTGGCAGGGCTTGTTGGGTGAAGCTGATGCTGGCGCCGTCGTTGCTTGTCACTGGATGTTGTTAGTTTGATTCAGGCAATATTACGTCGGGCGTGTGAGGCATACGGCGCAGGATCTCCAGCGTGTTGGCCTGCTCAGCGTCCACGATGGCGTGGGCTGTTGATGTTAGTCATGTTTTCATGGCCAAGGCTTGGGGTAGGTGTTACGTACAGTTGTCAGTGAGGACAGTGTTGCCGCCGTCAGCAACGAGAGTGAAAGACTTGGGGAGAGTGGCTGCCAGAGCAGAGGCGATCAAGGTGGAAGCGGCGGCGAGAGTGAACTTCATTGTGACGGTGGGTAGTTTGTTTTGAAGATTGATGTCTTGAGTGATCGTTGAATTTGCGGTTGATTATTTTCGACGACCCCGGGGCTTTTCGAGGGTTTTTATGTTCAAAGCAAATAAATGTCGCAATGCGATGCGTGAGGCTGTAGCGTCACCCTATTGGGAAGCATATTGGTGCATCCAACCCAGATGACATCGCTTCGGTGGATGGTGTGGGGAATGTCTCACTTCGTTATTCTTAGAGTCGGCTCTCGGATGGCCTCTGTTTCCCTATTAGCCGAATGTTGCATGGTGCTCGCATGCACAATATAAGCTTAGCATGCAACGCTCCAAGGTGAATTGGGCTCGTGGAAGTTCGAAACAAGCTATTATCTTCTAGAGACACACCCACAGCGCAGTCAGACCTGGGGTGATATCAACTCTTCCGTCACACTGCCCTGAAGACCCTTGAAGCAGCGCCATGTCGGTTAGAGAGTTACGCGATGATCGGCACGGCTTTCCCCCATTCTCGGCTTCCCCATCTTCGTTAGTAAAGGGGCTAGTCTCCAAAACCCGATGTGTGGCCCCACAGATGTCTCACGGAGAATGTAACTTCTGCCATCGCCATCGCCACAGCATCCGGGTGGCTGAATTAGCACCAACTCAGCATGCATGATGGATATCTGTAGCGGTGAGTGATCTCTCTGAGATAAATAATTCATCACGCCATCACCTCGGACAAGCAGGAAGGAATCGTGCATAACGGATCATGTGAACAAAAGCTGCGATCGACGACCAAAATTTAGGGCTAGAGATCGGCTTCTTTATTGAGACTATTGACTAAGATCACCTCCCTTTCCCAGTAGTTCCCAATGTTCGGAATTGCGTTATTGAAGAGAAGGTGCAACGAACGGTTTTGCTAATACCGGTTGAAACCAGGTGATGTTACTGCCCTAACATGTGCAGTTACTTATCATCGCAACGCGTCCTTTTATGAAAGAGCGGTCCAGATAGAGTGAGTGCGCTGGTCATTCTGCGCTATCTTAGAAACACTAGTTTGAAGTGTCTATTTTTGGCTATAATGACTCATTCTTGGTGGCTAATCTGTGTTGGAGGGCTGATGTTCGATCTGTGTTTGTAGTAAGGTCACTGTCGGAATAAACAGGGGCGTGGTAGCTGAATAGCAGCAATAATGCCAACCTACAACTGACGAGGATGTGAGATTGAAGAGCAATTGGTCCAAATCAACCCCAGCCTAGAGAGCTGTATCAACAGCAATCAGAACTGCTTCATGCGCGGAGCAAACAACAGAAAAGCCATCGAGAAATGGCTAATTGTGCAGATGCTAGGATGGTCCCTGAGTAATGCTCTAAGAAAAAAGGTTTTTCTTACTGGCTCCCGAGAGCGATATCGTCTGAATCCATGATGGATCCTGCTTTGTGCAAGAAGCGGAAATGATGCACTAAAACGTCAAGAATATTATCTCAGGCGTCTTAAGTGCTGTGCCACAACTGTTAGATCCTTCTATGGAATGTGCAGCTATAAATAGGCGCTATGCTCTCTGGCTTTTAGCTGCATTAACGAACGCCGAGTGCTGACTGTAGATTGTAACTCTCCCCAAGGTTTCTCAACTGATGTAGAATATAATTACGAGTTGGTTCCGGGCCGCAGAGGAAGCAGCAAAAATGTCAGAAAGAACAATCTCCTTGGAAACATGGTTGGTAATCCTATACCCAAATGGAATGATTTCACAGGTGATTATGGCTCATCTGACGTCCTGCGATTGCCAACTAGGCTCCTCCTTTGCAACTTATCCTGAGGCACATTTATATACAAGTTATGGAATGCTGAAAGTTATTTAGATATCAACAGACGGCTACAGGTATTTTCTACGACAACTCGTTTCTTTACCCGACAATCCCCAAGTTGCAAGATTGTGCAATTGCAACCTTGCAGGATATGCTCAGGTTAACCTCTGTTTCGAGACGGGAAACTATTGTTATCATGGACGTATCAGGCCTTACAAGGGCGACATTATTCTCACTTAATAACACCACACCCTAGTCGGACTCGCAACATACTTCCAGATCTAGAGCGACAAACAATAATCTCCGCAACAATAATACACTAATCGGCAGCTAAGATCCTCTAGGCGGCGTCTCTTCATCCGCAGACCGCGGCAGCGAAGACCGCTGTATATCATTAAGTGGCCTTAGGTACCACCCATAGCTAGCATACATGGCAACGATTATAATCACCTCTATCACCACCATGCAGACCTTGACCGAAGTTGATCCCTTCACAATATTAAACACGGGGTTGTTAGCAAACATCCCTGACGCTGACTATAAAGTTCGTACGAGAAGTAAGGGCAATGCAATTTCGACAATGATGACTGTCAGGCGCTCTCGCCTCAGGATATATTGACATTGGCGCAGCTTGCCCCAGGAAGAAGCCAGAAGCAGAACACAGCCGGCTCAGGCAACAAAGTATAGGCAAATCCCAACACGAGACGTGGATTTTGAGTGGTCAGCATCGGACAAGGAGGTCCCGACAATGCTTAGGATGACAGCCACGGACACGACGGTTTGTGTCAGACGCGGAAGTTTCAGTTCTAGCTTCATCTCTCTTTCCTTTCGAATCAAATTGTGTGATAGGGCACTAAAGGGTTTCCAGTCCTGCAATGCATGCTAATATGGACCAGCTCATGTATCGGCAGAGTGCACTTATCCCGAAGTGTGTAAGCTCTGCAGGTTGTTACACTGCATTTGAGGAACAACCTCGATCTTGCGTATCCTGCCGCCTTACTCGGCGAAAATTATGCAGTTATCAGGCCGGTCGCGTGTATGTATTATGTACAAGTAACATCCGGCGGGACTGGAACTGCCCATTTCATCTGCGGTGTGATTAGATTCTTTCCTTGTACCATGCACTGGGTGGCTACCGCTGTCACAGTCACATATCTGGCATATTGTCTAGGCAGCATTCAATCGGGGCTGATGTGGAATTTGAGGTGCTACGGTTTCCCTATGAGTGTAGTCGCTCTAAATAACACGTAAAGTATCTCAGAGGGAAAACAAGTCGTCAGTATGCGGACGATGATATGATACTGAGATACGAAGACAATCAAGAGCAGAAGTAAACTGTTCGATCTAGTATTCGCAGCCAGCAAGTCATTACTTTAAGAATGAAGATCATCCAGGTATAAATCTCCTGATAACGAGCCCTCCCTCAGACTTTTTCTTCCACGGGCAAAAGATCATGCAGGATGCTTTCAGATAGATCACAAGAGTATCGTGTTGTTATAGGAGTGATCACCTTGGTCATCCACAACCCTGCTCTACACTCTGTTTCTTAGATTTGGATCCTGCAGCGCTTGACTATTCCTCTAGTGCAATCCTTCGTGCATTGCGCTGTCAGGATTTAATTTGCTGCGTGGGCTGTCGAGTAACGTGGACGTATGATGTCATTTTCCGAGGATGTCGCTCCTCGGAAATCGTATCCATTACTTCAAACAAATAATCAAGCAAAAATGACATGCTTGGAGATTATATTGGCGGGTTAGCTGCAATATTTCCATTAGTTGGGCAGATACTACATCTTTCCCAGTCTACCAGGAGATAACTTGTTAGGGCTAGTTCAGGCAGCCTGCCGTTTCCTAACAAAGACCTGTACCTTCTCTTGTCCAACAACCCCATAATGTCTTTTTCTGACCTGTCATTTTTGATACCTATTTATAGCCATTATTTATTTGATCTGGTCGCTCGGAATCTCAATAAGTCATGCAGATATTGATCGAGTCTTTCTCGAATAGCCACATCCGGAGAGACCCATGCGAACCAGGTTGGGCTCTACCAAACATGATGTTAAACATCAATATTTGGAAGGGGTCTGACCGCCAGTCTACGTAGAAGGGAAAGAGGAACACTCCTTCAGAAGGTTGGGATATTATTAGCATCAGGCCCTACATACAATATGCATGTTTTTCATGGGGTTAGCCAAACATGGGCGATCTCGGCAGCTTCGGGGATTTTCAACAGTCGGTTACCTCGGATTCTGGGTCCTTTAGGCCAACCACAATCGTGGCTTCGCTCGCCGCTCTGAAACTTGCAGAGACTTAGCGAATCACCATCGTCTAGTGGCTGTGCCCCCTAGCATTGGCCTGTATCCCATCCCTCAACAGCATAAAAACCCCCTCTGCCTCCCTTGACTTCGACTAACATCAACAAGTACAAGACTAGAATCGCAACCACCAGCTCAACGTCGCTTCAATTTCAGTATAGCTGCTTCTATTGCGTCAATACCACCAACATGAAGGCCCCTTACTTTCTCGCTTTCCTTGCTGCCGCCGTCTCGGCGCAGAATGCTGGCATCGGGTTCCCGACGAAAGACCAGGAGATCACGGCGGGAGAGAATTTAGTTGTTCAGATTCAGCGCCCGGTAAGTTCGGACCACCATACCATAGCGTAGCCGAGGCTAACTGCCGTATCAGAACTCCTTAACTGGCTCCAAGGAGATGGGTGTCGCAATTGGCGTGGCATCCTGCGCCTCAAGACCCTGTATGGCTCCGAAGGACACACTGGGAACTCTCCTCTATAACGGGCCCTTCAAGCCGGAGTACCACGAGACTAGCCAGCCTCCTTATCAGAACTTCACCGTGACGATCCCAGACTCCATAGCGAAGGGAGACGCACAGATCAACGTCGCCCATGTGGCAATTGTCGGGGTAAGTGCTAGCCTCCCACGATCGCATCGATGGGATTAAGGAGCTAACCCAATCTATTTACAGGCGAGCGCGTGGCCATACCTGGACCTGCTCAATCAGACTGTTGTTGTTGCTTAGGTCTTGGGTGGAGGATGCCTGCCTGTTTCCGCCTGTATAGGCTGTCTGCGGGACTGGCGCGTTGTATATTTGTTTATTAACTTTCTCTGGATTTAATTTCTTGGCTTTTATTCTGGGATTGTCCGTCCTTTGTCATTTTGGTCTTCAAATTTTCCAGGGATCCTTTTAGCTATAGGATCGCCTATTATTAATTTATTCGTTTTCGTCGGCATTTACAGGCCCATCGCCATGGAAAGTACTGATAGGACCAAGTATTATTCTTATGACCGCATAATATTAAGTCTTAATCAATATTAGTCCTCATTATAGAAGGGAACTCCTGGCGGCGTCAAGCCGGCAGTGGAGAAACAAGCTGTCAGTCGATTCAATCCCACAATGTGGAGGAAGGTCCGTGAGATGGATCAAACGCCACAATCCTTGATTTTGATTGAGGAGACTACCTTAAATTCATTCTCTATAGGCCACTCATCTATAGGACTCTGAGCCTGCGTCTTCCAAGTGTGGGTCTGTGCTAAGCTTTCTGTTGCCGATCTCACTCCGTTCATCTTATCATTTCAAGAAGTTGACTGCGTTTTATTGACACTTGCTACAGTCTATTGAGGACCCGGTAAAGAGCTAGATCGCACAAAAAAAAGTAACGATAGCGCCATACGTATCTGTAGTGTATGAATGTCCGCGGTGAAGCAACATGCATCTTCTCATACCAATGTCCACCCTATGAGCTATTGACCGGTTAGTCCGTATCCCCACTACGTGGCTCGAGACTACCTGTAATGTCAAGTAAGGTATAACTTGGTGTTGGTATAGGTTTATCGGCGATGTACGTCCTTGATGGCATTAGTGGTAAGATATATAAAACCAAAATATGTGAGTACGGTAGCAAAGTTCATTCTGATCGGATATCTAGTACTTCATAAACCGGCTTTTTAGCTGAGCAATTGACACTATACCTCATATTGTGGAGCCACAGATAGCGCCAAGTGTATTCAGCGGTAGCTTAGGGAGGTCAATGGCATGACAACTAGTAGTCGCGTAGCGCCGTAGGAGGGGCTTTCAATTAGGGACATCAAGTTAGTAGCAGACTAACTGATACAGGCAAAGTGCACTACAGTGCCGTCTCATCTGGTTGCTTTCTGGGCCTGCGATCGCCGACGGGGTTGCTGCCCCACCAGGTGTTAAAACGAATTTGTCCGAGATAAAATGCTCTTCAGGACCCCAATTTACACTTCCTGGTGATGCATCATCGTTCTGGCCTACTTTCCAGCCCCTGTTCCGAGTTTGCCGCAAACTTTGCAGACAACATGACTGTTACAACTACTTCTCGCCCTACGATCCTTGTCATTCACGGGGCATGGCATCATCCTGAATTTTATGCCCCGTTCTGCAAGGCCTTTGAAGACTTGGGCTATGAAGCAGTCTGTCCTCACCTCCTAACCTGCAACAATGATGTACCCCCCACGAAGAAATTGGAGGATGATGTGGCGCTCATCCGACAGACGGCACAGTCGCTCCTTGACGATGGGAAAGCCGTCGTTGCCGTCATGCACTCCTACGGCGGAATAGTTGGCACTGATGCCCTACACGGACTGGCGATCAAACGTCTGATCTACATGACTGCTTTTATACCCCCTAGTGGCAGCAGCCTCGCGGGTATGTTTGGCGGCCAATTGCCTCCCTTCATAACCATTGATGTATGTATCCACCCACTTGAACTGCCATGCACTCGCTAATGAATCCTTCTAGGATGAAAAGGAGTTATTGACAGTCCCTGACCCGGCGACTGTCTTTTTCAACGACCTCCCCTCCGAGGAAGCCGCTACATGGGCCAAGAAGCTGGTGGTCCACCCGAAATCTGCCCAATTTGACCCAATCTTACGCGAGGCATATCGCAACATCCCCACGACATACATTGTGTGCGAGCAGGATGCGGGTCTCATTCCCCTCGTTCAGGAGATGATGATAGAAAACGTGCGGAAAGCGGGAGTGGATATAGACGTTGAGAGGTTATCAGCGAGCCACAGTCCGTTCCTCAGTATGCCGGAAGAGACTGCCAAGCTGGTTCTAAGGATTGCTTCCCAATGAACTATCAGGTAGTCTAGCTGCCTAACCATATGGAACGCGGTATGCGAGAGGTTTTGGCGGAATTTACTCCGTTAAGGTTCGAATAGATCCTCTTAGTTTGAGACATTTCGTGGGCTGATACAACGGCTTGGAGCTGAAGAACGGGTCCGATGTAACGAACCGCATCCCAGGCCAATCGCGCTTCGGGAAGGCTTCAATTTCGCTCGTTGCCCGACCCACTCCGTCCGATCCTGCAGGGCCAGGATTGAAGTTTATTTGATTAATCTTGCGTGTTTGGTTTGACCGGTTCCAGACTTTGGGGGTAGTCTCTTTATTGAATACGGAGTACTCTGTACTGCTCTTGTCTTTCTCGTGAGGCATTTCGCCTGATAAACCGTTCTGTCCTCTATTGTTTCATCTCTTGTTAACATAGGGTATTATTCCACCGTAGAGGGATCTACGGCTTGGCTGTCAATCCGTAGTACTTTCTGATACCGCTCTCTATCTTCTAGTAGCTTATATATTAGACGTGATGCATTCTTTGTAGATCCACGGCTCAAGCTAGAAGAACCGTTGCCGCGGAATTGCAGATTAGCCATTTCTAATCATCCCGCATAACCTACTAAGTCTAGCACTCTAGCGTCAAGAGGAATATCACTAGTCTAATGCACGAATCCCAAGTTAGTGGTCTGCGCGCATGAAGCCACCAGGAGCAAGATCCCTGCCGGCGGGGACGGTGGGCCATCGACGAGCCCTCGGATTTGGGCATTTGCACGCACATGTAAATTTTAGAGTACTAGAGGTGCTCCTTTTCGAGATTTCCTGTATTTAACAGCCCCCAGAAAGGCGTGCTGATGTGAATCCCTGCTCATATGTACATAACCCTAGTGACACGAGATCCCCCCCTGGACAATCGCGGCACTAAACACTAAGTGAAACGTTTCGAGCTTCAAGAACAGCTATGTAGCGCAGTAATTCACTCTCGATCTTTCCTTAAATTGTTATCCATACGAAAATGCCTTGCCGGAAATCAGTTGTGATGCTTACCTGAACTACCATGGTTCCACACAGCTTGATCCTAGTTAAAAACAGTTATTATAAAACCACAGTACGTACCCAAGTTGACTATTCGGAAACTACCAAACGTCCCGATGGTGCTAGTGTAGTACGCGGTCCACATAAGTTTAAATACGTCAAGCAATCCTGCCAACCTCGGGTCGCGTCCGACGAGCTTGCGAAGTTTTGCCGTCATTTGACCGGCGACTAGGGTTATGTATAGATATCGACGACAACAGTGAAGTCATCTTCTGGCAACAGCTTTTGTTCTCACGTTATGGGCGCTAATGACCGGGGGAAAACGTACATTACAGTTAGTGCTGTGCTCGTCGCTCTGTCCACGGTTATTGTTGGGTTTCGGATCGTTGCACGATGGATGAGAACCACTCTAGGACTGGATGACTATGTCATCTGTGCATCGATTATTCTTGCCTATAGCATGCTGGGGGAAGCGGTTGTTTGTATGTTTACTGTATCGCGACGAGATCGCGCAAGGCTGATCGTGTACAGGGGCTCGAGATGGAGGGCTAGGAAAGCACATGGACGAGCTAAGCGTCCAGGAGAAGATCACCTTCCAGAAGGCGAGTATCAGCTGGCATGCAATTGTGGTCTTATTCTAACAACAATCGCAGTGTTTCTTCGCCAACGAGATCTCCTATACGCTCCTCGTCCCCTCGATCAAAATCTCTATCCTCCTACTCTATCGCCGAATCTTCGCCGTTCGCAAGTTCAGGATCGCGAGTCTCATCACCGGCGGTCTGGTCATGTCATGGTGTCTCGCTGTCTTCATTACCGTCTTTCTTCAATGTCGCCCGATTGCCCTGAACTGGGACAAGACATTAGAGGGAACCTGCATCGACCCGAAAAAGTTCTTCTTCGGCAATGCGATATCCAACCTCCTCATCGATGTGGTTATCCTCGCTTTACCGATCCCAATGGTTCTCCAGCTCCAACTACGTTTGTCGCAGAAACTCACTATTCTGAGTATATTCCTTCTTGGTGGATTGTACGTCTCATACTACGTTTGTGGAGGATGAAAGCTTATGACTACAGTGTCTGTGTCGCGAGCATTATGCGAGTCGTTACCCTCAATATTTTCGAGACTATGGATACGTCATGTATGTTCGTTTCCTTGATTCCGTCTTGAATCCCATCGCACTCAACTAATATCTCAACCGTATAGATTCCGTGATGGAAGCCGCTACCTGGACCTTCGTCGAGCCCTGCGTCGGAATCATCTGCGCTTGTTTACCGACCCTTCGACCCCTGCTACGGACACTATGCTGTTCCTTCTCATGGAGCACGGATCATTCAGACGGCCCACCGGCAAACTATAGGATGCACAGAATATCCAGCGCCGCAAAGAATGACTCAGCCGGTAGGAGCGACAGAGAATGGGACAATAAGCGATTTGGGGATGAGTTCGCATTAATGGGCGGGAGCACGAAAATAACTGTTAATGGAGATGGTGCTTCTTAGATTTGATTTCGGTATAGGCGTTTGGTATATATCCAAAAAGGGATTCGTGTTTGCTTTTTATACTATACACGGGTTAGGAGTTAGGGTAATGCCCTGAGGACATGATGCAATGTGTGGTATGTTTGTTCCTTATCTTCGAGATTCTATCTAGTGTTTCCTAGAAAGTCAGTTAATATAGAGGAATTGTCATGATACGAGATCATATGAGTGAGAGGTTGGGCTGACTAGTATGCTTAGCTTAACGTTTAGACGGAACCAAAGTATTCAAGTCTGCACCGGGTGACACCTTGAAGTCATGTCCTACGATGGCTTTGGGGGTTAGTGATGCAACTAGGTCGACAAGTCTTCTAGTTAAACAATATATTCTGTATGGACATTGAACTAGACCGTCGATGCTGTGATCCTGGGCCTTCCGCAAATCATATCCGTACATATTGAGAGCACACTCTACATTCTTTCTAGGGAAAAAAAATAAAAGATAAAAATAGTCATGGGGAAGGCTTTGCGACAATAGCAACCATACTCAGCATCTCTTTCTCGTGTATCATATGAGCTCAGACATTCGACATCACCAAGCCTCCTAGATCCCGAATTCCCGATCGCTGCGGGGCTTGACGATGAAAGCATGATATGGTATCAACCTTATCGTGGATTGGCTTCAGTGTACCATGGACAGCCCAAGCCCAGGAGGGTCTTGTTAGGTCTGGAAGTTCGCTACGCCAATCCGGTGCTAAGTTCTTTTATTAGACCAAGACAGTAAAGCATATGTCAGTTGATCGCCATCACAGCACCCAGAACTGAGGGGATATCGATACAAACCTAGAGCATAAATAAACCGTAGCTATCTCTATCTATAGGAGCCCAGAGTCATGACGCTGAGACTCTTGAGCCTTCTGCACATCCTGCCTTTGTCAGTCGATCGTCGATATCAGTAAATCATATCATGTCGAATACAAACAATACACCTAGTTCACAGCCCGCACATGCAGGCCCGTCCACAGAGGAGGCACCAAATTATAAAACCTTCACAGACGCAACGGATAAACTGTACAAGAAGTTGGTCCAGGAGGAATCCCGCGAATGGTGGCAGTACCGCTTCGTTAGCACATTCTTCAACGTGCTCGCGATCGCGCAAGTGATGGTTGGAGCAACCATAACTGCTCTTGGACCGTTTGGTGGCCAGCATTTGATTGCTATAACCGTGTTAGGCGCTATTAACACCGTCATTGCCGGGTTTATAGCTCTCCTCAAAGGTAGGGGCCTTCCTCAGCGACCCCGGAAAAACATGTTGGAGCTTCGAAGGGTTCGGGAGTATATTGAGCAAAAGAGAACCATGTTGCAGTACAGGAACAGGAGGTTCTCGAGGGATGAGGTTGACTCTCTACTGGAAGATGTCATGAGGAGGTATGATCTTGCGGAAGAGATTATCGAAAGGAATCAGCCGGATACCTACACAGATGGTGCGGGATCGACCGGTAGAGAACGTCAACCAGACGAAGAAAGGGCACCAGGATAAAGCAGGTACCTATCAAGTACGTTATATTAAAAATTTACTTTAGCTGATTGTGTTTTGTGTCATAGGTACTGTGGAGACTTTGACTAATAGCTTACAGATGCTTTCCTGCTTGACCGGTTCCAGCTCCGCTTAGCATGCATTTCTGGCGGCAGATGATTGTTGAGATACCAGCTCCGGTGGCATGACATCCTTTCATGCCTTACCCCTGAAGTGGCAAAGGCTTTATTGGTCCGACTAGCACTACTCTCGCAGCCGACTTCGGGGCACGGTATGCGTTCAGACATATTTGTGGTTGGTCTAGTCTGTACCCTTACTAGATATGTCATGAACAGCCACACTCCAACAGGGATTGTGCGAGGAGCAATTATCCACAGACCACCACAGTTTCACAATAGTATCAGTAAGTGCCGGCATTCCAATCAAAGCACTACAATGTCAGAAGAGTTGAGCCACAGGACCATCAGGCCCCCGGCTTTGCGTTTTGCCTCGGGCGGCTAACATTATTTCCTACCCATTTTCCGTGAGTTTCACGGCGCCATGCTTGCATCGTTTCGTACGGTGGGGGGATTATTACTGCATCATATACTATAGCTGCTAGTGGGAATCCACAGTCCCCGTTCTTCGCACGCAATCATAATTGAATGGTGCATGTACCAACTTGAATAGCCCGAAACCAATCTATCATTATTATCATGTGTCGAAGGACTCCACAATTAATGGTACAGGCGAGTAAAGGAAGTAACTATAGTAATGATATATCATCCAATCAGACAATTGTCTAAGGGCCTGCTTCATTGGACCCCCTGTCACTCTAGAATATGAAGGGAGTGCCTCCTCCTATGGCCTAAACTTAGCCGGAAGCGACCCGGACTTTTGTGGTTCAGTCTGAACTCCTTGTTCTGTGCTGCAGATCTCCGCTACCTTGGGGTCTGCTATTGATGGATAATATACTTTGTCACTGTAAGCTACCGCCAAAACAAGCATGTTAAACTCAATGGCCACCTGCTGTGTCGCTTGTAATTCTTGTTCTCTTCGCTATTGACCCGGAGAGAGATTTGGTCCTGTACTATCTTCGTAGTGGGCGCTGCGGCATAATAATCACCATAGAGTCTATCAGCTCTGTATTTATACTTTGACAATCGAGGCTTCAGCTTTGAGGAACTTCTCTTCAATAGCGGCGGGAAAATATAGGTTAGTCACGCAATAATTGTCCAGAGAGACGAGACAACGCTGGACTCGCCACGGCTGTAACATTCTATCTACTTATAGAGATATTTCAAGTTTGATGGAATATTGGAGGGAATTCTTTTTACAATTAAATGAGCTTTGCACCCCTTGTTTCAGGCTACTGAGCCATTGTCTTTAAATATGAGTCTCAAGTACGCTTCCATGATGCAGAAAGCAAGATTCTCTCCGGGCTCGTGTTCAATATTTCTCGTTCTCTAAGATTTCTTTAAGTGAAACAATGCTATCACTTCAACTTGTCGTCATGTCAGTCTGCCTCGCAGCTGTCAATGTGCTGTCGGCTAGCGACGGCCTTCGGAGTGACTCCATGACGAAGGCTAGTCTCCCTAAGAGCTTCGAATGGAGCTCCAGTGGTCCTCTTATTGGCCCAAAAGACGATAGCCACGACCTTGCTGGGATCAAAGACCCCTCAATTATTGAGGTTGATGGTGTTTACCATGTCTTTGCTAGCACCGCCAAAGAATCTGGTTATAATCTAGTATACCTGAGCTTTACCGATTTCAATAAGGCTAGTTCAGCAACATTCCATTACCTTGACCAAACCCCCATTGGGCCAGGCTATCGCGCCGCTCCTCAGGTCTTCTACTTTGAGCCACACAAGCTATGGTACCTCGTCTACCAAAACGGTAACGCTGCGTACTCCACCAACTCCGACATCAGCAACCCTGCTGGGTGGAGCGCACCCAAGAATTTCTTCGGCAGCGTGCCCAGGATCATTTCGGAGAACAAGGGCAATGGAAACTGGGTTGACATGTGGACCATTTGCGATTCGTCCAACTGCTACCTTTTCTCATCGGATGATAACGGTCATCTCTACCGCTCTCAGACCTCGCTCGGCGACTTTCCGCACGGCATGGGGAACACCGTCATCGCACTACAAGACTCGAATGCATATGCCTTATTCGAAGCATCGAATGTATACAGCACCGGTGACGGTAAATACCTTCTTCTTGTGGAAGCCATCGGGAGTGATGGTGCGAGATATTTCCGGTCCTGGACTTCGGCCAGTCTCACTGGTACCTGGACTGCTCTTGCCGACACGGAGGCCAACCCCTTTGCGCGATCCAACAATATCAAGTTTAGCACTAGCGCCTGGACTACAAGTATCAGCCATGGCGAGATGGTGCGCACAAATGTTGACCAGACCATGACCATTAGCCCCTGTAATCTACGCTATCTGTACCAGGGCGTGGATCCAAACGCGAAGGGCGATTATAATGCCATGCCGTGGAAAGTTGGGCTTCTCACCCAAACCAACTCTGCCTGTTAGCGGGCAATTATCGGCCAGGCTAGCTTAAAGAAGTGTGTCAGTGGGCTCGACTGTGGATACCCCCAGCAAGTCAAGGCTTCAGCTCAGCGTCGGGAAGCAAACTGCCCTGACTCCACTTTCTGCCGTAGTTCAGGGACTAGATAGCAGGGATACTTTTAATAAAGGCCATTCCGCATTGAGCGAACTCGCTGAGTCATTTTATTGTAAGTGGAGGCCTCTTGTGTCCTACTTTTCAACTCTGTCATTGGTAAATTGATAATTCAGGTTTCACTCATTTAGCAATCACTAAAATAAGAAATTGCTCAGTTATAGGGCCCGTAAGTTTGAAACGGTTCACGCTCCCGATGCTCAGAGGCCCCGGTCAAGTGGGTCTGGCCTGAGCCTGTGATCTAACCAGCCATCAATAGTATCAGGACTCCGTAGCTACATTGTCCATGAGTCCATGACTGCCGAGGCATTTCAAACAGGAACACCGGCGGAGATCGGTACATATAGATCGACCGGAGATTGAATTCGGTTAGAGCCAAGCAGGCTTTAGCCAAATTACGAGGTTGTAGGCGCTCGAGACTGTTTCAGAGTCTGCGTTTAGACGCCGGGTAGAGAGCCATTTCCCGTTCGGATAAAGCCTAAATTGTGCCATGGCTTCAGGTATTCTGACTCTGGCCAATAGAACAAGGTCCATGCTGTATGATATCCTATGCCTAGACACAGTAGCATGGCATGAACAGTGATTGGACTGTTTTTCTTAAACCGCTTTAAGATGGGTGGCTATAGAAGCCATTCGTACGTATAGTAAGGCTGATTACCGCTGCTAGCAATGCCCAGATGTGTGAACTTGCACGTTAATATTGCATCTGTGCTGGTAGACGGAAGTCACAGTATAAGGAAGAAAGTACATACAACTAAATCCAGGGTCTCAGGGAAAAATCCACAATACAAATCGAGTTGTGTGGAGTGATCTTATGAGACAAAAGTGGATACGCCTCTTGCCGGTGAAGCTCTCCCTGAGCAGACTTCATCGCAGTGAACACTCGGCAGTTGACCCTTTAAGAACGAACCGATGGCTATCAGGCGGCGGTTTCAGGTTTTCCGACCAGATCACTAATCCTCTTGGCTCCGGTTATCGAGCCCAGATTTGTGAGCCCCACTAGCCCTACATAAACCCGTTCCTAACTTTAACTCGCGACTAGAGGCTTCCTCCACCCAATCGATTGTGGAAATGGCACTGTTCTTCTTCATATGGCAGTTGAGGTCGGAAGAGATTTCCCTGTGTTTCTTCCCATATATGTCCCTAGCATTCGACCTTGGTCGAAGCTGCTAGATGGCAACTGCGCTCACTTGGGTTTCACCATTATAGTAGCGGTTTCTTCATAATCATTGTAACATTTTCAACCGCGTTTATTCCCCATTATGCTGCCTTGCCCAGTCAACTAGTTATTAGCACGGTTGGTCTGCCACTTCTGTGTTGATAGAGGAGCCCGGCCTACTTATAATCGCATAATCTGTCCGTGATTGCTCTTGGAGTGAATCTAGATTTGCACACCCAGTGCGAGCTGAGCTGTAGATATAGTATCATAACTCCTGGAATAGTTAACACACATTGGTTATACAGTAGGTCGGCTTTAACCGTGTATACATTGTACCTATCTCGCTAAAAGACAACGCCGTGCCTTTAAAGGAAGGTCCTTAGCCTGCTTATGTGGGGCAGTGGATTTACCCAGTCGTGACAGACTGAAAATTGTTCATTGGTAGAGCGCCTCGCACGTCTGTCGGGGTCTAGACATCATGCTTATGGGCCTATGGATTTAGCCTAGGAATACTGACCCTTGAGCTAGTAGTAAGGCTTGGCTCTTGCACCTAGGTAAAGGGCCACTACGCAGTCTGTATAGGAGTCTCCCATTCTTTGGTCTGGCGAATGCCACAGCGCTACATTTATATGAAACTCTTGGTTTTACTTCAATTTCGTTACTTCAGTCCCTCGTCAAGCTGGGAGAACTATTTAAGCTGGGGGTTACCAACATAACCATGTTGTCCTTTCTCTATCAATTCGTTCATTCTTTCCGTTGTTTTTAGTATTGTTCATTCCCTTCCTTTCTTACCCGACAAACTAGACGTTTGCTTTCCTTTCTTTACCTCTTTTTTTCTTCTATCCAAGATGAAGCTAAACCTTGCCTCTCTTTCCTTTCTTGCGAGTCTCACCCCGCTGGTTTCGGGTCATTATGTGTTTTCGAAGTTGATTGTCGACGGACAGACCACTAAGGATTTTGAATACATCCGAGAGAACAGCAATGGGTACCAACCAACACTGGCTTCTGAAATTGTGAGCGACGACTTCCGCTGCAACAAGGGCTCCATGGAGTCTGCCGCCAAGACCAAGGTCTACACGGTTGCTCCAGGTGCCGAGATTGGTTTTCAGCTCGCCTATGGTGCCACGATGAAGCACCCCGGCCCCCTGCAAATCTACATGTCCAAGGCACCCGGCGACGTCAAAAGCTACGACGGATCAGGCGACTGGTTCAAGGTATACCAGGAGGGTGTTTGCCACGACATTTCCGGTGGCCTGAAGGATACCGACTGGTGCACTTGGGATAAGGATACTGCATCCTTCAAGATCCCCGAGAATACGCCGGCTGGCCAGTATCTTGTTCGTGTGGAACACATTGGCCTTCATCGCGGCTTCAGTGGAAACTCCGAGTTCTACTTCACCTGCGCTCAAATCGAGGTCACTGGCTCTGGTTCGGGCGTTCCGGAGCCCTTGGTCAAAATCCCTGGCATGTACAATCCTGAGGATCCCAATATCCACTTCGACATTTACTACCCTACCCCGACTTCCTACGATCTTCCCGGTCCTTCTGTCTGGTCCGGCAGCGCCTCCGGTTCCTCTCCTGCTATCTCCGCCCCTCCTGTCAATAACGCCGCCGCCGCTTCCTCTGCCGCTCCGACGACTCTTGTGACCCTCTCCAAGACTGCCGATACACCTGCTCCTACTCAGCCTGCTCCATCAGTCGGTACTATCAAGAAATACTACCAATGCGGTGGTGAGGGTTGGACTGGGTCCGGATCGTGTGAAGCCGGCACTACCTGCCGCGACTGGAACCCTTGGTACCATCAGTGTGTCTAAGCCGAGCTACACAGTAGGACAATTTCTATAGCTGCGACGCGGGTAGCCAACTTCGTCTTCATATATATTCTCTTGTGGCTCTTCTCTTAGACTATTCAGATCTTGTATTTGATAACAGCTCTGCGCCTGAAACAACAATCTGAAACACATTATTCTTTATTCCAGTATCAGTGGCACAAACTTAGCAAGTATTTAAGTTATCAATAAGCCGTGGTCGTGGAAGGTCTTATCATCTATGATAGGTTGGGAATTGTAGTCTTTGGGAAGGACAGCATGAAAGTATGGACATACATAAATTCTATCTCGCACAATGTGGTTATATCTCGTAAATGTGTTAGGTTTATTCAGTTAGGAGGCATTGTCGTCATGACCGACCGTCAGCTTCTACACCTACGTCGTTTCCAAGTGCTCAGAGGCTACATGCGAGGCATCTGGCTCTATTTTACCTATCATAGTCACTACTTGGCCTATGGTTCATCGGATGCAACTATAATGCAGCGCCACATATGTAAGTACGACGTGTATATACTATCTCGCATATAAATCAACGAACAACCAACATCTACGCCCCAACAATACAAAACATACCAACTTCATCAAGCTGTCTAATCAGTATCAGAAATGAAGGCATCAAACGTCCTCGCGGGCAGCCTCCTCCCCATAATCGGACGATGCTATCCCGTCTACCCCCAACAAGAAAAGCACCTCGTCCGTGTGCCTCTCCCTTCCCCAGATAACTGGGTCGCGGGTCCGCGTCTCTTCCCCGGAGAGGTCATTGCAGGTTACCATGCCAGCATCTTCGAGCACGACGCCAAAGGTTGGCGTGAGTATATTAACGAGAAATGCGAGGAGTTTCATGAGTGTACCTCGACTATATCGCTCAGCGGTAAGAGCCCAGATGTACTACGGGGCGTTTGAATTGACGTTGACGGTGACTTGTTTCTGCTCTAGCGAATAACGTTGGCTCGACGGGTGGTCGGTACTGGTTTGGATATGTCTTTCGGGGTCGCCCTACTACGCCGGATGACTATGTCAGGGACTGGACTGCTAAGGCTGAGGTGAAGGATTCGGCTGCATATACTATCAACTATAAGGATGATGAGGATGGTTTTCTAAGGTCACAGTGGGATATCTTGTAGATGGTCGCCGTGTCCAAGTGGTCTGTGGGTCTGTGGTATGGCTTGGGGATGTCTTATGTTTTTTACTCGTTAAATACTGTGGTCGGTCTCTCAAATTATATGTATTATCGTGTTATAGGAGACCCAAAAGCAAGCAAAGTTCACTGTACTCGAACTGATTGATTCAAAATTATATTCGTCTGATTCGTTAGGTAATGTGACGTGCATTCATAATGACGCACTTTGTTTCCTCCAAGGCAAAGTTACATACGACATGAGATACTTGCGGATGAAGGGTCAGACCAAGTTTCCTTGATAAAATCGGCACACCGTTCCCCAATTCCATATGCGGGCATCTGGGTATGTCCACCGTGCAAAGTGGGCATTACACTACAGTCCGCCACGCGCAGTCCAGCAACTCCCTTGACCCTTAGCTTGTTATCTAGGACCGCAAGAGGGTTATCGTCCTTGCCCATCGCACAAGTTCCGGAAGCATGATAGCCTGTTTACATTAGTATATCGCTCGAACGAGGGCTACGGACAAACTTACAAGTGGTAGCATGTTCCTTGACATATGGAATCCACTCCTCCCGAGTCGTGTAGGTATGATGGGTCAGGTTGGGCGGCCAGGACCCCTTGACGATATCTTTGGTTCCTGCCCCTTTCATGACAACCTCGTTGCCAAAGCGGCATGCCTCGGTCAGCACCAGGAGGTCCATTGGATCAGCCAAGTAATTGCAGTCAACAATGGGGTTTTCCAGAGGATCCTGAGATTTCAAGGTAACAGTGCCCCGAGATTTCGGAGCAAAAAGCTCTGCAATCATCGAGAACGCGTGCTTGTGGTCGACTGGGAACTGATCGTACTGTTTGGGTCCGCCGTAGCACTCGGTAGTGAAGAATTCGATGTTAGGTTGCTTAGGCGTCAGGCCCATTGGGTCACGGCCAGGCTTGCGGGGAGCGTCTCGCCACAACGGTTCGTCCTTGAGGCGCTCGTCCAGGCGGGCGAAGGCGAATGCGCCGAAGGGGAATGTTGATAGGAATCCGGTCTTCTGTTCCTTCCATTGTGCGTATGTCTTTTCCATGTTATCGTCGTGGTAGACATGCCAGTCGTTTGTGAGGCCTTCCTTTTCAGTTTCGTAGAACATGAATACGATCTAGTAGGATTAGTAGCCCGCCAGACTGTCTACAAGGTCTTTGGCTCACCAAATGATCCATCAGGTTTTTACCCACACCAGGCAGGTCAACCTTGCAAGGAATGTCGCACTTTTCCAGTTCCTCCCGTGCCCCGATTCCAGATCGCATCAGCACGGCAGGGCTGCAATAAGCACCACTAGATATGACAACCTCCTTTCTCGCGTGGAAAGTGCGGGTGGTTCCATCGGCCAATCTGGCCACGGCACCTGTCGCCCGGAGCCCCGTGGGACCTTCTTCTAACACGATGCGGTCGACTGTAGCATCGGTTTGAATGGTTACGTTGGGGCGGTTGTAATCGTTGGTTATGAAATCCGCGCCCGTAGTACGGATCCCCTTATACACGGTACGTGGTGCATGGCCGCATCCGTGGGCAACGTCGCCAGTGCTGAACATGTCATGATACAGAGGCATTCCTTGGGAAACGAGAGAGTCCATGAGCAGGTTCGAGATGGGTGCGAGATCGTGCGGCTCGGTGTGCAGTGGGCCATTGTAACCATGGCTTTGGGTGTCGGCTTGGAACCAGTCTTTGGGATGGAAGGTTTCCGACTGTGATAACATACTGTTAGGCATGGCATGTTTCTGTCCACTGTGGGAAGAATCTACCTTTCTCATCGCGGCAAAGAACTCCTCTCCACTCCATCCCTCCAGCTCCCAGTCATCGTAATCTTGCTTGCTCCCTCGCACACACAGGGTACCGTTACATCCGCTGCAGCCTCCTAAGAAGCGCCCGCGGCTCAGTTTCACCTGTCGGTTATCGACTCCTTTCATAGGCGATGTGACTATATTCCAATCGGTTTCCGAGTCAAAGTTATTTGACCATCTGCGACGCTTAGTGGGTGAGACGAGTGAGCGTGGATGCGGCATTCATACCCTCCCGTCATATGTACGTTCTCCAAATCTTTATTATGTTGACCAGCCTCCAGGACTAGCACCTTCACATTAGGATTTTCCGCGAGACGACCAGCGACAACGCATCCTGCAGTGCCACCTCTTTCCGGTTGATCTATCAGCTGGGGCTCATATCGAAACACATTTCTCCAAATCCCCCCGCCCGCACTTACCCGCAAATAATGTAGTCGTAAACATCGTCCGGAGTGCTTCCCATGATGACTACCTGATGTTTTTGCAAGGGAGAGCGGGTGACGGAAGTGAAATTCTGTGGAATAGATTAAATCTCAAGTTTCTCTACGGGCTCCTAGCGAGTCCATCTCGGCATACTCTCCTTTTATACACTGGATGAGCATGAATAATCTTCATGTGCAATCCCCCACTTGGTGGGCACAGGCGGGCCATATTCCGATTCATGTGGCCGGCCTAAAAAAGAGGGGAGCAGGATAAAGATAGCCAGTGAACGCAGCTAATTATCTTACTATGACTAGCTTGGCTCTAGATCCAACAAAGGATTTCAGCTATTGATCAATAGACCCGGTCGCTCTCGGCCAGCGAGAAAGCCATTGTGATTCGCTGTGAATCAGACTGATTTAGTCACGGTGCAGTCTAATCGTGAGGTCGTGGATAAATCACCAAGCGAAAGAGGGGGCCAAGACGCCACTAAGCCCGCGCCATGGATAAGCTGAAGGCAATTTCCTGCCAGCACTGCGGAAGCCAGGCAAGTCGGGTTCGTGTTGCGTCCCGCGATGTTCCTCGAACACGGGGTTTCTCTGCGCGCTGGTGCTCATGGCGGACGTGCATACTTCCATTAATGCGTTCCGGACGTCCTTAGTTCGGGGAGAAGGTTTGATCCTTCACATTTCGGCCAGATACAAAGCGATCAACACTACGAAAACGGGTCTGCGGGTTCCAAAATGGCTCACGATATCGACCTCCACTTTTACCCGCTATTCTGCTTGCAGAGCACACACGGCTGGGAGAAACTATCTTGAAACTAAATTCGGAACAAGCTCTGGCAGCGAATCAAAAAGTACTACCCCCCAAAAATGTGGGTCAGGATGTGAGAGTTCTTATATCTGCATCATCTGAAGACAAGGTTGCGACCTGTCACACTGCTCATGAAACTGCGTGAAATAAAACTAATGCGGCATCCGCATCACCCCAGGCCCTTGGCGTATGGGGTAAAACGCGGTGATATGCTCTTTACTACCTCCTGCGTCTCCGTACCAAGAAAATAGGAGGTCCCCAGAAGAACAGGTTCTCCAACGACGTATCTCAGCGGAACGCCGAATGGGGCCGACGAAGCTTTAAAGTTATTCTGGTCTAAAGGCAAATGGTCGTATGTCCTGTCATGCAGGCCGTTGAAGCACCCTTAAAACTTAACTAGCGTACGTATCCCTGTCAGGGGCGCTCGCCACCCCATCCCCCCGGTCTCTTAAAACCCATCAGTAGGGCACTACTTACCGCATGTGTGTCAGGATCGTCGTGAATCCTGGTAGATTCGCCATAATCCCGAAATCCCAGGCAGATCCCGATATCCAGACCAAGTTGACACGGGAGAACAGCCCACTCGAGATCCCTCTCAGGATCCTACCTTGGCGGTTGGGATCCAGTACGACGATCTGGTCCAGGGCGCTGCCTGCGTTTCCCGTACACGAGGACTAGCCTGGCTGATCAACTCGCTCTGGGTCACATTTCCTTCTTTCGATACTTCAACTGCAGCTCCTATCCAGCATTCCTTTGACTAATCCTGGAGGAAATAAACAAAACCTTAACTCCTATTAAGAGGCATCCGCAAACCAACCTGGCCGCCGAGGATCCGTTCTTTAGAAACAGTATATCCACCAGCTCCCCATGACGTGAACCATTGGCCTTCACCTGGACCATGCTTCTTGTTTGTATATGATCCTGGTGTGGGAATTTGAACGACTGAAAGTACCATCCACGGCCCTGCTGCACTCCACCACACGTTGCCTCCACGATGGGCCATGCCACCCCCTTCCAGAAAGAAGCATGGGCGGAATATGGCATAGGCGTAGTCATTATATTCCTCCGTATTTTTGCCCGCTTTAGAGTGGTCGGGGTCAAAAACTGGCAAGGAGATGACTACTTCGCGTTTGTAGTGCTCGCCTTCTGGACTGTAAGCTTTCCCTTTCCCTGAGTCTCACCACAGGCCACTCTAACGGATGCCAGGCAGAATTGACCATGCTGGAACTGATCGGTAGGCGCTTGTCTCTTCTCAAGTTCTAGAAAACTACTCACATATCCTCCCCAGGCCAGTATGGCACCAACATCGGTCTCAGTGATGCCCAAAGGGCTTCGCTGACCCCCGAGCAAATCGAGATTCTTGCCCGTGGTTCCCGATGTCTTCTCGCAGGCTGGACGTGCTATGTGACCCTGATTTGGTCGCTGAAGGCCTGCATGCTATTCTTCTACAACCGCCTCACGTAAAAGCTCCACACAGCCCGCCGAGTCCGCTACCCAACTGACCATATTTCTAGCCTGGGCCTCGTTCAGCAAAAGCTCGTCAAATTCAATGCCGTGCTTTGCGCTTCCACGTACATTGCCGTCATCCTGACCATCTTTCTACACTGTCGGCCGCTGCACAAAAACTGGCAGGTGTATCCAGATCCCGGTCGTAAGGGCCCTCACAGTGTCCGTTAGAGAAACCATCCATTCTAACCACCATGTCCAGTCAACTGCTCTGCCGACTACGTGAACTATATCGTCATTGCAGTGACGAATGTCACGTTCGTGGCCCCTACCCAATACCAGAATCCACGCTAATATAGCACAGGACAGACGCAATTCTCGTGTGCATCCCGATCCCATTATTGATTAAAGTGCGACTCGCATTACGCCGGTAAGCACCCTCATGCAAAAAAAAAAAAAAAACAATAAGCCAGTTCTAATCAGACTATGCATAGAAAGCTGATTATCGGACTCCTCCTGTGCGGCGGTGTCTTCGTCATGATCGCAACGCTGCTGCGCTGTATTCTGTCCCTGCAAAGTATCAACAGCATCAACACCAGTACCATCTGGGCTATTCGCGAAACGGTAGGTCCGCAACCTACACCCCCACATGTTCTTTGCGGGATCTTTTTGGGGATGGACATGGGGCTTCGCTAATCGGTCGTTAGTTCGTGGGCATCATCGCCGTCAACGCCCCCTGCATCAAACCGCTCTTCAGCAGCTCGACCTGGCTCGGGTCCTCCGGGGACCCGTATGCGTCCTCGCGAAAGAAGGGCAGCTACAGTCTGTCGGCGTTCGGCAAGTCGAAGCCGAGTCAGTTGGAGTCGACGCGGAGTACGAAGGTGGGCGGGCGATCCAGCGATGAGTTCATCCTTCGCGGTGGCGGAACGCAGACGGTTGTCAACGATGGGCAGACGGGGCGGTCCGAGAGCCTGTCAGATGAGGAGGCGGGAAGGCACCCGATGGGGGGCATTCAGGTTACCACGATGTATGAGATTCGCAGAGATGGGTCTCAACATGCGTGATTGAGTTTGGATTATCCCTTTACGTAACTTGTGGGCTTTGCGGGTGGCGCGTTGGGCGGTCGGTCTTGGTCATCGTGCGTTTCGGAAGAAAAAAGATGTATGAAAGGTATCATAGAGGCTATACCCTGTACAGTAACTCTCTTTTGACAAATTCTGGAGTTTATATATACGGGGTCCGGGATCAGTGCACGAGTTCTGCGTTGGAATTTGGATAGCACGGAAGTTAATCTGCAAGTACCGATACGGGGTGCAGGAACCAAGATGATGGTTCATATATGATCCATCAGAACTAGGAAAATGAGGCGCCAGCCCCTGATGTTATTTCTTTGACATGACCCGTCGTGGAATGATAATGTCTGATTCAGGGCAACAAAGATGCATCAAGAGTGTCCATTTCCTCGACTCATGTGACTTATCAGCATGTGACTGATAAGAGGTCCTGATCGTTCATACCGCATGGGGACTAGCGTCGGAAACCAGCCGACACTAAGCAACAAAGCGTTCTTTTTCGGCCAGTTTTTGCCATCCGACGGAGGGGCGAAACTGCGAGAAGGCCGTGACTAGCGCCTGCCCTAAGCGACTGCAACTGAAAAGAGGGGGGCAAAAAGGCCGCCATGAGGTCTCCTCCGTCGCCACCCTGAAGTTCCTGTTGGTGTTTGCCATGTTGCCAATTGGAAAGCCCTGCATAAGTTTTAACTCAGTTTTTTTATCTAAACTTGAGGGGGCCCGAGGTCTTGGCACTATAGATACGGTTGAGACCCACCGCGCACACGATGGCCTCGCGGTGATGATTTGGGTTCTCAATCACAATGGATTGAAGATTCGTGAGGTGAGAGGATACTTCAGAAGGCTTCAGCGCATGTCAAGAAGGTGAAGATATCGGCATTGGCTTCCGCTAAGCTCGCCATGTTGCAATGACACCACTGACGAAAGGCCACTTTCCGCTCTCATCGGCTGGCTGTTCGATTTTACATAATGGCTCGGCGTCTCCCAGCCAGTGAAAAGTCTGCCGGTGGATCTCGCTGCGGAGTCTTATTCCAGTTTGACTCAATGAATTTTTCTAGAGCCGGAAAAGAACGAAAAATGAAAATGAAAAAAAAAAAAAAAAAAAAAAAAAAAAAAAAAAAAAGAAAAGAAAAGAAAAGAAAAATCCCAACCGTATGACTACGTAGTAATCTGTTCGGAAAAGCTTTTTCCTTCTTTGACACCGATCATCGAACTCGTATCGAACTCGTGCATGCACGTAACCGCGTCCCAATCCTCTCCCTCTCTCTTTCCCCCTCACGAGTCACCTTTCCCTGTCCAATATACAACATAATATTCGGCCGGGATGGCCATTGACGAGGTCACCCCTGCGCCGCAGGTGACGGAAACCGCTGCTGGAAACGACGGTGATAAGATTAGCATCAAGCAGAGCACGAACCCTCTGAAGAAGTTTGGCAAGAAGAAGGATGGCAATGGAAATGAAGATGTGGAGAAGGATGGAATTGGAGGGGATACGCCGCCGCATGACTTGCAGCGCAGGCTGAAGAGCAGACATTTGCAGATGATTGCTATCGGTCAGTCAGGATCTGATATACAGAGTGATCGGAACTGGGTTTAACCATGACACAGGTGGTACAATTGGAACGGGTTTGTTCATCAGTAGTGGAACAGCCATCGCACACTCTGGCCCGGCGGGTGCCCTCATCGCCTATATCTTCGTTGGTTCGATTGTGTTCTCGGTCATGTCCTCACTAGGTAAGATACTGGTGGTCCTGAGATCAGATAACGTGCGGGGTACTAATCCATGGCAGGTGAGGTCGCAACGTATCTTCCCATCTCCGGTTCTTTCACCTCCTACACCGCACGACTCGTCGATCCCAGTCTGGGATGCGCCATGGGTTGGATTTATTGGTTTAACTGGGCTTCGACATACGCTGTGGAACTGACTGCCACCGGTCTGATTGTTCAGTATTGGGACGATAAACTGTCGGTAGCCATCTTCATCGCCATCTTCTGGGTAGTGATCACCCTTCTCAATTTCCTCCCCGTTGGTTTCTATGGAGAAATCGAGTTCTGGTTTTCGATGATCAAAGTGCTCACCGTCCTGGGATTCATGATCTTCGCTATCTGCATTGACGCTGGCGTTGGAAAGCAGGGCTACCTTGGATTCCACACGTGGAAGGAGCCCGGAGCATTTGCTCCCTATTTGATCGACGCGTCCAATCCGGTGTCCAAGTTCGTCGGTTTCTGGGCCGTGCTTGTGCAGGCCGGTTTCTCCTACCAAGGTACCGAGCTGGTTGGTGTCGCCGCTGGTGAGACAGAGAATCCGGAGAAGACCGTGCCCTCGGCTATCCGCAAGACCTTCATCCGTATTCTCGTCTTCTTTGTCCTGACCATCTTCTTCATGGGCTTGCTGGTCCCCTACGACAACCCCAACCTGATCACCGACTCCAGCGACGCCTCCGCCTCCCCTATGGTCATCGCCGCGAAGCTCGCCGGCGTAAAGGTCCTGCCCAGTCTGATCAACGCCGTCCTCCTGACCGTGGTCCTCTCGGCTGCCAACTCCAACGTCTACAGTGGCAGTCGTGTGCTCCTCGGCCTGGCTCAGGAAAAGTTTGCGCCCCCAATCTTCGGCTGGGTCAGTCACCGTGGTGTGCCCTATATTAGCGTCGCCTTCACGGCCGCCTTCGGACTTCTCGGGTTCATGAACGTCTCTGAATCCGGTGGAAAGGTCTTCAACTGGCTGGTCAACATCTCCAGTGTGGCTGGATTCATCTGCTGGACGTCCATCAGTCTGAGTCACCTGGCTTTCATGCGTGCCCTGAAGGCGCGCGACATCTCCCGTGACACCCTACCCTACAAGGCCGCCCTCCAACCCTACCTGACATGGTACGGACTCTTCTTCAGTGTCCTGATCATCATGACCCAAGGATTCACGGCCTGGATTCCTACCTTCAATGTCTCGGATTTCTTCGTCGCCTACATCTGCGTGATCATCTTCGTGGTGCTGTACCTGGGCCACAAGATTTTCTACCGCACCCATTTCGTGCACCCGCTCGAAGCAGACTTGCAAACGGGCCGCCTCCAGAACTACTCCTGGGAAACGGCGAGGCCGAAGACCTGGCAGGAGCGGCTTCGCGAGAGTCTTTAAATTAAGTATAATACCCGTGCTCTGCGGTGTAATTCCAACATCAAGGGGGCTTGGCATGGCAGCTGTGCGTGCATAGAGGCAGCTGCTGCGCTCTGGGCGCTCCGCCCGGAGCAGGCATTCGTGGAAGAAGCGTCTTTTAACATTCCCGTTTACATATAGCAACAGTGGAGTTTTGGGTGTTTTGGGTGCATATCTTTTGATGATTGGTATGTGGTCATGCGATCATGTGTATAGTGTTTCTTATATCCATGTATATGATAGACAGGAGATAGTTATTGAATAATCATACAAACAAGCATTGTGCATAAATACATAAGTTGTTTCAAGAGAAATCATGCCCCGCTATAACGCCCACACACCCACCCGGTCTACATACAAAACGCCTACAACCATCTAACAAAGCCAACCGACCGCTATCAGATAGTAAAAAAGTTTCAAATCCACCGCAAAGCCCTCGCCACCACCGACACTCCCCCAAGAAGACCAGTCACACCAGTCAGCACCACCAAGATCCCATACTCCGTCCCATACGCGCCCCACGCTTGGCCCTCCCACAACCTCGTCTTCAACAACGCCTCACTCAACGGCCCACTAATCACATTCCCGATGCCCCGACCCGTCTCCAGAAACGCAAAAACCATGCTCACGTCCGCAGACGGATGGCTCTTCCTGACCTCCGCCGAAGTCGCAGCCCACGACGACGAAAAACTGGCCCCCGTGCACGCGTACACGATCGTAAAGAGATACAGCGGCGCGAGGTGCACGCTCAGCCCCCACAGCAGGAACGTGGAGCACACCCCGCCCACCGTGGAAATGAGGATGCATTTCGTGACGTGGTACCGATCGGCCAGCCATCCGATGAGGATGCAGCCGAAAATGGCTGAGATGTTGAACACGGTGATTGTGGAGGACGCCGCGAGGCCCTTGGCGCCGAGCAGCCCCGCGTAGCTCGGGAGGAAGAGCTGCGGCACGAAGAAGCCCAGCGATTGGACTACGTTGCAGGCTTGGTAGATGAGGTAGGTGCGGTTGCGGTGGAAGCTGAGGTCCAGCTGGTGCAGGTTGGTGGTTGTCCGGGGGAGACGTGGTCGGTGGAACAGCATGAACGGCGCCGCCAGGAGGAAGATTGCTACCGAGCAGATTCGGAGGGTGGTTTGCCAGCCGTAGGCATCCAGGAGGGATTGGAGGATTAGGGGGAAGATTATTCCCGTTAGGCCGGAGCCGCTCTGTGTGGTTGGTTGGGTGTTAGTGTTGGGGTTACTGGATAAAGGGGAAGGGAGGGCTGGGTGGGTGGTTTACCCAGACGATGCCGAAGGCGAGGCTTTTCTTTTTGACGAACCAGTCTGGCATGAAGAGGATCGATGGCGCGTAGGCAAAGCAGCCTGCGGTGCCGTATGCGATGCCTTGGGACAGGATTAGGTGCGTGACGTTTGTGGAGAATGAGCTCAGGGCCAGGGAAAGCGATAACACTACGAATGCTATCGAGGATGCCCATCTTTGCAACCGAGGAAGGGCTATCAAGATGGCCATCACGATGGGGGATAGCAGGTACGCCATGCCCTGTTGCTATTAGCAGGTCGATATATGCCTATGGGACGGGATACTCTAACTGACCATTGCGCAGGTCCCTATCGCAGCTATAGCATGGGACCCTTGGAATGCCGGGTCATTTCGATAGTAGTTTTGAAATACACCGAAACATGCGGCGAATCCTAACGCAGCTCATTGTCAGATGCTATTGTAGCAGGCCAGACATGGTTAACTCACCCCAAACGGTGCCTTCCACCACAAAGCATGCCGCTAGGAAAAGCCAAGCGTGGAGTCCTCCATCTACTGGAGGCAGCTTGGGGTCATGGTATTCGCACTCCAAGTCGAAGGTCTGGGAGGATTCCGTCGGGGATGGAATCCTCGACTCTTTGCAGAGAGCCTGCGGAACCTTTTCAGTATCCATGGCCTCCATTTTGTGACACTACCGATAGAAGAGCAGAACTAGGGGTTACCTCAGATGGGCTGAAACATAGGGCCAACACGGGGTACGATTGTACAAATAGGAGTGTTCTCCATAATGAATTCTCCCCATGTGAATTCGCCTCTGAATATGGGCTGAGCTGTGAAATAAGATAAACAGGTTTATCCCTTGCAGGACCGACCTTTATAAACCAAGTAGTTAGTAAAGTTGTCGATCATTGCGATTCTAATGTCCGAGGAATGCCCCTTTCCTATTCTGCAAGTAATAACTTTCCACCTTGGTGATCTTCGGTATACTTTGGCTCGGAATTCTCACTTACTAATTTTAGGTGGGGAAAACTGCTGCAGGCCCAAGGGTATGGGCCCAGTCTTGAACTACGTCAAAGGCAGCTTATGGGGAACAGAACGCGCGGCCGTATCTGTCGTTGACATGTAAATAGGATGTAGCCCTTTGTCTGATACATACTTGAATTGATATTTGTAATTGAAACAGCATCATCCACGTGAGGAAATAGGACGTCATCTCCCCGGAATGCTGGCCAAAGTACCCAAAAGGAGGTTATGGGAGATCACGCCGCCTGACGCATACCATGGTTGGAGTGCTATTTAACCAATAGATTACACAGGACTTGATCATATAATTTCTACTACAACCAGAATGTAAGGCTGTGTCTGGACTTGGCACCGTAACTATTACTGTTGACAACATCAGACTTCGCCTCGCCATAACCACAAGAGCCTTGTCTTGTGCAAGCTAACGCAAGCGTTTGACTGCTTCGTCACCCTTGTCTGCAGCTAGTTCGAGCCAGGAAAATGACAGACTTAGCTTTTTTATTCATTTTTTGCGTAAATAGAATCTGTTTTCCTTGTCATTCTGATTAACTTGATAGGAATACAACAACGGGGTAGGTGTCTCAGCCTTAAAGTATCTCATCGGCAAGCGAATCTTTTGAGAGTAGCATGACAGAAATTCCAGCTGTGATGGCTGCGTCTTAGCAGACAATTTACTTGCCCTTTGTTGGAAGAGAGAGGAAGAGAGGGAGGGAGAGACTAGAAGAAAAAATTGTTCATCTGTTTGAAATTGCATCATCTAATGTTCTCGTTCGTGGGCTTCTTACGGTAAACCCTAGGAGCAATCAAGCCCTCCTCCTTTACTTCCATCCCTGTCTTATAATCTAGTGGGTCTTTCTATATAATTGTGTCGTCAATGTATTTTGACATTTAGTCGTTAGAATAGTCACACTCATGCTGCTCTGTCATTAGAAAAGAGCTGCTGTTGTGGGGACTGTACGATGCAAAGAAATGCTCAAAAAATAAATTAGGATCAAGTACCAACCGGTAGGGAACAGGACAGAAAGCACACAGCATAATCACAAATACAACTTGTACAACTTTAATCTCGACAATTCAGCAGAAAAAGGCCTACTGAGTTATCTAATGTATGGAACTACTGGTTCAACAATACAGTATGTCTCGAAAATGAACCTATACTCTTAGATTGTTTCCCGAACCTTAATGAGGAACACTAGTACATTTTCGGGGGTTTTCCGGAGTACCTATCCTGACAACATAAGTGTTAGATCAGCCAAGCCCTTGTTGGTGCTTGTTGACCTATCTGCTCCTGCCGCCTTGAAATAGAACTTCCAACAGGATAACAATGCCTCCCATAAACGCACCCTTAGCGGACATTGATCCCTCCAGAATTAAGATTATTAGGGAGATTGCGCAATCTGACGCGTCTTCAATATTCGAGGTAGATCTGGATGGACAAAAGTATGCATTGAAACTCTTCCACAACGACGGCGACCCTGGATATACCGAGAAAGGTCGTGATCTAAACCGATTTCGCTGTGAATCCAAGGCATACGAGAAGCTCTTTACTTCTGGTGTCTGTGAACGCCGCTTCGTTCCAAACTTCTACGGCTACATCAATGAAATGGATCTGGATGCATTCCATCCTACTCTCCAAGGTTTCGCCAAAGACAAGTTAAAGCCGAGTGCAATATTGCTAGAATATCTCCCAGATACAGAGAGCTTAAACTGCGTGAACTACTCAGATACGCTGTATTCCCAGGCAATCGAGGGTATGAAGGAGATACACAGTGCCGGTGTTCACCACCGGGACATCTACCCCAAAAACATTCTCATTGTTCATGGAAACCCCGATAGACTGGTCTGGATTGACTTTGATGTTGCAACGACCTTCACCAACTTTGGATCTGAACAGAAGGCGCTCTGTGACCACGAAATTGCGCTTGTAAAGGGGCTTGGGGATGCACTAGTAAGGGCTCCTTTGTTATCTATAACGATATAACTATAGGAGGTATCTAGTGTACTGACGACGAGTACAGAAAGATGACCAGGATAATGGACTCCCTCCGAATACAAAGTTTTATTGAGAGTTTTATAGGATTTTCTTGATTCTGACAATATTTGATGGCGTTTATGCGGTATTGTACAGTTGGAGTCGAAAACAGATTTCCCTTTGTTCACTTACGGATTGTTTCTCGGGCTGTATCAGATACCGCCATAGTCTGTATTCGGGTGGTTTACGAGCAATCTCTGCTTAGTGGTATTGTACTGAATTATATCGTCAAATAAGTCGATGTAGAAATACTGTGTGCTTGTTTAGTATCTTGCAGAATATTCTAGATAAGGTCCTAAGCATGAGGAGAGTCAAATCTTGCTCTGTGTCCTTCACCATACCTCGATTATTTGATTTAGCCCTCCCACTCGATCTGGTAGTGGACACAATCTGGAAGTTGTTCATCCCATGTACCTCCATCGGCACACTCAGCCCTTGGATCGAAACATAATTGGCCGGACGGGTGTGTAGAAGGAAGGGCGAACGTTCCACAACTATGGCTTCAAGACCCGGTGAAGGGCGGATTACAGTATTTACGGTCATCATCAAAGATCCCTCGACCGCGCGAACAAATACATGGCAGGGCAGGAGACGCATGATTTTCATGAGCAATAGTTACGTTATGAAGGCAGCATACTGTCCTCATTATGATATGGCGCTCAAAAGCGCTCTGCGTCGTCCCCTATCGCCCAAATTGGACCCGTTAGGTTATGACGGCGAAACATCTCCACCGCGTCGCGCGATGACCACTTCGTCCAGTCCGCATCGGCATGGCGTCCGTACCATTCAGTAGCAAATTTCCAGATTTGCTCAATTGGCCGCACATCCCCTTTAGGTATGCCCCTAGTGGAACACCATTCGTCCACCTCCGCTTCGTTGCGGAACAGTAACATGACCGAGCACGTGTATATAACGTTGTCCCAGGCGTTACGCATTGGGATTGGAAAGTGTATAACATAATCTTTGTCTAATAGCTCTCCATTCTTGGTAGTGATAGATACTTCGTCCCCAATAGCACCAAGTCTCGTCGTGAGGGTAGCGGTGCAGCCAATGAGCTGCATCACCCCGAGCGAGCACCAAGCGCAGTTGCCCCACCATTTGCGCTCGCCCGAGGAAACAATACAGGTTGTAGGTGCTGCTGAGAACGGGTGAGCAACCCAGACCTCGTCAGAATGTGGGTGGAGCACAACGCCGTGGTATTCTGCCAACGCTTGCAGTCCCTGCCGCGCCGTCAATTCACTGCATTGGAAACGGGTGGCGATCTCGCTGATAGTCGGAGGGCGCTGGTTCGTAAGAAACGAGGAGATAATGGCTTCGTGCAGACTTGAATTGTTCATGATGACATAGGAATTGCTGTTTTCAATGTTGTAAGGGATTAATAATCTTTTATGTTTCGTGTTTGTCTGGATATAGTGCTCTGTGAACGAAAGCTTAAGAAAGCACTGACGCCGCTTTGTCCTTTTTATATAGTACTCGGACATAATAATTCCCGGTTTGCAAGACAAGACGCGTCATATCAATGGACTGCCAATCACACCGTACACTTAGGTGGGGCTACTCACCAAAAGGCGTGAATAATATGTTTCCATAGTAAGAAAAAGTGCTAAGTTTTCTAATAGAATGGCAGCTTTTCTAGAAGACAATCACAAAGAGTTTCAAGCATCGGAGATGTGACAAGACATCATCGCCCAACATGAACTGGTGGAGCTCTAGCGCTATAAAAATGCTCCCAGTTTGGCGCATGTAATGAACTGCTTATCGGCTACACTCGGCTCCTAAGCTATATGGGGTTATTTTTCTCATAACTGTTTATCACAGACGAGTTGAATTTTTGATATTTTGAGTCTTGGTGCCATACAAGATGATGGTTTTGTTAATACTTAACATTAATCCTATTTGGCATGAGAAGGTGAAAGTGTCTCGAGCAAAGATGAATCGCTGACTCAGTTATTAGATTATGAGTGCCATACATACAAAATTACATAACCAGACCTTATTCCGGACCTAACTATCAATCATAGAGGATCTTGGTATTCTCCACATCAAGAGTAAAGTGGACAATCAGAGTGCAAGTGGTTGCACCAAATGCGAGATATACGCAGCCAACCTTCTTCTCCAAACAGCCGGTATACCGACTAAATTGATGAAAAAGGGGGTTCGCGTCTATCGGGGGTAGTGTAAGCCCGATGACACTGTGTGGCAAGGCATGCGCAAGCACAGGGGCCCTGCCACGGAGACCAAAAATAAGATTAATCAATGTTGTGTTCCTATGGAACACTTTCAGAGATTAAACTGAAAAGAACAGATACTACACTTGATCTAAGCCAAAAGGCAAAGAGAGCTGGAAAAGAAAAGAAAAAAAATTCTAAAGGGCGGAGGGTCAACGCTGTATTTAAAGCAGTTCTTGAATGGCCCGTGCGCCACTAGTGGTAAGCGACCCGATTTCAACCAATCATATGCCAGTCAGTCGTGCTGCGGGAGGCTTACTGGATCGGGATATCACACTTGGTGCCTACGGCATCAATTTGCATGGGCCAAAGTGACGATGGACCGTATTCCCAGTATCCTAGAGATGAGACTTACGATTATCTATGCGTTAAATATCCGGTGTCCTCATTGTGGGCTGGCCACTAGTCACTCAGCGAAGACGTGCTAAAACGGAATTCAAGCAAGAGGTCTTCAACGCCTACATATGTCGTGTCGAAGACGCTACGATCGTAAAGGTCATGTTCTAGTCGACATATATACTCTTTTAACGAACTGACATCCATACCTTAAGGAGTGAAAGATAGTGGCGACAGATAATCCCTCAAAATTTAATTTAATCCCGAAGGCCTTCATGCGCTCCTCGACGTCAAGCAGAGCAACTGGCCAACTAGTTAGTTGTTCTTTCTTTAGTGAAGATATAGAGCTTTTAGATCTACGCTTTCCAGGTTTGGGATACTGCATTGCGAATAATACGTATGTGTATATTTTGATGTCTCCATAGTTTACAACCCTTTATGTTCATATACGTGTTCTTTGTATCTATGGAGTCGTGTCACATAGGCTATATGTCAGGCCGAGTTGGTTTCTCTGAGCCTTTTTAGTAAAGAAAAGTATAGGCTGTGAAACAAGAGGCTTGTGGCTATATAATTGCTGCTATGTTGATGATTCACTTCTGCACTCTTGCGACAATATAACCATACTAGAAAAGACTGTTCAATATGACGAGCAGGCCGTATGGTTATACATTGTCCATCTCCGAGCACAGCGCCCCAGATGACATGTGGTTCACAACGTATGCCAGGCAGTGATACAACATTATCATCAACATCCAGAGCAGAGAGCCTACGGAGTCTACTTTCTTCATGAGTCTAGCCATTTCTACCAATGACACCCGGAAGGAAGTTCTATAAAAAGCGCACTGAGCTCTCATAGATCATCGCACCGAGAAAACTCTACTTCAGTGCTAGGACAACTCAGCCCAAACTAAAAAGTAATGATCGAGGCCGCCCGACATGCATACGGCTACATGCCGAGGATTTCCGGCTCCGATATTAATCGAGCTCTTATGGACAAAGTACCAAAAGCGGGAAACAGGGGTTTAAGCCAATATAAGGCCTGTAGATCAACAGGAGTAAAACCATAACTTGCATATTCTCCACTAAATTTACAAACGGCCCGGTTGTCATCGGACTTCTCATGAACTTCTAGACTTTTCTTCTCCGCTGCTTGTTCTAGACTGAGAACGCATGATCAACCAAAATGACATGCATCTGAAAACTCTAACATCCACCATGCAGGTCCTGATATGTCCAGTATCTTTTAATAACCACATCCCGAGGGATCAATTTAAGGCCGCTTCATTAGCTCCCAATGTATCCTAAGGTTACCTCATATAAAATGTGTAAATCGTAGAATTTCTGACCCTTGTCCCTCGAAAACTTAATATTGAAAATGATCAAGAGAAGCCTTACCCGGCTCTACCCGCAATTCGAGAACTCTTCAAGGATCAGAGTACTTACATACGCTACCGTCCAAAGGATCATAACACATGCAAGGATATGCATCCGCCACCTGCAGTGCTACTGTGATATCATAACATAAGAGCTATGCATGAATTGGCCACAATTGTGCTTTTCTCAACTGGTACTAGACTCCTGCCAAGGAATAATGCAAATCATAACCACTTCTTCATGCTATGAGGCGAAGTCTAGAACGACGTCACTTGTAGAGAAAACTCTGTTATAGTGCGCTGTACTCCCTGAACCAGGATCAACATGCAATAATCAACGCACTGTGTCCCTGGGGTATGACGGTCTCTAAGCACGTTCGCTGACGCTCCGGTCTCATTGATCCTCAGCAGCATCGCCTTGAGAATTTTATGTAATGGTCACACGAGATTCGAAATCACCCCATGCATAGCAATTTATATTGCTTCTTGCACGCCACAAACTCAACATTCCATCTCGTAAAGCTATACTACTCTCCATTTGCATGAGGCATCAGATGCGATGCAAAGCAACATGCCATTGCAGTTCCATTTTCGCCAAGTAGTTCTAGGCCCCTTGCATGCCATTCTGATGAAGGAATCTGCCACTGCAACGATATCAGTTATCGCCACTGACACTGACAGAATATGCTATCTTCGTATTACCGATCACTGGCATGTTCTTCCTTTCATTGACGATCAATTAAGTATTGGTCAATGCTGTAATCGTAGACACCTCTCAACTTATCCAGCGTAGTAAGAACGTTTTTTAGCTCCACTAGGCGCCAGACAGCGCACGGCCCGAAGCCACAAGTCTGATCACTAGCAATCCTTGGTATTCTAGGTCTTCTTGTCAGGGGTACAAGAGTTACTATTTCTAAAGCTTCCGGGGTGTATCCACCAGGATACGATCCGGAAAGCAAGGGGTAGCCGGGAGAGTCTGACCACCACAGTTGAATTATCAATTCTGGGGTATAAGTACTGGGCCAATTCATCTTGAATTCAGGAATAATCCATCAACAGCATTCTCACACCTGAATACAAAATCATTTCTCATACAACCATCTCAATCCTTCGTCTGAACACTTCATTGTTCCACTCATCCGCCAAAATGCACCGTGTCTCTGCTATCTTCATGACTTGCCTTCTTCTGGCTACCGCTGCCCCTACCGCTCCTGAGAACAGCAATGCTTGTCTCTCTATGTGTTTGCAGGAGAAGCCTGCTTGTGCTAGTGATGAAGTAAGCCATTCTATATTTTTTTTTGACACAACGCGCAATTACTAACTCCGCTCTAGCGACCAACTGGCTCTGAGGTATATCCCCTTTGCTCATAGATGAGAGTATCATAATAATGAGTGTTCAGGGCTGCTGGGGTTGCTGCCAGAAAATCGAAGCAGCTGTCCCTGTCCAGAGGGATACATGTCTCTCCATGTGTCAACTAGAGAAGCCTGTTTGTGCTAGCGACGAGGTGCGTCATTGTATATTACTTTTTTCGAGAATGAACGCTGACTGACCTTGTTTAGCAACCAACCGGCTACGAGGTATGTCTCTTTCATTTAGGGCCAGTGTAACGATATTAACGATGTCTGCTTAGGGCTGCTGGGGCTGCTGCCAGAAAGTCGAGCCAGCTGCCCCTGTCAAGAAGGACATGTGTCTCTCCATGTGTCTGACGGAGAAGCCTGCTTGTGCCAGCGATGAAGTAAGCTACTCCGTATTTTCTTTCCGTGATCGCAATTGCTGACTGACTCCGTTCTAGCACCCAACTGGCTCTGAGGTACGTCTTCTTTACTTAGCGTAGGTGAGGGTAGTCATATTAACAGGGCATCGATTAGGGCTGCTGGGGCTGCTGCCAGAAAATCTGAACGGCAAACAACCAAGGACGACTGACCTAGGCGTCGTCACATCAAAAGTACTAATCTTCTGTCTGGATTTCTGTTCAAAAGCAAAAGCAAAAACTGTCTTCTCTCCCATTCCTGTCTCTTACTGTATATTGCAACGTCGACACTGCTGATGTACGTACTAATGATGTCATTCCTTTCATGTGTGGATGGGATTAATACGATTCAATTCGTCTGTCTTTACTCTGGATGTTGATCTTATGTTATACTCGTGGTGAGCTGACATCACTTGGTATTACCGACTCTGTCTGCACCACCATCCCATCTCAGAACTCCAAAACAACTCCAATCCCAGTGCGCCGTTTGCTCTACCCCAAAAAACAATGCAAGGCTTATGAATCAGCTCATAGTAGCCAATGTCTATTCGATGCCCATGTTCGCTCACCATGCAAGGCTGGCGCTTAGGGCGCGTTCACGCTGCGGTGGCTTGGCGCTTGCCATATGGATGAGTATCAGCCAGTAGAAGATAGCCCCGCCGTAGAACTCATTATAATAAGCAAGGCTGTGCAGTGAATTGACAGACATGTTACCGATAGGGTGCCCCGTAAGATACTTCTCAGAAAGGGCTTATCGCCAGCGCAGCTCCTGTTAGTTCCACCCCTTGCATTCATCCGTGTGGCTGCATACCATACACATACTGGCCGACCTAACCATCTACTTCAGTAAATAGTGAGAGAGAGAATGTTGAAACTGGGTGATCAAGAGCATATGATGCTGGTACAGATTACTTAGGACGCAGAAACTATACGGCTTATTGTGACGACGAGATACTATGAGGTGAAGGCATCAGTTACTCCCATGTGTAGTACTAGAACTGAAACACTCGTATAACAAGCAATTTATTCCCTGTTCTCGACAACGCTGAAATGAAAACCCCCACGGCCCATCACATCACTTAGTCAACGTCGAATCCCAAGATCGTGTTCGCAAGACGTGCAGCCGCTTGTTGCCCCGGGGAGCCGGAAATAGGAGCATCGAACTTCAAGCAACCCATAGCACGTTTGCCTCGATCGGATAAATCGTCCAGAGTGCCTCAGTGCTTGTGCTGGCTCTCGCCGATACCGCCAGGGAAATCAGGGGGGCCCTTTGGAGAAATTTATTCCGCTGGTGTCTCAGGTAGTAACTATTGACCTCGCACAGTGGGGCAGCTGGGATATACAACACGCTAGAGTCACCGGGAAACCCTGTCGTGGAAGGGTTTGCAGATACACAATCGCGAATACGTTGCTTCCATGCAAGAGCCTCCCCAGGGGACACGATTCCCCGAACAATGATCGTACCCCGTTCCTTCAGAGCTTGCTTGGCATGGTCCGGAAGATTGCCATTGTTGGATTTGATCGCGGAGAACTCGATTTCTGGGATCATATGAGAATCCCACTGCGCTAGTTTGTCGACTGCTACTCGTTCTAACAGCCGGTGCCATCCATCCAAGATGGCATCCCCGTTTCCTCGCGAGATATCTTGTTTCAGGCGTAGAAGTCGTGCGGGAAGGTCAATGGACTGGTTGGATAGAGAGGCGAAAGCCGAGGCAATGGAGCCTTCTGCTCTATTTGAAGGTTGTTCAGTCAAGTCAGTCATGTTTGCCATGATTTGGCATCGATGCTGAGTGCTGGAAGGTTGCACGACCTTGGATAATGAATAGAGGCTGGTGAAGGCCCGAACGGGGGTTTTGACAAAGGTCATGGTGGCCAGTTAAACGAAAGCAGGAATATTCACACAAAGGTGGTCTCCCCGGAAATTACCAGGCACTAGACGGTTATATTTCATGTAGTAAGCCTCCAGGAAATTCCTCATCGTAAGATTGCATGGAAATTTTTCATGATTGACTGGAAACGACTGGTTTACAGAATATAGAAAAGCTCTCTAACCACATCCACCACTAGATTTTATACGGGCCAAGATTACATCAGGAGGAATGCTGGACCTTGTGAATGCAAACGCTATATAAATTACGTATAGAGGTGTATAAATATTAAAATAATGAATCTGGCACTGGGAGCCATTGGCGCTTGTCATGGATATTGAAGGGATTGAATGCGGAAACTCCAAGGTCTCCGCTCACAGAACTTTGGTTGGCAACATTAATGAGTGGGGCGCACCAACTTCGGAACTAACTAGTATCAATTACGGGACCAAACTATCAACAAGTGGTCCCATAGCTCAGTCGGTTAGAGCGCTGTGCTAATAACGCAGATGTCGAGAGTTCGAGCCTCTCTGGGATCATCTTCTTTTTTACTTCTTTTACCTCTATTTGCATACATTTTTGCGCGCATCGTTTTGTATCTTTCTGGCAAATGTAGCCAAAACTAATCCTCCCTTGGCCTAAAAGCACGGCATAATCTGTCCTCGACGTGGGAGAACAGAATATATATCTCCCGGAAGACCGTGGCAGTTGCCAGTATTCCCAAAATATGTACAAGTCTCGGTATGGCTTGCACTGTACCTGGTTGCTACCACTATATATATATATTCTCTTTGATCACGAAAATGATCATGGAAACGCGACAGTGGAGTGGTCACCTGCTAACACATTCCCAGTAACATTCTATCTTCATTTTAGCTTATTTAAGCATATGCCATATATGTCCCAGCCCCAGTAATCGTTCCAGAACCGCAGTCAACTGTCTAGGAACACGATACTGCATCTAATCCCGTAGCCGAACCTCGGCACTGACTTGAACGGGATCAAGCAATTCGGCTTGCCGAAGTACAAGCCGAGTCGACGGTAGTGGACCAAAGCGGGCTGCAGGATGACCCAAGTGGAGCGACCACCCGATGTATACAGCTTTCTAAGCCAATAGTGTTGCAATTCACCAGACTATTCTTTTAGCATCTGATCTGTAGATGTTATCATCTCTCAGATTTTGATCTCATGGTGTCAGCAACGGTGTTGTGTATATAAACAGTTCATTTTCGATCTATGTCCACCTTGCTTACTTTTTTTCACTACACAGTATGAATAATAGTACAACTGTTTCCACACAAGCCCCTTTGAATGACCTCCGAAGACTATATCCATGAAACCCCTCGGCCCCAGGGAATTCCTTATTGGCGTCTACTCACCGACCAAGGCGTTGTCACGCCCGAAATAACCGACCACCCCTATAGGGGCTCCGGCACAGATGATGACCCTTACATTGTGGAATGGATCCCTAATGATCCCCGTAACCCGATGTTGCTTAACAAGTCCCTGAAATGGGCTTACACTATCACTGTTGCTTTCGCCACATTCGGCGTCTCGCTTTCCTCCTCCGCGTATGCAGGAAGCATCCAGGAAATCATCAAAGATTTCGGTATCAGCGAGGAAGTAGCGACACTGGGCGTGTCACTGTTCGTCCTAGGCTTTGCAGTTGGCCCATTAGTATGGGCGCCCCTGAGTGAGCTGATCGGTCGCCAGATCGTTTTTCTCATCTCATATGGCGCTCTCGCATTCTTCTGCGCTGGCGCCGCCGGTGCACAAAATAGCTGGACGTTGATCATTCTGCGCTTCTTCGCTGGCTCGTTCGGATCCTCGCCATTAACAAACGCCGGAGGCGTCATCGCCGATATCTTCCCGGCAGAAGAACGAGGTCTAGCAACAAGCCTATTCGCCGGCGCACCGTTCCTAGGTATGTACCTACACCACCGCACACCGTTGTCAACTCCAGCTAACAAAAAAAACCAAAGGTCCAACCCTAGGCCCCGTAATCGGCGGCTTCCTCGGCGAAAACGCCGGCTGGCGCTGGGTACAAGGCTTCCTCGCAACCTTCACCGGCCTGATCTGGATCGTGGAATCGCTCCTCGTCCCCGAAACCTACGCTCCGCTACTTCTCCGCAAGCGCGCTGCCCGCCTCACAGCGCTCACCGGCAAAGTCCACCGGAGCAAACTCGAGCTTGAACGCGGCAAAGTAACCATGACGAGCGCCTTTGGCACCGCCCTCCTCCGCCCCTGGATCCTCCTCTTCGCCGAGCCCATCGTCCTCCTCCTCTCAACCTACATGGCCATCATCTACGGCACCCTGTACATGCTCTTCGACGCCTTCCCCATCGTCTTCCAACAGCTCCGCGGCTGGTCCGAGGGCGTCGGCTCGCTCCCCTTCCTCGGCGTCATGATCGGCATGATGCTCGCCGTCGCCCTAAACATGCACGACAACAACCGCTACGTCGCAATCCACAAAGCCCACCACGGCTTCGCGCCCCCTGAAGCCCGCCTCCCCCCGACCATGCTCGGCAGCCTCGCCATCCCCATCGGCCTCTTCTGGTTCGCCTGGACGAACGCACCCCCCGTCCACTGGATCGTCAGCATCATCGCCGCCGCCCCCTTCGGCTTCGGCATGGTTCTCGTCTTCCTCAACATCATGTCCTACCTCATCGACGCCTACACCATCTACGCTGCCAGCGTGCTCGCCGCAAACTCCATCATCAGATCCTGTTTCGGCGCTGGCTTCCCCCTCTTCACCTCCTACATGTATCGCAATCTGGGCGTCCATTGGGCGTCCTGTATCCCGGCCTTCTTGGCCCTGGCTTGTGTGCCTTTTCCGTTTGTTTTCTATAAGTATGGTGCGGTTATACGCAGGAAGTGTAAATACGCTGCCGAGGCGGATGACTTTGTGAGGCGGTTGGCGGAGAAGACAGTCTCTCCGGAGGAGGAGAAGGTTGTTGATGAGGAGGTTCGGGAGGGGAGTGCGGATGAGGGACAGGACTTGGAGAGGGTGGAGTCTGCGGGTAGGAGCTCGCTGTCGACTGTGCATGAGGGGACATCGGGTTATGAGGCTAATCCGTACGACATCGATCGTGTTAATACGAGGAATTCGGCCATTTCGAGACGGTCCAGGTCCAGGTCTGCTAAGGGGAGGAAGAAGGGGTTTTTGGGGTTTTGATGCGGGGTTGAGAGGTTGGTTTTCTATGTAATGTCTAGATATAGGTAACTGTTTATTAAGATTGAGGGTTTATTGTCGGTAGAGGCGCTTTTGTGTAGAGTTATGGTGGAGTAGCCCTCGCTGTGATATTGGTCTTGTGTGATTATCTATGTACAAGCTCGGTGGAATGTTGCTTGGAAGGAAGAGATTGTAGATTTGTCTCGGTTGGCCTCAGTTTGTGTATGTACGCTCAACCGGGGTTTGATATTCAAAATGTATAGATAAACGAGCCAGGTGCTCAGGAAGCATAAAACGAAGAATGAAAGTCAGGAAGATTAACTAACTTCACTTAGAAGCCATCGGATTCTCAAATCTCGTCACTCGATATGGAAGGTGAGTGGAAAGTAGTAATGACACAAGCACACTAGTATACAGGGACCTTGAAGGCAGGGAACTCGTAGGTCCAGCTGTCAATGGACTTCTCGTCGTTGACACAGTCGAAGGTAGAGTTGCCGCGCCAGAGAGGGCGCTTGGGCCACTGGCAAAGCATTTGGGTCTCGCCAGCGTAGGTACCCGAAGAAACGGTGGCATTGAGACGGGATGGCTTGTTGCCGTGCTCGACCCAGTTGATCATGATCTCCATGTTGTTCTCAGGGTAAGGTCCGGGCTGGAGCGAGTTGGTTCCGCAGTGGGCGGCACCGGGGATCAGGTAGAACTGGTACCAGTCCTCGAGGGCCTGCAGGGCCTCCTCTTCCGTCTTGTCGCCGTACATGACGGACCTAACCGCCTGCCAGTAGTGGACTGAGGAGGCAGCGGGAATACTGGGGTCGGATTCACCGTGGTAGTGCAGCAGCTTTCCGCCGGACGATTGGAAGGGAGTCAGATCAGGGAGGGTGGTCTGAAGGCTGTCCATGTAGCGCACCATACCGGTGTTCATCCAGTCCACCAAGGTGTCATAAGTAACGTTGTTCAGATCCGACAGGTTGTCGAGGTCCAGTAGCTGAACGAACTTGGTGACGTACTCACCACCGGTCGACGGGATGTTGAGCTCCCACTTGCCAGTATCAGAGTTGTACTCGGTCTCAGCATCGCTCAGCTCGGAGGCGATCTGCCAGGAGAGGTACGCACGCTCGCCCTTGCTGTTGTGGAGGCCATCGTAGATGGCCTGGGCGACCGCTACACCGTGTGCGGTAACCGTGCCGTTCTGGGCGGGCTGGTAGCTGGTGGTGCTGCCCTCGGCCTGGCGCTTGACATTGCTGCGCTTGCCATTGCTGAAGCCGAAACCAAGAGAGGTGCTCGTCTCCGCATCACAGTGATACGGTTCGCCGATGATGGAGGTTAAGTTGAAGTGGAGCTTGCAAAGATCTGTCCGGGACACGACACCGTCGGTTCTTCCATCAAGCGGGTCGCAAGCAGCAATGGTTGCGTTCACGATCTTCTTCAGCTCACACGGAGGCGGGTAGTAGTCCAGGGTCTGTTCCACTTCGGAGGAGAACACATGGTGAACCTGTTGCTGAGCGAAACGGAAGGCCGGGGCACCAGTAATCACACCGTCGTACTCCTCACCCCAACGCTGAACTTGACTCATGCCCTCACGTCCTCCATCGGAGCAACCCTCGTAGTAGGTGTAGAGCTTGCTGTCGCCGTAGAAGCCCTTAGTGATGTACTTTCCGATTTGGGTCATCTCTCCCAGCGCCTGGTATGCGAACATGTACGTGGCGTCCCAGTTGATACTTCCGTTTCCATAGAGGACTACCTCGTCGTAACTGTTCTCGAAGGCGTCGTATCCAGCATCGGTGGCACCTCCAACAGCGCCATAGGCGAGACCTCCGGTTGCATCGCTGGATAGAGAGAAGCCTCCTCCACCAGCAACGTAGAAGCGGTTCTCATAGTCGGAAGGTTTGGGGAATGCATACTTGATGACCACCTTGTCGCCCTTGCCGGTATGCGAGTAGGCGACAGTCACATTGCAGTAGTCATAGGTCGTGGTGCTACCCATGCCGGCGGACTGGTTGTAGAGAGGACTGGCCGTGACGGCAGACGGGATCATGCTGATGCCGAGCAGAGTTCCGTTGGCAGGCAAGGCGGCCTTCACGTTGGATACGGTGCACACATCGGTGAAAGAAGCTGCGTTCGCTCCTGCTGCCAAAGCAGCAACGGCCATGCGCGAATGTTGGCGCATCTTTCAAACTAAAAGAACGGCAGAGGTCAACAAGTGTTCAAAGGATGCGAAAAGAGAGAACGAATGATGAGTTCGTATCTAGGAGTATCCATAGGGAAAGTATCGTCCTATTTATTGCAAGGCCGGGTGACTGAGGTCACTGTCTTGGACATCATAAGGTTCGGGATTCGTATCAAGCTTGTGGGACAAGCGGCAGATCAACGCTTTGCCATCCTTAAATCTATTCAGGCAGTCGTCACCAGGTTGCGTGGCAAGATGCCAAGACAAATGCTCTTCCTCGAGGCTCGAGTCTGTCGTGAATTCCCTGTTATCTGATGTTGCGGATCGGCTGAACTCCGGCCTTATCTGATCTCTCCGTCCAGCCCTTATCTCTTGAGTCTGCAAAGCTACTATGTACCCATGATGGAGTCACCATGTCAGCAACATTCAAGGGAGATAAAATGACTGAGATTTGTCTCTATCTTGGCATTCGTCTTGTCTGACGCGGTCTCTTTGAGTGTTTGGCACGCTTTTCTGTTCTATTGAATCCGCTAAGAGAGAACGGGTAATTATCGCCGAGCCCTCGGCGTTAACGATCAAGAGATAAGATGCTGAAGAATTGGGTCTCCAATCACTGCCAGTACCAATTGTTGATCAGGGGCAAACAGGATTAAACGTTACCAAAGGTATTGCGTTTAATTTTAATTTTTATTTTTATCTCCGAGAATCAGGTCTTGTCGTCCTCACATCTAGCATCTGATATATACAAAAAGACCTATTTCCAAGGAGGAAAACAAACGGTGAACTGCGCCCAAGTACATTTACAGAAGACAGCAAACCGATTCTGGACTGGTATCAAAGGACATTCTACATTTAAAAAACGAACGATAGAGACACTCCAAGAGTACCAAACACTATGTTCTGAATTGCGGAAGAGTATATACCCGGCTTCCCCTGACTAGACCTCAAGGTAGTGGAGGCTGAGCCAATTTACAAGGCATACTAATGTAATGGTTCCTTAGATGGGAATGGGGAGTTTCCACAAAGGCAAAATCTTTGTTGTTGCCTGCAGTCATTTAATTGAAACGGTTATTGTCATAATTATATCGTCATCATGGTCATATGCTACTCTAGACATCGAGTCTAGACTGTACAGATTCGTTTCTAAAAATCAGCCGGCTCAGGTAGCTTCGCCGGCGTCTCACGGAACGTGTTGGTGATCAGCCCTCGGAAGCTGGGAGACCAGTCGACGCGAGGAGTGAGGATGTCCAGGTTCCAGAGCTCAGCCACATACTTGAGGATAGAGGTGTGGGTGAATTCGTTAGGCTGGTCAGTCGGGCTATTTTGAACCACGCCCTTACCCACCCACGGAGACATCAGAACGGTAGGGACTCGGATACCCAAACGGTCGAAATGGAAGGTGGCCTCTTGGCCGTCCTTGGCCGTTTCGGTGTACGTCAGGTTATCGCCAGCCGGCACGTTCTCAGGGGGGGATACATGGTCGGCAAAACCACCGTGCTCGTCAAAAGTCAGGATGAACAGCGTCTCATTCCACTGCGGGGAAGAGCGCAACGCCTCGTAGATGCTCTTAATGAAGCCCTCGCCCATATTGATCGGAGAGGGTGGGTGGAAGGACATGTACGAGCAACATTCTGGGTTGATCCAGGTAAACTGAGGCAGCGTACCGGCTTTAGCATCATTGAAGAACTGGTCAATAGGCTTCACGTTAGTGGCGCCCTTGCCACTCTTGGCAGTCCACTGGTAGAACAAAGAATCTGGAAGGAAACCAGTGGTGTTGGAGTAGTTGATCCAGCTAATGCCAGCGGCCGAGAGCTGTTCAAAGATAGACACCTGAGGCAAGTTGGAGATATCAAAGTCATGGTCATTTTGACCGTGACCGTGCGAGGTGCCCGAAGTCAGATACGCACGGTTGGGGTTGGTCGGTCCTGGAACCGATGCGAACCAGCGGTCAAAGAGCACAAAGTTCTCGGCCATGGCATTGAAAACTGGCACGTGGTCTGGTGTGTAGTAGTTAATGACCTCTGCAGCGCGACTTAAATCGGAGCCGAGCCCGTAAGAGACAATCTGCTCCGTGACGAAACCCTGCATGCCAGGCATATCATTCTTCGCGTTGGGGTGGTAGGTGCTATACACCTGCTGGTTACCACCCGTAATGCTGTGGTCCGGGTCATCGGGAGCCACATTCTTCGCGATCGGTTTGGCGCAAACCTTCTCTGAGAATGGATCGGAAGCATTTGACGGGTTGCAGTACTCGCGGTTGACCAACCCATCGATCTTGGAGTTATATGTCAAGCCACCGGCAAACACATCAAAACTCAGGTTCTCCTCGACCAATACCACCTATATTGTTACTTAGTACTGAAGGTCGCGAAGGGTAACCATTCAGTATTCGACAACGAATGAAACATACCACGTTCTTAATCGGAGTGTCCTGAATAGGGTTTACCGGCTTGCCATATGAAGGGCTGGAGGGGCGGGCATGGGGAAGGCCGTTGATACCCAGGCCCAGGGAGAAGAACGCGAGCAACGAAATGATGCTCATGATTGACAGCAGCAGCGTGATGAGAGTCGTGCGCACCCAGGGACGACGTGGTCTTTCTGGTGACCAGGTCGCCGCCTTTATATGAGCAACTTCATCCTCCTGTATGACCCGATCAGGTCTGAGGATCGGCTGCAATTCGGGCTTTGAAGGGCCACGTGGGGCCGAAGGTGGTTGCCATTGCATGATGGAATGCAGCGGTGCGATCAGTTAGCTTCCTTGCAGCAGTAGACGAGGGTTGAAATGTGAGTTTGTATCACAATAGTCGGGAGTCTCCTTCACAGTAGTCTGTTGTTAGTTCGACCGCATCAGCCGTGGGGTCGACAATCGATAAGGACCCTCTCGCAGGTGGGGCGGCCTTAGGCTCCATTGGCGCTCGGCATGCGGTCTCATGGGAGGACGAGGGCGGTGGATTGGCTGGAGAAACAATCGGCATTGCGGCAGCCCCATACCGCAAGGGGCTTAACGCTTCCCCTCTCATTCGGTCTAGAGTCAACAGCCTGACAAGCCCTAAAACCGCCAGCACTCCAATGATCGATTTCTCTCAGGCATGTGCCATGCAAGGCATCAGGTTCCCGTGTCGATCCCCTGAAAACAATCAAACTTTCCAACTTTTTGAGTCTGTGACTGGAATGAATGACCTTGCTTGGGGACAGTCGGATTTCCTCGCGCCCTATTGGGATCCTGAATATCCTCCGATGGGTCTGTATCCGTGCGCCATTTTTGCAGACGATATGTGATGAACGAGGAACGTTGCTTTGGTGCTGTACCCCTGGGGCCTTTTTTTTTTTTTTTTTTTTTTTTTTTTTTTTTTTTTTTTTTTTTTTTTTTTTCTTGACTCGGCTGCTTACATTCACTCTCCCGTCTCTAGGAAAGTTACTGGCCACTGACGGAAACTTTATCATTTGACCTCCTCAGGTGTTGACATTCTCCCAATACTGGTGGAGCTTAGCCGTCGGACCCAAGCACTGAAACCGCATATGCCATTCAGTTCCAGAAGATGAGCGGTGAGTGATCCGTCATTTCAAAGTATATTCCCTTCAATATAGCCATGGATGCATGCCATACACACTTCCCCCTCTCGAAATGGCCCGAAATGGAACTGAAGGGCTCGCAGGCCCTCATACCGTCATGCGAGCTGGGGCCTCTCCATCATGCGCGCAGATTCCAGAAATGACCCGAGATCAGACAACCGTTGGAGTGATACTTCACTTTGCTAGTAACTTCAACTAAAATAGTTTGCATTTCACCCAGCACCAGTGACCAATTCTTGAATCAGTCTGGAGGGATGGTCTGGCATCTCATCGACGAGGTGCCCAAGTGTTACCCATCACGTAACAGATCCGAGATGGGATCCATGTCCATCCGGACCAGATCGGGAATCGTAGTGCTGGGAAAGCCCTGCAGATGATGAGCCCTTGTGGAGATCATTTAACACGGCAGCTCCTGTCGGCCTGAGACATACAGGAATATGGCGACACGTATGGCATGGATACCGCTAATTGCCTTGCTGAACACCGAACACCGAATCACTCCCGCCACGCAGATCTGGAAAGTAGAATATTTACATTTTAATGCCCTTCTAAGTCAGGTCGAGTATAAATCCAGAGAACCTGCCTTCCTGGTCCAACAAATGCATACATACATCAACAGCTGCCCGAGGGGTATATGATAAAAACTACATAAAGACGCCATGCAACGAAGTTTGGTACAAAATGAGCGGGAGAAAGGGAGGGGCTACCATGCTGTAGCAACTGGATGAAGCCTGCGGATGAAGATCTTGCGGCGTTCAGGCAACGGGGGATCAACACTCCTCGCACAAAGTCTAGAGTCAAGCCGCATTGACCGTCCGCTGGAGGTTGAAAAGCGAAGCGATCTATGTCAATCGCAAACCTAATTATCACTTCAGTTGATCCGGTCCTTTTGCTCTAGTTTCCCCACCAGTCGCTTCACTCCGGCCCATTCCTCGGCTGGCACATCTTCGGGAGTGCCACTAAGGCCCTTTCCTACCTCAAAGACGGTGACAACCCCATCTAACCCACCTGTGGCAATTCGCCTGCCCTCGCGCTCCTCCCAGGCCACCTTGTTGAGACTACTCGTCAAGATGCCACCACGACCCTTAGACGGGGTGGTCCGCACGACGGGGACTTCCGTATCCGTGTAGAGGTCCCAAACTTCGAGGTTTCCAGCACCGTCGACGAGGGAGAAAACTCCAGGGCGGTGGGGAGACCACCGAGCATCATAGACAACATCTTCGCGGTTGATGTCGAGAATCGGAGATACAACCTGTGTCGTGGAGATGGCCGAGGTGGCCGGCGCGGTGGTTGCTGGTGGCCGAACACGCCATAGCTTCACGCTCCAATCCAAACTAGAACTCAGCATTAGATCCCCCAGGTCAACAGGGCCCCGTGCCGGGTGGAAGGCTGTAGACATGATAGGGGCTGCATGGCCGCGGTACGCGAGACGGTGATCAGTTCCGGCCTTAGCACCGGCTCGGTCGTAGCGATGGCAGGGGTAAATCCCGCCTTCTTCTGTGCCAACGATGAAAAATGTCGGATCGGATTGTGGGAATGACATGGTCGTGGGAGCGAGATCTTCGGTTTTAGAGGGCGGGGGAGTAGAAAGTTCGAGATATTCTTGAGGTTGAGACAGCATATCAACAGTCCAGCCACAAACCACGCCATCCGTAGACGCAGTAAGTATATTATGGGCATTCTGTGTGCCGATGATTGAAATGCTATAAACTGGATGAGTGTGCCCAGAACCAGTCAGAGGCGTCTTCTGTACCGGTGCACCACCACCTGCGCGCGATGACCGAGTATCCCAAAGCAGAACCTGCCCGGAATACGAACCGCCAACGATAAGATTAGGGTGGAATGGAGAGAACTTGGCCGCCAAGATATCGGATGTAGAATGGAACACATACTCGGGGCGGGATTGCAGGTGTTGGTTCCAAATCTGAACCAGACCGTCCGGTTCATGAGGTGCGGATGGGTTTTTGGTGTATGCAGCTAAAACAAGCTCTGGGAACTATAGGTGGCTAGTCAGCGATGCATAACAAGGGAAAACTAATATCGCGGGTGACAGACCTTTGGAGAAAAGCTCACGTCGCTGATCATGCGCTTCTTGCTCCATCGTTCGTCCCAAAACTGGCAAACCTCTCTGATGCCTCTCCTTTTCTTTCCATGTTCGTCATCCTCCTCCACATCGCCATCAAGTCCACCAAGTTCATAGTCCGCTAGTACGTCATATTCCTCATCAAGAGCACGCTCAATAACCTTTGCGGAACGTTCAACGAAGTCCAGGAAATCCTCGGAAGAAGTCACTGCCTTCAGTTCATCATCATCCAGTGTGCGCAATGGATACCGTAGTTTTGAAGATTCATCCTCGGCGTCATGTTCTGCCTTCTGCTGGGTAGCTAGCAGCTCCTCCTCGATTTCTGCGCGAAGCTTCTTCCGGATCTCTTCGTCGCGCTCGCGCTCCTTCCTGCTTAAGCGTTTACCTGTGCCTGTAGGATCCTGCCCGTCTTCCTCTTCAGATTCGACCGATGAATTATCTTGTGGCTGTTTCGAGTCATCTGTCTGGACTCCTTTACTGTATGTAACGATTTCGGGTTTTGGTTCAGGGGGTGGTGCTGTAGGATATGGCTCTGCACCGACGGTTTGGACGGCGATCGAATGCAAAACTGGCCGCGCAGCAGGAATGAATGCTTCGGCATGGTCTCCGCTTACTTGGCTAGCGCTAATCACTGAATTCGGTCTGCTCCCTTTGCGTGAGGGGCCATCTGCGTGGCTGATGGATGCCGACCCAGGGCGGTCCACAAGACGTGAGATCAGGTCATCGAGCTCCGCTCTGCTATCAGCACGGCTAGGAACTGGGGACACAACCTATAATGGGTGGGGAGAGTTAAAAAAGACATGACTCTCCTGTAGAATATTGGTTGTGTTGAAGAATGTCCCCTACCTCGGAAGCATCACCGCTGTTGGCCCGACTTTGCGAGAACTCCTGCTGGCGCAACTCTCTTTGTCGTTTTAGTTCGGCAAGTTTCGCTCTCTTGGCGAGAATCTCTGCCTTTCGCTGTTGCATAGCTGATGACATGGTGAATTGAGGCAGCCGATGGGCTGACGTACCATCCAAACCAGACCAGTTCGGTACTTTCAAGTTTATGATTATTTACTCCCGTCTCAAGTTATGTTATGCGCGTTAGGTGGACTTCCCCGTCCCGCGCCCAGAGTTCGGGTCGGCGGATGACATAAGCACAGGCCCCCGACGGTCCGGAAAAACTCGCGACAGGAACTTCGTCTTGAACAAGCTTCTGAGTATCCTGTCCGATTGCCAGCCATTGCCAATTGATACCCTCCAAACGGTCGCTCGGAATCCGGCCTTGTTACCCTGCGTTTATTTGTCCTTTTTGAATTTCGCTCCGGAGACCAAGATCTTAAAGATGGCTACCGCACAAGGTGTCAACGTAAGTGTCCGCAAGGGCCCCGTTCTGATAATGGACCCTGGGCAACTGACAGCATCATTCCCGCATTACAGGTCCTTCGCTACTCGGCTCTCGTAGCCGGTCTCTTCTACGGTGCCTACCACCAATCCTCGATCACTGCCAACGCGAAGCGTGCCGAAGCCGACCGTGAATACGCCCGCCAGGAGCGCCTGATCCAGCAGGCCAAGGCCGAATGGAAGAGGAAGACGGCACCCAAGGACACACAAAACAGCGGAAGTATGTTGCCAGCTTTTTGAGCCCCGAATGAGATGCGACGCCTTCGATTTATTCCACGAAGGCAATGTCATACTTGATCCGACACTAACGGTTGCCTGCAGTCATCACGGATCCCGAGGACAGCCGGTTCGACCTTGAGGCGTACCTGAAGATGAAGGCCGGGGAGAACTAGAGGAATTGGAAGGTACAAAGCGAAAGGACGAGTGACAACTGTTCTGGTACAACGGTCGTACCCCCTAGGGTATAAGAAAGGTTGTTTCGGGTAACCCCCGATTATGTATTATTGTTTGGTCTAATTTCCCAGAGTCGTGTCATTGCGAGCGAAAGGAATGATTTTTCTTTTACGTTACTAGAGATCCTCTCCGAGTCATTGTACATACCCTGGGCTGTCATGCGTCTGTACACTACAGTTGGGCCAGAAGAGCAAGAGATTCTGTTCGCTTTGGTGTCATTGCTGATCCCTTGTCCTGTGTGCGCCCTTGGGTGGGGTGATACTCTATCATTGCTCAACAGACGTTCCCGCCATTAAACGGACCTGGTGGTCTATTGTTGCGTAGCCATCTCAGCTCCCCTTTGTTCAACCAGTCGGGTCTTCTCGGTTTCTAAGCGATGTCGTGTCCGTGTCATCCACCTTTAACCCCCATGCTTCCCAACCAATGCCATGATTTGACTCATTTCATCGTATAACCGAGTGTCCTTTTCTGGTGCCATAGGGATAGGCTTAGGGTGTAATAGTCTTGTGCTTTCATCCCATACCCAACCAACTGCAGTGAATTTCTGTATTACTGCGGGGTCGCCCTGCTCTGCTGCTGCAGTATCGAGACCGAGATAATTTGCAGCTGTTGCAGGCCGTATCGCTTCATAGGCATGGCTGACTTCTTTCAATGTTTTCTCCTGGAAATATGCTGGGAAAATAGTTAGAGCAAGTCACAGGGACAGAGACAAAGTCGACGTGTTTCTCATACTCTCGTAGCTTTCTACCGCCGGACGCAGAAGCTCTGGCCAGGGTAGCTCTCTTAAGATTTTGTAGATCGACTCATATTTCCTCTGCCAAACAGCCCGTAATAGAGTCAGGCAATTCTGGAGCGACGGATCATTTTGCGACAGCCCTTGTGGCATTCGTTGAGTCATCGCGCGAGCTTCGTATCTGTTTAATGTCAGGTTATTACCATTGTTTGACTGACCAGGGGCCTTCTCCGCAGCCTTGGGCAGGGTAGAACTCACATTTGATCTGTCAGAAGATGCGCAAAGAAAAATGTCGAGTAGAATAGGCTGAGGAGCTCCGATACATCGCTATCAGTTGTTGACATTAAGCAAGCCTCGCCTTCGTACTCCACCAAAGTATTGTAGAGCTCTATTGGTGAACGACTAGATTTGAGCACTGTGGAAAGTTGTTCCTTGGAGAGTGGAGGTAAATCCATCTTGATTAGATAAGGTGTCAATGAAAGTGTGCTAATCACAGAGACGGCAAGACGAGAGAAGGACGTAGGCAAAGACCAAGGGCAGCACGCTGAAGCTAATCTCAGCAGTATTGATAGTGACGGTTGATTGATATCAAAGGCGGTGCGGTGTGGGGGCGCGGAGAGTTCAATGTGACGGTATTGTATGTATGTAAAGTATAAACGTGCCTGATGCCAAGCCTCGGAAGTGACCACCTTGCGAAGCTGTCCCCAGTCAATCAACGAAACATCCAACTACTCCTCTCTTCAGCTCCAGGGCAGGACGAGGGCCAACTCTCTTTTGCTTTCCCCATTGATTTTTCTTTTTACGTTTTTCTCTGGCCGTTATGGCCGAAACACCTGTTGATGCCTTGTTGAAAGGCAACACCGGCAGGAATACGCGCGGCTTGCTGCGCATCATCATTCTAGTTACTATCGCCGCCGCTGCAGTGTCGAGTCGACTGTTCAGTGTGATTCGTATGTTGTTCGACAGATAATCTACTTGTAGTTACTCATTGGTTCAATTGGTACTGACTTGTTATGCGCTAGGTTTTGAGAGCATTATCCATGAATGTACGTTCAGCACCAATTATTCTATACTCCGACAAGTTGCCCACAGCCCCGGCCTTCGACCAATATACAATACTATTGTCTTTCTCTTCGTTAAGAGCTTCTATGTCCACTGACTTAATGCCCTACAGTCGATCCTTGGTTTAACTTTCGCGCAACAAAATATTTGGTACAACATGGCTTCGAAAGCTTCTGGGACTGGTTTGATGACCGTGAGTGATTATTCCACCGGCGACACCAGCTACATTCAACAGCCAGGCGGTGACGGTCACTTGCTTAAGGTACTAATTGGCGAATTCTATATAGGAACATGGCACCCTCTGGGACGTGTCACTGGTGGCACGTTATACCCAGGTCTCATGGTGACCAGCGGCGTGATTTACCACATCCTCCGGTTCCTGACCATTCCCGTCGACATCCGCAACATTTGTGTCTTGCTCGCACCGGCATTTTCTGGTCTCACAGCATTTGCAATGTATCTGCTGACTTGTGAGATGTCCATCTCGCCTTCCGCTGGTCTCCTTGCTGCTGCTTTCATGGGCATTACCCCGGGATATATCTCTCGATCGGTTGCGGGTAGCTATGATAACGAAGCCATTGCAATTTTCCTTCTTGTATTCACCTTCTTCTTGTGGATCAAGGCTGTCAAAAACGGTTCGATCATGTGGGGAGCGCTGACCGCTCTCTTCTACGGTTACATGGTGTCGGCTTGGGGTGGTTATGTCTTCATCACCAATCTGATTCCCTTGCATGTCTTTGTGCTTCTCTGTATGGGAAGATATAGCTCCCGTCTGTACATCAGCTACACCACCTGGTATGCGCTGGGAACTTTGGCAAGCATGCAGATTCCATTCGTCGGCTTCCTCCCCATTCGGAACAGTGACCATATGTCAGCCTTGGGTAAGCGTGCTCTCGAATGGTTAACGGGAGATATATTAACGACTATCTAGGTGTATTTGGTCTGATCCAGCTCGTGGCATTTGCTGACTTTGTCCGCGGCTTCATACCCGGTAAACAATTCCAAAGACTTCTTACTGCCATGGTCATCGTCGTATTTGGCGTTGCCTTTGCCGGACTTGTTCTTTTGACCGTATCCGGAGTAATCGCCCCGTGGAGCGGTCGCTTTTACTCCCTTTGGGATACTGGCTACGCCAAAATCCATATCCCCATCATTGCGTCAGTGTCGGAGCACCAGCCGACCGCTTGGCCAGCTTTCTTCTTTGACTTGAACCTCCTCATTTGGCTCTTCCCCGCCGGAGTCTACATGTGTTTCCGCGAACTCAAAGATGAGCACGTCTTCGTCATTATCTACGCAGTCTTGGCAAGCTACTTCGCCGGTGTCATGGTTCGTCTCATGCTTACACTGACCCCGATTGTCTGCGTGGCGGCTGCGCTGGCGTTGTCGACCATCATTGATACGTATGTGTTTGCATCTCGTGGGCCGAGCTCTCAAAGCAAGGCCCAAGACGAGGCGTCCACAGAAGGCCTTCGTTCCACAAGGAACCCGGTGGTTGGAGTTTCGTCTTATATCTCCAAGGCAGTTGTGACGTCCTCCGTCGTCATTTATCTGCTCCTGTTCGTTGCGCACTGCACTTGGGTCACATCCAATGCCTACTCTTCCCCTTCGGTTGTTCTGGCTAGTCGGATGCCGGACGGTAGCCAATTCATCATCGACGACTACCGTGAAGCCTACTACTGGCTTCGCCAGAACACCCCCGATAACGCCAAGATCATGTCCTGGTGGGATTATGGATACCAGATTGGTGGTATGGCGGATCGCCCCACTCTTGTCGACAACAACACCTGGAATAACACCCACATCGCCACGGTTGGAAAGGCGATGAGCTCTCGCGAGGAGGTCAGCTATCCTATCCTCCGCCAGCATGATGTTGATTATGTGTTGGTAGTGTTCGGCGGATTGTTGGGTTACTCTGGTGATGACATCAATAAGTTCCTCTGGATGGTTAGAATTGCCGAAGGCATCTGGCCCGATGAGGTTAAGGAGCGGGACTATTTCACCGCACGGGGTGAATACCGTGTGGATGATGAGGCTACTCCCACGATGCGCAACAGCTTGATGTAAGGACGCCCGAATTTTGCAAATGATACTTTTAAAGCATGTGCTAATGAGACCCGGCAGGTACAAAATGTCCTACTACAACTATAACGCCCTCTTCCAGCAGGGTCAGGCCATGGACCGCGTCCGAGGCTCCCGACTGCCCGCTGAAGGGCCACAACTTTCCACCCTCGAGGAAGCGTTTACCAGTGAGAACTGGATCATCCGTATCTACAAGGTCAAGGACCTCGACAACTTGGGCCGCGACCATAACAGCGCCACAGCCTTCGAGCGGGGCCACAAGCGGAAGCGCGCTACCAAGAGGAAAGGACCCCGTGTTCTGCGAACCGAGTGAAGGTGGAATCTGTGATTCCGCCCATCTTTGGTTTGTGGCCTCGTAAGGGACAGATGGATCCCTTCTCTCTGTTTAGCATGTTCCTCAATTCCATGTTTTTGTATTTGAACACCGTTTAAAGCGGCAATGTAGACGATTAGAAAATGCATGTGATTAAAACATAAGCCACCATGTTGAAATGGGCTTTGCGTCGTGCAATGTAATCAAACCCCCAGCCTCTGTAAATCTGGGGCTTCGATGGTACTGCATCTGCAATCAATAAGAGCGTGGTATCTTGAATGGTTTAACTGATACTATACAGATATAAATGCTAATAAAAACAGGAAAAACAACAGAATGAGATGAGAGGCCTTTTTTAACCCGGCACCCAACCGAGTTACTTCTTCACACCACCCCAACTGTACAGCGATGCCGCGGCGCTGGGTCCTGCACAACCCCAATTCACCATCACTTCACACTTCGTAGACTCCAAAAAGGAATCCTACATTTCCTACCTTCCTAACACGCTGAATCCCCCACCCCCCTTTCAAAGTCCACACGCAGGTAACGCCAGGCAATGGAAACACAATTCGCCACGTACTCCGGTACCCGATACATTATCCGATCAACGATCGAATCAAACTATCGAATCAAACTATCGTCCTAGACCGTCAGTGTACAATTCGAGCCCAGACCAACTCAGGATCTAGCATAACCAAGTCGAGGGCGGAATGTACACATCAACGGGTCCGACTGAACGGTCAATTTGCACTCATTGCTTCTGCTGAGGCTTCGCGGGTGTCTCGGGGACCTTCACATCAGAGAATTCATCCTGACCAACTGCGCGGATGGTGTAGGCGTCTTTCGTAGAATGAATTTGTTAGTACGTTATTCCCTGGATCTAGGATGGTTTCTGGTTTGTGATTCCGGGCGGATGATGAGATCGGAGTCGAACGTACAGACGCTGATAGTGAATGCGACGAGACCGAGACCGGTCAAGGCATTCTTGATGAGGTAGGGACGACGGGCGCGCAGGAGGGCAGCCCCAGCGCGGTAGTCCCTGCCGTAGTAGGTGGAGTTGAAGCTAGGATTCTAGGGTTAGTATGGGCTCACCCGTATTGAGGGTAATGAAGAGGGGAGTGTATTGTGTGCGTAGCGAGGAATACGTACATTCCGGAGGCCATCTTTTAATATCTTCTTGTGAGTGTCAAGTAGAAGGAGATGTTCGTATTATTCAAAGGAAATTGAGAAAGTCGTGAGGGGCTGTACAGCGAATAAGTGAGGACTGATTTGACACCGTCGGAAGATTATCGCTAGTCTTTCGATCAAAAGTCTTGGCGGGTTTGGGCCGGATTTAAGGTTGGTTGACGGAGTTAGGACTATACTTGGGTGCATATTGGATGGTTTACTCGACAACAGCAACATATCACTATGACTTGAGAAATTGCATCTCCTTCAGCTGAAATATTTAATTTTCTCAGCCTTAACATTTCCGCGCAATGATTACTCGCCGCTTATGATGTTTACATGCTGGTGGTACAGCCGAAACATACTCATGTTCTCATACATACAGCTCTGCTGCTCCTATTAAAAAAAAAGGTATAAAAATGATAGCCCCGAGCCACAGGCCGAGCGGGACCTCTCGCATATATGCTGAGACTGAACCCTAAACGAGAATCATACTGTACTCCGTATAAGGGTTAGTAGAAGGATTCAAAGGTAATTTCAAAGGCAGGAAGAACTGACCCACTAGACCACCTGGGCAATTATGAATTATTTTTTAAGAATTTTGAAAGTATCAGCCACCATACCCACAACATCAGCTTGGTACTGATCATCACGTGGAATGGTTTTTGCTTCTCTTTTTTCTGTTTTGATCCGCTAGTTGGTTGGCATATCGCGGCGCATGAGATAGCCAGAAGTATATCATCATACCCCCAAGGGCGGTGAGCAATGACCCGAGTGAAGGAAAAGCGAAAAGACGGGCAGAAAAGGGCCGGACGATACGGGCGGCATACAGCAGCGTGACGCTTTCTCAGTCTCTCGCTCCCTCGCTCTTGGTCATGATCAATCATTCTTTCTCCCTCCACCAGCAGCAGCCACTTTTCTCTACGCTAACGCTCTGGTGGTTCCCATACTCAATCGTTGTCATAATCGCTCGCTTAGGAATTGCTATTTTTTCCCTCCAGAACCTCGACATCAACCCACCTCTCTTCTATGCCGTTCATTCTCCCGCAGCGCTTTACAGTCGTATTGCCCGCTTCGTGAAGTCGACCTCCACCTCCCTCCTCTTCGTCGTCCTTCGCCCTCCCGCCACGAAGTACTCGTTTGCGCCGATCCTATAGTATATCACATCCTTGGCGACATACATACAACATTATCTGGTTATATTGGCGAGAACTTGTGGCCTTGAACCTCCTTCTGCAACTGCGGTCTTGGAGAATCGTGCTCGGTCGCGGCAGCCGGGGTTACCACAGGTTTCGCGATTGGCGCATTATTGAACGGTACGTTTTTTGCTGGCCTACAGCTCCATTGATGGCTTGATCTATACCCGATGCGATGCCATTATGGATTCTGGCACACTGTGAAAACTGAGTATCGCTGTTGCTCTGGCGCACTTCCCAGCGCTCAAAGCCGGGAACGAATGATTGCCCGTGAGTCTGGGGTGTGTGATCAAATCTCCGCACCGCCTTCAGACACTCTGCCCTCACAACATCCTTTTTTTTTTTCATTCTCCTTCGTTGATTTGGTCATTCGGATTGATGTAGTGTGAACGGTTTCCTTGACATATCTATAATGTATTTTCCGAGTCTCTCTAACATTTTCTCTTCGATCCATTTAGCTCTTGGTCCGACTGCACTCTCTTGACCGCTGGCTTCCTCTACCCACAAGCATACTGAAATCAACTTCCGTGGACCTCTCATTTTACCTGCCTCTTTTCACCCTCTGAAGCCACCGAAGTCTGTGCACCACCTTCCATAACTAATGGAGGTGGCCGAAAGCAGGGAAACTACCTCGGTCGGTCCGTCCGCCGGGGCAGAATCCACCGTCACCAATGGCGAACACCACCTTCTCATTGCCGAGGCGCTCATAGATGATGATGACGATGGACGATCTAGTAGTCTAAGTGAAATAGACGATGTCTCCGAGAATCTGGCGTTCGACCTTGAGTCTCCTAAACCTGAGAAGGCCATGACGGAGAACGATTCAGAGGCAGAAACCGAGCGCATTGAAGATTCTCCGAATAATATTCGTTTGAGAAGAGACATTGTTGTGAGCGCAACTAATCATGGTCCGAGCCCCAGCAAGCTAGCTCAGTCAACGACATACGAAGAAGTCGAAGACGAGGAGCATGTGCCAGACGATTCGCCCAGCAAGCCCCGCTCAAAAAATAACCAGATCCCTGACCTTGGTGAAGAGACGCCAGAGCTTGACGACTCAGCACTTTCAGAAGGCATCGGAAAGAAACGTAAACGGCACGGCTCTGCTGATGAGCTGGGCACGGAACTTGACGAAGAGGACGAGCCTCCTCAGAAACGCCGCGGCTCACTCCGAAGCGAACTGAGCGATCCTCCCGCTGAGGATATTGTGCTGACGCCTGAGCCCATTGAGGAGGAACCCATTGAGGAACCTTCCAAGCCCAATGAGGAAGATACCCCAGTCGACGATATTCCCGAGTCCGACTTGCCAGCGGCTCCTGCTAAGGGAAGAAGGAGTAGGAAAGGCAAGCGAAAGGGGCGGAAAGCGAGAGATGTCGATGACGATGCCGACATGGCTCTCGAAACTGGCGCGGAAGGCGGTGGGGATGATATACTTGGGGATGAGGAGGCTGCCGAACGCGAGGAAGCAGATGATGGTGAGGCAGCCGCCAAACTTGAAGAAGAATGTAAGTCACTATGTCCTCCCCAACCATGTCACTTTCCCTTCGTGCTAATGTTCGAGTGTAGCAGCAAAACGGGTATCTGCGATGGAATCGCTGGCAGTTTTAGAGCGGGAGTTTGCCGCCTTGCGAGACAAGTAAGGATCCCTGCATCTCTTGGACAGACATGCATTGGTTACTGACTAAGCCAATAGGATCTATGATGAACGAGTCTCTAAACTTAACCGCGAACTCGAAATGCTCAACGGGCCGAACCCCACACATCCCGAGTTTCTGCGGCAGTTGGAGTGTATACAGCGATATCGGGACGCCAAGATCAAATACGAACATACGCTGTATCAGTACCGAATCAAGGCCTTATTGAACAAGAGCCTGGCCGAGCGTGCACAAGCGCATAGTACTTACTTCCAGCGGGTCCGGGACGTTCGTGAAAAACACTCGAGTGCCATCAGCAAGCAGTTCTATGCCATTCAGCATGATCGCTTCAAGACGGATGAAGTTAGTCCGCAGCATTATATTCCATTTCCCACGCGCCGTTCGCAACAGATTGCCAACCAGACTGCCTACAATCAAGAAGTATCCATTCTGGCTGGTGTTGCAAAGTATGTCGGCTTCCCAGCCGCACCTTCACTGTCTGCTGCACGACCGGCGGAGCTTGAAGAGGACATGGAAAAGATGGGCGTAAGTTTGTTCTGGAGGCTCTTTGATCACCATGCTTTAATGCTGACATAATTTGCGGGCAGATCTCCATTGAAACGAGAGTTCCTATCTCACATCATCACTCCACATTACCGCGAGGCGCCATGTCGTCTATGTCGTCGAACGTCTTCCGCGCTGCGGCAGAGGAAGCGTTCCTAGAGCAGACCCCTTGGGCTAACCCACAGCATCCAATCCATCATCAACAACAAATTCCACCAAGACCCCAGAGTCGAGTATTTGAGAACCCTCGGGCACCGGCTTATACCACACCAGCAGCCCAAAAACGTGTAGTGGACATTCATGCTCCCAACGGGTCAGCGTCCACCATTGCCGAAAATTCCTCGGCAAACAACACACCCTATGATCACGAACAGTCCACCCAGGGTCTCGGGCCGTATGGGAATCCCGAATACGACGCCGACCGACGATCCGGGTTCCGATCATTAAGCTCCTCCCCGCTAGATGTACGGAAACCCCATCCATCCTCGTATAACACACTCGACAACCGATCACCACCGCACCGGAATGCAGGCTACTCACCGCCCCCTGCCCGATTAGGGCTCTTCCAGTCAAAACGTGACTCATCACCACCACCGGTGCCCTCCAAACCAGCAAATTCCATACATCACCACGGATCAGCCGGAGTTCTAGGCGGCTCCGGCTCGAACCAAATGACAGCCCGATAGAACCCAGAACACCCAAAGACCGCGCCATGATAGCCCCCATCCTCCTCTCTACCCCACTTCATAACGTCTCACTTATTGTCATTGTCTCCATAAAGGTTTTGGATAGTGTATAGGGTTCCACACGGTGTTGTAGAGTTGCGCTATTATTATTTTTCTTATAATGTATGTACGGGTTAGCATGTATGGCTGGAATCGAAAAAGGGATGAGATCAACTTCACTTACAGTACCCCTTTTGCTTATTTATCTTTTTGCTTGGGTCTTGGCGCATCGTGAATATGGGATTAAATGGATGCATTGCTTGGGCTTGCCTTGTGTTGTGTTACCTTTGTTTTTGCACAATACCTACCTATCTAACTAACTATACGTGCTCTATGATATACATATTGGCCTTGAGCCTTGTTTATTCTACTTCATTTGAGTGCTTACTCCTCGGATATGTATAAGGATATAATGGACAAAAATATAATTAACTAGAGTCATGATCATGCTCTCTCTCTCAATATGTCTATACAATACGCCCACATAACCTACTAGAACCTGGTTAGAATATCGATATAGTGTTCAAGGTATGACACGGTTAGATAAGTAATCTATCGAGATAAGTGGTATTCCTAAATGGCGACAGAAAACACAGAACCTGGCAACCTATATACTAGGTTGATATTCAGTACATGGATGGAACCATAGCAGGTGCATTGCATTTCCGCTGTAAATATGCCCAAACATATAGTAAAGTGATGACTAATTGCTGTCTGTGTATGTGAAACAGAATTGGATCTGTGCACAAACTAGAGGTGACCTTATCTATCAATCCTAATAAAATCACGATCAAGATTCTCGCTCGCTTCGGTTTATTTTCAATGGCAATTCGACAGGCCTTTGAGTGCAGGGATGCCGGGGGCGAGATATTGACGTTTTGGACTGTGGTTGTGATTGTGGTTGCTGGCTGGGCGCGTTGGTTGGGATTTTGTGCCTACGCACCATTTGCGACGGGAGTGCTGTTCTCTGATTCAACTGTGCGGTTCACCAAAGTTGATTGTTGTTCGGGTTGTGCTTGCTGTATGGCTACACTCTGCGGACGCCATCTGGCTAGGACTTTACCAGCGGCGGGTCGTGATTCCTCGTCTGTTATGAAAAGGTTAGCGGAGATTCGTTCCTGGGAATTGATGTCAGTAGCTTACATGTCTGGTAAACATCCTCTACGGCATTGAGACACATTTCCCGCGCCGGGGGCCGGAACATAATCAGATACCTAATCGAGGTCAGTTCAATGTGCTTTTTCAAGTCACATGGTACATGAAATACATACATTAACGATTGGATGCAGAGATTCACTCTCTCGGGGTCTTTTGCGAGACTAGCTACCCGTTTTGTGATGGGGATAGTTACTTCTGGAATCTCACTGAGGAACCGGATGAAGATCTTGATGTCTCGAGAATCCAAATATGGCAGAAATCCGTCCAGAAGCCGCAGTGACCACTGGTCGTAGTGCAATAGTACCGACGATTCCTCATCTTCCTCAGCTCGTTGGGACGCAGTAAATCTCATTTGAATTCGGTCATTGTACCATTCCTCGTTCAACCACATGATTCCAACGTTCACTCGGCCCCTGAAATCTTCGAGTATATATCGATACAATGTTTCGCGTATAGAATCGGATATCGTCGGTCTCCTCGACGCAGGGTCTTGGTCGTTCTTCTTGCGGTCTACCTCTAATCCAGCAGGAGCCCGCGTCGCGAGTCGAGTCAGTAATGTTACCCAGGCATCCCGATCAAAGGTGCTGCCAGCCAGCCTCGAGAAACCCAGGTGTTGTTGGCTCTTTCCTTTTCCAGTATTTGGCGCCACGCCGCTCGATGCCAGCATGTCAAACACTCTTCCAACTGCACTTCGGCCAATCTCTGTAGCCTCGTTTTCCGATAGCGGGGGAGGTTGCGGGAGCACAAACGGACCGAGTGAGACCAGATCGGGCTGAAGATCGGCCGCTTCGGCCGACAGCGCATCTTCCTGCTCTGCCGAGGGTTCGGCAAAGTCCATAGGTTGGTATTCGGGCTCATAGTCATCGTCTTCTTCTTCGCCCACTGCCGGCGGAGGAGGCTGTGCAGCTTGCTGCTTCTGGAGTGTCTGGTACCGCATTCGCACACCCTATTATGACATTAGGCTTGTCTTTTCTCCAAAAAGAAAAACAAAGTTTCAAACATACATCAATGGCCTGATGCAGGGCAGACTGGTCTACCCGAGCTAAAACAGGAACCACAATTTTGACGAGAAGTTCAACCGGTAGTTGCTTCACATCAAAGGAGGAAAGCCCAGCATCTTCGGTTAACGTATAAAGCTGCGAGTAACTGACTGGACCTGGGGGCAGTGGTGACACCTTGATCAATGGAGGAGATTCCGTGTCCAGTTTTGCTCTCTTGGAATTGTCCAGACCATCCGTTGGCTCGGTCGGTAGGCCACGCTTTTTCGAGCTATCGTCGGCGGTTTCTATGCGCGACTGCATCAAGCGCTCGATATGTTGTTGCATTTTACTTGCGAGAGGATGGCTGGGATTTCTAGACCGCCCGTCAGTCTCTGACCCTCAACTTGAAACGGCCCATCCTTCTCACCTTTTCATTATATTGATCATCAGGGCCCTAGCTGTACGCTCCATTGACTTGACGCCAACACGAACCGCAGGTGTCACCGGGGTGCGTGCTTGTCTTGCGGGAACGAAGCTTAGAATCGCATTGATGATCTTGTTGCCGATGGACTGTCGGGTTCGTATCAGGATCGCTAGACTGTTCAGGGTCGCATTCACTAGGAGAGGGTCGCTAACGATGATAGGTCCATTAGTGGGATACGACATGATTGACCTGGGAGACGGTATTGTACGTACCTTGCATCTTCCTGAAAGACTGATAGCAATCTATCGAGGAGGCCCGACGCCTCGGCTTCTAGGTTCGGGAGGGAGAGGAGGGAATGATTTCTGGGAACAATGGCCAAGGACGTTTCATTTTGCTCCGGCCGCTGCGAGTCATCAACAGTCGTTCCTTTTTGAAAAGCAAGTATTTCTTTTGTTTCCTGTACGTACTCTAGGGTCCGTTAGACCGTGGGTCTGGACTTGAACCACCCGCTGTACGAACTTGATACAGCATACTTTCACCGAAAATGGGGATGTATCCCATCTCCGGAGTATATCGTCCTTAATAGCGGTCATATTCTCCCAAGCTGTAGAGTCTTCGGGGTGGTTAATGCTGCAATTATCAAGAAAGTCAGTTCCCACGATTCCCCAGTGACTGACTTAATTTGGTTTCCTGCGCACTTCTACGAGACCTCTCCCCGGAACGAAACAGAAGGGAGAGCACTGGTCACCTACATATGCCTAAACACCAGGGGATATAAACTGGCCGCCGCTTCCACTATATGTTTCAAAGTCACAGTATCCTTTTCCGGCAACTCCAATGTCTCTCGTAGTGTTTGCAATGCCGTCGCAGCTAGCTGCTCCTTTTGAGCCGGAGCCAGCGCTGGGCTGGAGAAGGTCTCCGCTAAGAATTCTGCACCCCATCGTCGTAATTCCAATCGCGATCGCGCACCAATTATAGGAAGGACGCCATTCACAATCTGTGGGTAGAAGGCAGCATCGCCCAGAACGAGAGTGCGGGCGGCGTTGAGCTGGGCGATCTGGTCGACAAGGTTACCAGTCGACTGAGTCATGACGGCTCTGTTCAACCAGCCCAGAGGGAAGATTAAAGAGGGGTCTCTGCGGTTAAGCGAGTCTTCTACGATGAATAGAATCTATAGAACCATGAAAATGGAGAGAAGGGTTCGGGTTAAAAGACGCGACGAGCAGCCTGGCCACGGTACCGCCGGGCCGGGAAACAGGGTCACCGGCCGAGATGGGGCGTCAATGCCGGAGTCGAAAAGTCGGTTCCGGGATGAGGAGCGACAGGGAAGGATATTGCAGTAGATAGCGATTGTTGAGAGAGAAGTTGGATAGTTTCGGGAGATTTCAAGATGACGCCGATGGACTTAATTGGGGAAGTAAAGTCACCTGCAGCGGGCCGGCAATTCGGCCGATCATTTGTCAATAAATCGAGACAACAACAACTTATGGATTCCACCTCAGGCTTCCACCACTACTATTTACTTTGGAGAACCCAGATCAATTAGAAGAAAGACAATTGCATACAACTTTATTAACTCATCTATCAATCTGGCTTTGTCCTTGAAAATAAAAGTGGAGCTATTTGATCTAGCCCAAAGTTGCTTGAGTCCTATGCAAATTAATATACTATTTTTATATTGAAGACACTAGATCTTGCAGGCATATCAATCCTGCTACCAAGTAGTAAACCAGCAAGGTGGTGATTTGCAAGCTAAACACTGTTTACCAGTCATTTACCTCTGACTCAAGGCTCTTAAGTACTAGTACTAGTACTAGTAGTAGATAGTAATATTATACAATGAAAGTAGTTCGAATTGCCTGGAGCTACGATTGATGACAAGGAATGTACCTCTATCATACCTCCCATCTCAATTCCAATCGCGCTGACAAGAAGCGCAACATATCCATCAATTGGCGTCTCGGGGCATAACTTGATTCGTCTCATATGATAGAATGTTGAGCGGTGAATTCTCTCGACTGACTAGCTGTGGGTTTAAAAGGAAGTTCGTTCATCAAGTGCATCGCATGAGTCGTTAATAGAATGCTCGCCCCTCCACTGTCTAGCTTGATATATCTTCGAGAACAGTGTCCAAATGTGCTAAGTGGGGTGCCTCGGATGTCAGCTCTTGCTCGTCGAATTAGTCTACATAGTATATAACGGCCCATCGACACTTTCGCCTTATTGTATTTCTTCAAGAATCCGGAATCCTCGTCTATGCTGCAAGTTTGGGGGTGATCTAGTGGGTAAGAAGCCTTTTATACCCAATAAACAAAAATATCCAATACGTATCTAAATTATGAGATAGTAGAGGGTTCACCCTTAGCATATATGTGAGAGGTCCCGCTCGATCCACAGCTCGGGTCTATCTTCTATCGCCTTTTTTCATAGATAGAGAGCTGGAGTGCGACAAGACGCACGTACTGATGCAGACATCATGTCTCTGTCGGGCAGCCTGCATGATGGCGTTGAAGAACTAACGCCATTTCTCGGATTCCCCACGTGATATACCAGCTTCCGGTGCCAAGATCCAAAAAGAGTAAAACAGAAAAAAAAGTTACGCGGAGTAGGAACAGCGACAGAGCGACAATACGCCCTCCGCCATTGCACTCCTTCTTTCTTTCTTTTTCTTTTCTTTTTTCCTTTAGCCAGAAATCTTTCGAGAGGCGGGACACTCTCACAGTTAATATCACCATGGGAAAGAAATCAAAGTCCCAGTCGGAAAAAGCTCCGCAGACCGAAAAGACAGAAACGTCTATTCCTTTCTTAGCGGGAAATGCCTCAGTTGACCCAACGTTGGCGTCCTTGTTTGAGACGAGCGTAAGTCGGTTGCCTTTGCTTGTCCAGTACCTGGCTAATGTTTGTAACATATTTTAGTCAGGCCCAGTAAAAGCGCCGTCATTGCCCACAACTAGCAATGCTGTTGAAAAACCCACCGCAGGTGACGATATCAGTGAAGACGTGTCGGAGCCTGAAGATGAAGACCAGGTTATGCAGGAAGCATCTGAAGCCTCGAGTGACGCTGGTGGTGAGCCAGCTCAGGTGGCTTCGGAGCCTCCCAGTCGGAAACGAAAGAGGGCTGCGGGAGAAGATCTCGAAGAATCCTACATGCGTCGCATAGCAAAGGAAGAACAGAAGGAAGACGAGAAGCGCCGTGTGGAAAAAGCAAAGAGGCAAAAGGCTGAGGGTGAAGATGAGGATGAGGATGAGGATGAAGCAACATCTACCGAGAAATCCGACGACGAGGATGAGGATAAAAGTTCCGACGAAGATGCAGAGATTGCGATTCCCAAACACGAAACTCTGACCGGCGACGCTCAGTCGTCTAATATTGACAAGTCTAATCGCACAGTGTTCCTAAGCAATGTCTCCAACGAAGCCATCAAGTCTAAGTCTGCTAAGAAAACCCTTTTGAAACATTTTGAATCATTCCTTTCTACACTCCCTGAATCTACAGGGCCGCACAAGGTGGAATCGATCCGCTTCCGTTCTACGGCCTTCGCGAGCGGCGGAAAGGTCCCGAAGCGCGCTGCCTTTGCAAAGCGCGAGGTTCTGGATGAAACTACTCCTAGTACCAACGCGTATATCGTTTATAGTACGGTCCAGGCCGCTCGGAAGGCTCCTGCCGCCCTGAATGGCACTGTCATCCTGGATAGACACGTGCGTGTTGACAGCGTCGCACATCCCGCCCCGGTCGATAATAAACGATGCGTCTTCGTCGGCAATCTCAACTTCGTGGACCAGGAAGGCAACGCCGATGATGAGGAAAAGCCGAAGAAGAAGAAGGCACCGGCCGATGTTGAAGAAGGTCTTTGGCGGACCTTTAATGCTCACACCACCAAACCCAAAGGTCAGACTACCCGCCAAGGTAATGTCGAGTCTGTTCGAGTCGTTCGCGACAGTGTCACCCGTGTTGCCAAGGGATTTGCCTATGTCCAATTTTACGACCAGAATTGTGTGGAGGAGGCCCTGCTGCTAGATGGAAAGCACTTCCCGCCCATGCTCCCCCGGAAGCTACGTGTCATGCGAGCTAAGAAACAGCCAAAGAAACGTGAAGCCGGTGGTAGTACTCAAAGCAAATCGCTGCGGGAGGCGGACAAGACCCTTCAAGGACGCGCTGGCAAGCTTTTCGGCCGAGCGGGTGCGGCCAAGGTCAGGGCAGATGCTGCGAAATCCATTTCCAAGAACTCGTTAGTGTTCGAAGGCCACCGAGCGACGGATGATGGGTCATCGCGCATCCGCGTGAAGACGAAGAGTCGTGGCAGCAAAGGCAAGCCGAAAAACCGCAGCAGCAAACGAGCGGCGGCGTACAAGGCAGCGGGAGGGAAGAAGAGAAAGACTGAATAGTAGACTGAGAATATGAAGTAGACTGTTCCTCATGTATGTATTTTACAAAAGAAATGAACCTTTCAAAGAACGACCTACGGGAGTTACTACACCTGCAATGATTAGAAGGACAATCTTCAATACCCTTACTATGTATGAGACTAAATGTACCCAGGGCTCTGACGTCATCCACGAAATCTAGTCATGGGCCTTTGGGCTAATCCCAATCGGTTAAAGAAGGCGACTTACGTAGTACTAGAAGGTAGGTACTTGCTTTACTACTTAAGAACACTGCTTCATCTTGTATTGACTACAGTGTCTTACTACAATTGTCATCCTCGAGATCTTTCCCTTTTGTCAGTTGACAGTAGCACCACTTGGTCTCTCAGGACGGGTCAATATTGTACAGTCGTCGATCGATCACCACTCAAGCCAGATCCCCCCACCCGACGCGGGGTGTAAACACGTTTATTTCCCTTTCTCGCCCGCAACAGAGGGAGACAACGTGTGGGAGTGAGTGCAAGAGCCACAAAAGAACTGCATCGAATCTATATGCACCGTTTGACTCAGTGAACTTGTAATTGACCCGGTTTCATTATTGTTTTCAGCTTGACTTGGTCGCGGTGGAACTCACATTCAGCTCGGTGCCTAGAGGGTGGATCATTACCTAGAGCAATCGTCAAACCAGCTGTCCACGCCTTTCGCTGATAACAATACACAATTCATCTAGAACGTGCTTTTCCAGTGACTTTGATTCTGTCAGCCTTTGCGATATAGTCACTCTTCCATATCGCACCATTCCTAACACGGGGTCTAGACCCACTTACTTTCTAGATGATGCTCCCCATGGTTCCTCGCTTCCGTGGACTCAGACGCAGACAGTCGAATTCCTCTAACGACGAGCCCGAGCCTCAATCTAATATGGGCAACCAAAACAGCACTGCTGATGACAACCATGAGCCGACTGACTCGGAGATCTTCTACCCCGAACTCTACGATGTGCTTAAGGTTCGGTATCTGCTGCGATGGAAGATAATCCCTGAAGGGCTCCCCGTCGAGATTGTGGACCTGATCGTGGATGCGGCCGAATATTGGCCCTCCATCGAGGCTACATTGGACCAAAAAAGAATTATTCCCCAGGACAGAGATCAGGTGTTGGTCAGGACAGCACCACTGTGCTATGATGAAAAGGTATTTTGCATACTCTCCAAGCGTTTGAACCTGGCATATCTCTTCACTAGCCTTGACCGCTGACATCGCGTAGGCATTGGGAAGTGACTCGCCTAAAGTGCTCCCTCACCGGACTATTCATCCTTGTCGGAAGATTGTTTTCTCCATCGCCTCGCATGACCAGGGCTTTGCTAACAGCGGGCACGGTACATTTGACGGATCCTATACTTGGTTTGACACCGAAATTGTCGCCTCCGAGAAATTGTCAACGTCTGGCAATTCGTCTATTCCCGAACGCGATGCGGACGGGGTTCGGTTTGGGCATGATCATCCTCTTCTCCTGCCCAGCTCCCACAAACTCCAGGCGAATCGAGTGGCAGTGATTGGAACCCAGCATTATCAGATTACCTGGCATCATCTCGACAACATCGGCGCTGATTCAGCGGAAGCGGAGGAAATTCAGCATAACCAAGGTCGAGGACGAGCTACGCTCGACGGAAGTCAAGTCCGTAACTTGCAGATTGGTGATACAATCGCCGTCTGGGGTCGAGCGCGGTTTGGGGCGTGGTCGAACCATGTGGAACGGCTGTCGGTGCGGGTATTTTGGGCTGTGTAAAGTTGGTGACGTTTCATTGTTCTCTACGTCTCCCGGCTGGACTGGTACATACATACATACAGAGCATCAGTGAGAGGAATGCTGTGCTGATTCAATTGTGGTTATGTATACGATAGTAAATAGATATCAAGGCAGGACCTTTGAGATATTGTTGGATAACTGTGTTAATGGGGCTACTTACGGATTGCATGTAATTCCTAGTATTTTATTTACTTATTTCCGATGACGAATGAAGGTATGAATGACATACTTGACTTGCTTTTGATCATATCAAATGGTCATGGGATCCATGATTATAGGATACGATCCCAATTCAGGAATAGGGTGACGGCCTTTCGAATCAGGCCGCCAGCAATAACCTCATTCCTTTGAGAAATCACGCCATTGCGCCAAGACTGCGACGATCCACCACTCGCGCATCTGAATATAAGGTCCTCCCTTCCTCCATCGCCAGATGCCTTGAAGGATCCTCTGTTTTTGCGGTCGAAAGAGATAACTTGACAGTCGCTCAGTCTCTGGACGCTGAGACTTCGATCTCGTCTTCGTCCTTCACCCCTGGACTCTTTCTTCGTCTTCGCCTTTTCACCGGCCAAGACACGAGACGACCAACATGTGACCGACGGAAAAGCGCTCAAGGATTTGCCTGCGGGTGGGGCTGATGTGTCAGTTCGAGCAGCAATTGGCTTATTTGAGGGAGGATAATCGGCCACTACGTACCAAACTACGGTTACGAGGGTATCACCGCCTGATACGGGTCTCAACTGAGGATGAGGAGTTGTATTCCGTACATCTCGCCCGAGAGCGCCGCCCTTTCGGCCTGGAAGCCGCGTTCCCGCACAAACGATCCTCAAGGTTGCAGTCACGAATGACTGACTCTGGCTGCTGTCATTCGCTCTGTCCCGTCCGCTTGGTCGTTTTACTCTCCATGTGCCTTCCCCTCTTGTCTAGACCAAGGCACAATGACGACGCTCCCTGGCTTGTTTTGCCGAGAATTACACCGGTGTTTCCATACATTCCACCCCTGGCTATTCTCCCATAAATTTCGGCGCTCTCCCAGCATCTTCCCACCCATCTTTCCTTAATCGGGTTTCTGCCATCGCAAACTGTGCACTATTTCTATGCCACAAATCGCTTTGTTTTGTCCCTGATATCCTGGAACGTCAACACACGTCACATATACGGCCTCAGAAATGAATTCACAGAGGTGTGCCGCCGTCGTTGTGGGAGCCGGCCCCGCGGGTCTCGCCGTCATTGGGAATTTGTTGGAGAAGCAGCTCGGGGGGAAGATCGCCTGGATTGACCCATACTTCCAGGCTGGTCGGGTGAATCGCAAATACCGCGAAGTGCCCAGGTGAGTGTTTCTGTCTGGCAGCCTGACTTTCTCGACGGCGTCGGATGAGGAGCGCTCGACTGACTTGTTTTGGTGCCGATTCAGTAACACCAAAGTCGCCCTGTTCCAAGCGTATGCCACAGCCGTCCAGCCCTTCCGCTCCGTCATCAACAGCACCCGTATTCCTAGTCCATTCTCGACGATGGCCAAACTCGATCAGGAGAAGACCTGTCACCTGCATCATGCGGCAGACATGGTCCGTGCCTTGAGCGAGGGCATCACCAAGATGGACCAGGTTTATGCGTGTCGGGGGTATGTCACGGCTGCCAACCTGGTAGAGAATGTCAGTATAAAGTCCCGTATAGAGGGCCGTCCCAGGAGATCTCGTGCCCTGTGTAGCTAATCGTTGCCCTTGTCGCTCTTAGACCTCGTCTTGGACCGTTCGGATCCAACGCGCGGACCACCTCGACGAAGTTGAGGTCATTACCCCTAGACTCATCTTGTGTACGGGATCGTCGCCGACAGAGGTACCGATCCCGGTATGTGGACAGCACATCGAGAGGTTGGATCTAGATGTAGTGCTCAGACCTAGTGACCTCGTCTCGTATCTTCCCCGCAATGAGCCCCGGACTGTGGGGGTTGTCGGAGCGTCCCATAGTGCTATCCTGGCGCTCCTCAACCTGGTAGATCTGGCCCACAGTACCCACCCCCAGCTCCGCATTAAGTGGTTCACCCGGCATCCGCTGAGGTATGCGGAGTACATGGATGGCTGGATCCTGCGGGACAACACTGGCCTGAAGGGGTCCGCCGCCGACTTTGCCCGGCAACAGCTGGAGGAGGACAAACTCCCTCATTCTGAAGCTGGTCGGTTCATCACCAAGGTGGACTGTGGAGGCGGCCAGGAAGCGGCGCAGTATGAGCGGCATCTGCCGTCGTGTACTCACCTGGTGCAAGCTGTAGGATTTACTCGGGACCCCCTTCCTGAGCTGTCAGTGAATGGCCATCTCCTCGACCCTGAATTTGACTCGGTGTCCGGTGGTTTCCATGATGCGACTGGCCGTGTCGTCCCGGGTTTGCATGGAGCAGGAATTGCGTTCCCGGAACGAGTGGTCGATCCCTACGGCAATGTCGAACATGCCGTTGGGTTCTGGAAGTTTATGAAGTTTATCAAGAGAGTCAGTCCCCAGTGGACGGCTTGATGGTGGTTTTCTTGCACTAATGATTCCCCTTTGCTTTTACCTTGATTTCTTGGTATTATTAGCGTCATCAGTTGTGGATAGATTTCCATTATAATATGCAAAGTATTTTTTTTTTAGACTGGACACTTCTACACCGTATCTGATTTGGACTCTTATAACTTCATCCACCCAGCCTTCCGTATAGCCACAGATGTTCCTGGCAATAACATTTCCCAGGAACTATATCAGATTCTCTTGCAACCACAAACTCACACGAAGATATGGTTCATGAAACATACAATATACCTGGGAGATACCGAACAAATCCGGGCGCCGTCTGACGGGGAGATCAAGAACTTCGTACCCACTTATACATATTGCATTCCCTCTGCTACCATGGATGGCCCTGGAAGCAATCTGTGACTATCTGTGAAGTTTCTCAAAGCTCCATGCTCAAACCAGCAGTCAAGAAGTATCTATGAGAAGCTCTAGGTACACAGGTTTCGCAACATAGGCTGTTCCAAGACAGCCCAACGAACGAAGGCAGTGAGTGCATGAGCCAACGCCGGGCAACGACTTAGTAGAATTGGTCCTCATCCATAACCATAGTACATTATTAAACACACCACACATAGCCCACCACTTGAGACCTCTACTTTCTTTCCCCCTACATTTCTCAATCTCCGAATCTCCAAACCAAACTATGACCTCCGACCTCACCACCGTCAAATGACCCGTTGCCATCCGTCCAGATCACATCGCCTCGAGCCCAGAACCCTCCGCATCAAACAACATACCTGCAGCCTATCCCAAGCCGACTTCTCTGGCCGAGATGTTTACGGGTGGTCTTGCATCTTCGCCGTATTCTTCTTCTTCTTCTTCTCCCTGTTCCAGGTCCGGTGTTGATCATGGAGGGAAGAAGTCGTCTACGACATAGGTGTTGGGTACGGGGTCTTAGGTAGAACAACCCTGTCATCGTGTCTCTCCGAGCCACATTTCAGGCCATGACAATCGCAGGCAGGGCCAATTAAAAGCCGAGTATGACTTGGACTTGCGTCAATCGCGAAAATCCACTTCTCATGCATAGGCCAATAGGACGCTGATCGCGACGACTCGTCCCAGGATGTTGACGCGTTGTGGGAAGGATGCCTGAGATCATTCGGATATCGTCGGCCTCTGACTGTCGGGCAGGCTTATGTTATCAAGATAGTTACGCAGGCTTTTGATCGATGGGGTATGGTTCTTACATTAGTAAGTCTTCTTGCGAGGCCAATAAGGCATAGAGAATTGAATATAACCTTTGAGAACTATACACTCTGTTGGGCTGAGTTTGCATCATGATTGGGTATCTGGCTCGAAATGAAGACGACACTAGCATGTTTGCGATGAATGCCAAGTAAATTTATGTCGTAACAAGCGTCAACTGGTTATTTGGGCTGTTAAACAGTTTACGAATCCTCCTGCTCCTCTAACATAGCATCAATGAAGTCCCGTTCTTCTAACAGAAACTTGCGTGCCGAGGCAACGTCAAAGTCACGATTTGCCTTCTTTTGCTGCCGTATTACCTTCAACTGATGACGCACTCGCTCCTCCAGGTTCTCCAGCCGATACTCCACATACTGATAGTAAAGCGTATTCCTGGGAGTTATAGGCAACAGGGGTCTGATACTTGTCTCATCGCGAGCAAAGGGCGATTTAGGTCTTAGAGATGTGACCATGCTGATACGTTCCCGGCCACCAAAGGCTTCGAGAGCTTGGTGCTCGATATAACGACCTTGCATAATGACAGCCGTGCCCTAGATTACATGGATTAGCCGTGGGGCCGTCCAAATCAGAATAAAGTCTCTTACCATGGCAGGTCCACGGAACTTTAGAACTTTGCCAGTGCCTGTCCGGATAACCGTCTCGCCACCGATCATCCCGGCGCAATCTGACAGCATGGTGACACATACGAATGCGTAGCTGTCAGAATGCCACTCAAAAGCAACCTTATCATCTGCATCGCTGTCGGGTGCGCTGGTAGTTGCAGCGTCATCACGAACTGAGATATTGACATGTCCAATATCTACATCCATAGCAGGAACCAGCTCGATTCCAGCTATATTAGAGAGTGCTCCCAAAACCGCTGGGCTGTTCCAGGCGTCATATATAAATGAGGACTTCCTAGGTGTGTATTAGCAGCATTTCTGAAGAGAGAGCGAAGGGAACAACGTACTCTGGGCAATAACCTCGGATCATATTGGTTGCTAAGTCTGAACCAACCTGATACTTCTCCAGTACTTGCCGGCTGAATATCTCGGCCCTCATATGCCTAATTGCCTCTACAGTGACAAGTGTGAACGGCTCCGAGATGGCCGTGGACGTGATGCCCACACCCTCCAATCCGATATCCTTCATGGTGATTATCCGTTGAGGAAACTTGAAATTGACATGTTTTTCTGCATCAAATGGTGCCCGGTCTGGGATCTGCGCACCTTTAATGAGAGGCTGTGGGAGAGGTTTCCGGGGACTCATGGGTCTGTCCTGTTGAGGGCTTGGAGCCACAGCTGGTGCAATAGCAATATTCGTCATGCCGGACTGTTCTTGGATTTGGGACGTGATGAAACAGGGTAGGCAGAGCAGGTAGGTTAGACCAGAACAGTGAATTTGCTGGTATTCTCGCGATGGTACCTTGGCTTCTTATCTTTCTCGGAGCACTCAACTCCACATAGTAGCACATACGCTAAAGTACAGCTTCAGCTCCGTTTCCGAAGTTTTCACTTCAACATCAACACACTCGCATCTCCTCCAACCACATTACAATTGTGCCCTTTTCAGAACCAATCACATCCCGAGCGTGTAGTTTGTTCATAATGGGAACGCTTTGCTAACCAGTCCAAGGAAATGAGCGAGAAGTGTGGTTTAGTGACATGGAAAGCACAAGGTACTCATCAGCACCCGGTGAAGATCTCATTCGGCTTGCCTCTTTGCGTAAGAATTACCTGAGCGTATGTTTCACCGGCTCATATAGAGACGGAGCTAAGACCTTTGCTCGTTCATTTGACCGGATCTCAGCGACGCGTGAACTTTCCATAGCCAAGCACTTATCTTTCCAGTCCCTAGCATCATGATTTCTCACTTCTTTAAGGATAGATGCGAGGGATCAGTCATGCATCTGAGTTGTTCTATCCAGGAAAATGATAATACACTGTTCCCGGTTCTGGACCATTGCGGTGTCTCCCCAACCACTGCGTCAATAGCCGTATGAGAGTGGGACCCTGGACTATCCTAACCTGGTATGTATTGTGTGGGACGGTGCCACACTTTTTGCCCCTCTTGTACTTAGCGGAGGTCGCGGAATCCGCTGAAGAGTCCGCCATCTTCAGCACCGCTGAGGTAAGAAAGATCCAATATCTGTGTGGCTTCATGGGGGCCATTGGGTACAGAATTTCAGATGTCCGGTTCTCCCTATCCACAACCAAGAGCTAGGGCAGGGTCAGAGAGGCTTCAGAGTATATGCGAGAATCGGAAGCAGGATCTGCTGGGGTAATTATGAAGAATATCTGACTCAGCCATTGCTCTCACTACCTGAGGCATGAGCCTGGTTGATAGTCTGAAAAAGACCACCAATGGAGCATTGTTTGCTTGGGACACAGACTCAATTGCAATTTTGCTGACAGATTGACGGCTGCAGTGGTAAATATGACGAGTAAGAGATGGTGAACTATACATAGATGTTGGTGTGCTATGGATAGTCTCTGGCTCAGATCCCTCTTACGACTGTCAACTCGCTCTTGCTTTCTTGTCAGTTAGCTGTAACATCGAATCGGTGGTATTGTATGTATTTAATCCGGATGATGCGGTAAACCATTGGCTTAGGGTCCCGATCGTACAGCGCTTTTTGTCTATAATGAAATTGCTACATAATAAACACTCGTGGTTCTGGGAGAAGTGCGGGCCAATTTGTATAACTGCTTCGCGCCCATATCTTCTCAAGAAGTATGAGAGCTTGCTGTAGGTTAAGGAACCCATTACGATGAAATTGCTTTTCCAAGAACTGCTTGAAATATAGCCGATGCTCATCCTTCAAGCTCTCTGATGCGGCAATGAACGTGGGCCATACCAGGGAATGTTCTCCTAATGATCCCTCTGGGAACAACTCTAATGTTTCCTTGAATCGCTCTATCTTTTCAGGGTCTAATGTGCCATGAGGCCCCGTTAGAGCGCGCTCTAGGTATATGTCATAAGCTTGCTGCCGAAGATACGCATTCAGATAGAAGGTGAGTGCATGGTCGGGGTGGAGGTTGCCATTGTAGTGTAGGCAGTCAAAGCTCTCTTTGGCATGAGCCACAATACTACGCACACCAGCTTCCTCACTTAGTAGTGGTGCAGCGTAGACACGAAACCTGGCCGGATTAATGACGGTACTCAGCAACTCCTGGAGGCTTTGGATGCTTACTTGCGTATTTGCCGCAGCAGAAAATCAGTCATGTCACCGTTCCCAAGACCGCCCTCTCCACCGACCGCATCGAGAGCAGATTGTAACATGTTAAACAGAATAGGGAAGTCTGAGCATCCGTTGACCATGACCCCTACCAGGAGTGTAATGATCGCAACGAATATAGACTGTTTTGTGAGCATGTCGTACTCGTTCAAAGAGCTTCTGCTTTGTAGCCCTAAGATTGCCTTTGCATAGAGCTTATCCGGTCTGACTGATAGTGTCCCTCTAGTTTTGTGAGAGAGATGGAAGGCTGATACAGCCAACACCGCATCCATAACCATTTTGTCGGATAACGCAAAAGGCAGAATCAAGTACCGCCATCCATTGTACTTGTCATCCATAACCACCATTTGAGGTGCAATATGATGGGAGACTTGAAGGGTTATTATCCTATATAAACTTCAATCGGGTCTATCGATGAGGCTTACAGTAAGTCAACAGGAATTCATTGCTTGGATCCACTAGATCGATACTTAGGGGAAGGGCGGCCATTGCATCAGAGCTACCAGTAGATGCTTCTGGTGAATCGGGGCCCAGTCCCGCTAATGCATTGGGTTCTGCGGGGTCATTTGTGACATTGCTGGTCCAGTCGAATTGCCCCTCGGAGGAACCACCACGGTGAAAGGACGGTGAGCGTTGATGCTGCGGGAGATCACCCGACCATGTACTGCAAGCCCAGTTAATATGGTCACCTTCGGCGAAACTATCATCAAAAGAAAAACATACCCACCCTGAGGTGAATCGCCGTCTTGCCAGGCTATCTTACCTTGGTTCCCCCCGTCGCGGAACCTGTAGCGGATCCCAAGCCCACTGCACAGTATGCCTCTGGACGCACATTTACCACAGTGTGGCTGTACGCGATCGCAATGGATTCGGCGCTGGGAGCATTCATAGCAGCCTGCACACATATCCGGTCAGAGAACCCACAATATATTTGGTCTGTCTAGTTCCATCTATGCGCACCTTTTACCTTCGGAACGTACCGACGTTTTTGACGTGGCATATTGACTGTTGGGTCTGGGCGTTTTGATTGAACAATAGGAACATTGAATCAAAGCATCATTGACAATAATCCAGGTTGGATAGTCAGGCAAAAGCTACTAGTATGTCTAACAATGCAGCAAGAGAAGCGGAGCGACTTTATCGGGAACGGCGGGGTAACTCCGATATTCGTGATAGATTACTCCAAGTTCAGATCTGGGTCATTCGTTTAGATAAGTCGCGCTTAGCCCAAGGTTTGCACATTAATGGAGGTCCTCGGGTAGAAGAGAACATACCTGTAAGATGTCTCTGTCAGATAATGTCCTTCTGATCCAGATTCGATAGTAACTGGTTGCTCTCTGCATCAGGCGCGGTTGTTGGTCGTGAAGAAACGATGCAGACGGCGACATGTTCCAAAGGTGGCCATTTCGGGCTTAGTTGGGTAGACGTGCTCTCATTTAACTTTCCTATTCTGGTTAGATCCTTTCCCCCGCATATTAAGTGACACTCCCCAGGATTCAATCCGAAGATCTACCGATAAGTATATCTAGGGGAATAACCCTATGAAGAGACATGCTTTGAGGCTATCCACTTATCATCGTTCACAGCTTATCTGGGCATCCCGTCCCATATACACACATCATAGTTGCTACCAGCTCGAAATTACCAAGGAAATGACAGTCTTCCGTGTTCTCATCCAACCTTGATCCACGTGGTGAGCACCAGTCAATTCACCATATTCAAGAACCATGAATCTGCCATTCCCGGTCCGTCGCTTTTTATTATAGACATGATTTCTAATAGGGCTTTTAACCTCATACCCGCATACCCTTTTGCATCATCGACATTACGATTCTCCTCGCCCGAGATCAGCCCGCGGCTCGTTCTACTCAGCCTATACCCACACAAACCAACAAGTCACAAGAATGAAGAACTCAGTCAAAATCCCAAAAGTACTGCTGATCACACCACCATGGATCTCTCAGCATCCCTCCTCGAGTTTACCAACGATCAATCGCGGCGTCTAAGTAATCACTTATAGATGCGACATAGCGGACCTTGAGATGCTCGAGATATATTGCAGGAGACCTGGAACTTACCACAATTCTTCTCACAGGAAACTATCTCCCAGCAAAAGAATAAGTTCCTAGTCTGCGATACATACAACTTCACACCGCCGGTTGCAACCGCATCGTAGCCACCCCTCTTCGAGGACAGCGATATATCATCCTGTACGGCGAACGGTGTTCACCTGTAGGTGGTTGTTTGGTCTCTCCCCGCATGTAAGCTGACAACGTGAGTCCACAAATTGCCGAATGGGCCATGATTACTTTGCTCGGTTTCCAACATCATTATAATCTCTACGTGGATTCCTCTGCGTGCAGCGCGAATTAATCTTGAAGGACTAACTAGTGTTCGAACATTGGCACAACAAAAACCCCGAACCGTGAGCTATACCTGAACCAGAGGAAGACGTGGAGGATTCTGGCAGTTTACGAATGTGCGTATACCATCCATCAATGCGAACAACAGATAGGGTTCTCTTATCGTGTAAGGGAGCATTCTTGGATACGGGTGCACTGGGCATCAGTTCGCACACTTAGCGAATGCGCTCTGGATGGTAACACTTTCACACTACACGAACGCCCGGCTCCAGAGTCTAAGCGTGATAGCTCCTACGTTGATGCGGAATTTGGGTGATCCCAATGACATTCCATCCCGATGGCACCATGGCCCTGGTCAACTAAACGTGTTCCTTGCCAGTCTTGATCTACTGGTTATTACTCTGCCCCTTACCTCGCTAACCCTGGGCATGATCGCTTGCGAACAGTTCCAAGCTCTCGGGAAGCGGAATGATTTGGTCAGCCACGTTGGACGGGGCCCAATTGTAAACACTGATGACCTCGTCGCTGATTTGAATAGCAGCACAATCAGAGGAGCCGCGGTTGATGTCAGACCCTGAAAATCCACTGTGGAAGGCGAAGAGTGTATCCGTATTATTATACCCCATGTTGGGGGAAATTCGACTCACCACAATGAGTGTCTTCAAGGTTCTGGCTCACAATCTTAAGTATATTCACTAGGGTCCCCGTGCTGTACTCCAAAAGTAGACCATCCATCCGACGAAGCCTCGCAGATGCAGCCAATAATCCACTAAAAATTCCCCTTTTCATCCTGTCATCAAACCACCACCTTCACAGTCACATTGGCAATTTCTATTTTCTCCTCTTAGCCATGTCTTTACCTAGCTACTACTAGTGCTTAAAATAAGATGAAATAAAAATAAATGAATCAGAATAAACCCATCATCCACATTCAGCCTCAAAAGACAAAAATAGGACACACCCTCGGTTCCGGAGAAACATCCCCGCCAAGGGCCAGAACGCCGTGAGAAATTTCATCCGACAACGCCTCGCCCAAGCCAACCACGGGTCCCAAACCTAGTGTGAAAGCAGTAATCCAACAAGAAACTATTGAACTATATTCATGGTCCATCTCAAACCAAAGCTTGTTCGCCTCCACTTTTCACGTTCGTTCTGGTTACATCAAGTATTTTTTCTGGAAGTGGCCACGGGGGCTATATTTATCTTTTCTATTTTATTTTATTTTTGAATCCTATTATCTCTGGAATAATCTGACAATTAAATCGTTGAGATAGGCAGGGAAGCTTGTTGCCTGCGGTTAGTTCAGTACTAGTTAGATTAATGGGTATATTACGGGTCGATGATAGGGTGAATGGTTGATTGGGATTGATATCGAATTAATTGGATCCCAGTTAATAAAGGATTGGGAGCTGAGATCCTTTCTTTCATTGTTTATGCTAGTTTATGTTTATTGACGGTGTTACATTCAGCTTGTACCACCAGGAACAGCCACAGGGCTGCTTCACGAATCCTTGTGTATGTACGGCGGAAGCCACCGGATAAACCCTGAGACTGACTTACTACATATGGAATACATGCATATGTCAAAACTGTCAGCACATGGAGCACATACACTCATTAGTCAATCATGTGCTCAGTGTTCCCAAAGTGTTCACAACTTCATGAATCAAGACAGACCAGACGGGCAAGTTCTGATGGTTTCTCCCTTTCTCAGTACAATAATTAGCCTGTAATTCCCACTGATCCACCAACCACTCTCGAAGTTTTCGCCCCTCCCCCCGCGAGAAGACAAACGTGAGAGACGACCATTCAAAAAAGGGAAGGTCGACATTGAAGTGTTCTGTTCTTACCAGTTCAGGAGACGCGACCTGTTAGTACTTTAGTACGCTATGGCTTATAGGTTCTATTGGGAAGCGGAGTCCTCCGTAGGTAGAAAAAAACGGCCTTGAGAACTAGCCGGTAAAATAGTGCTGATCCCCCTCTCATCGACAGTGCATCGTAATAATATTCAGACTCCGCTCTGTCTTGGTCTCGGTTCTTATCGGCCAATCTGCAAGGCGAGTGATAATCTATCACAGTCAGGACGGATGATCGCGATCTCCTTGATGTTCCGATGCCGGAGAGCGAAACTGGACTTCAGGTTTGTCCCAGACCTGTCTCAGGGTTCCTACGGGGATTGTCTGACATTCGTGCCCCTTGAGGCAAACGAAAAACAAGGCGTTGGATAAGAGTATAGTACCTACGGGGCTGGACCGTATTTTGGTTTTTGGTTTTTCTCGGTAAGGGGGATTTTTAGTAACATGGTGTCATCGGTGTTTTCTGGACAGAAACCCGTGTTCTCGCGTCAGGGTTAATTTCCCGGGACAGGGTACCTTATTGGTGTAAGGCGGGTGGACCCTTGGGTTCCTTTTCAACGGTCCACGACTACTATCAAGTAGTTGGATTGTCAACCTACCGATGGGACCCACCACCGACTTGTACCTGGCTCGAAGTCGGTACTCGTCCCATGCCCAATTTTATGGAAACCACCCCATAATTGCTCCGAAATCTGGTTCTGATTTATCTCCCAAATTGCACACCATTGTACTCCGTACACTAGATACGCAAAACAAAAACGATTCAGCTGATATCCATGGAAGGAAAACTTGATGCGATTGCTCGCATGCTGGCTTGGTCATTCATTACAGGATACACATATCTACATACTAGTACATACCGTACAAGGCCCCGGGGCTCAGTCCGTCCGGGTAATCACGTAATAACAATATTTAGGCCAAAACACTGCCCAGGCAAAGAAGAGATAAGAAGCGTGACTTTACTCACGTCCGAGACAAACAACTTCGATACCCAAGGGTATAAAACACGTCCGCTCAGTGAACGAAAAAAAAAAAAAACAGATATAAAAGAAAAGAGAAGACCGAAGAGAAACGATAGAAGAGTAGTTAACTATCTGATTAATAAAGTATGGTCAGATCGCCGACTGGAGTCCGTAGGAGGCTCACAGCACGGCAATGGCACCCAGAACGATCGCCAGCATGCCGCCGGAGACGCGGTTAACCATACCGCCATTGACGCTGGCAACGGTGGTGGTCGAGGCCGAGGCACTGGCGGAGGTAGTGCTGGAGGCCTCAGTGGAGGTCGAGGCAGAGCCAGTCGAGGTGCCGGTGGTGCTGGCAGAGGCGCTAGTGGACTCGGTGCTGGTGCCAGAGGCAGTAGCCGAGGCAGTGCTGGCAGTCGCCTTAGTCAAGGTGGTGTGAGTCTCGGTGGCGGACTTGGTGTTGGTGGTCGTCTCAGTCGCGGACTCGGTGGCAGAGGTAGTCTCAGCGGTAGTGGTGGCAGACGCGGTGGTCGACGGGGCGGCAGTAGCACCGGCCACGGTGAACCGCGGGAGATAGTTGACCTCGCTGGTATCATCGTCGTTGAAGATCTCAATGGTGTAGTCAGGCTGAGCGGCGAGATTGGCAGGGGGTGTCCATGTGAAGCTGCCCGAGTTGGCAATGTTCTCTGAAGACACCGTCAGCATACATGAACATGGAACATCACTACTCATGATTCAGGGAGACTTACTGGCAATGGTAGTACCCGTGTTCGCAGTCATCACAGCACCCCACTGGAGCTTCAGGGAGACGGTGCCCTCGGTGGTAGGCTTCCAGGTGAGCGTAGTCGGCTCACCAGCCTCGAACGAATAACCCTCGGCGGGAATGTTAAACGGGTTGGCGCCGGTAGCAGCCGCAGCGAGAGACGCCATGGCGCTGAGAGTCAGGTAGAAGATGGAACGCATTTTGATGAAATTGTTCTTAAGGCGATTGGATAATCCGAAAAGGGTAATTGAAGATGTCGAGGTAAGGTTGATGTTGATATGATATGCAATGCAAGTGAGATACAGCGAGACGGCAAAGCCTTCGACGTAAGTTTGATTATTAAAGGAGTGAACTCAGTAGGATAGTAAAAAAGAAGGACTATGCGTAGATATATACGCAGGAACAAGGGTACCCAGAAAAGGAAGGAATGAAGGCTGTCCGATTTCGAGAAAAGGGAAAGAGAAGGAGGGAAAAGGAGGGACCACACGACGGCGTGACTACCTTATGTACTAGTAAACTAGGAGCATCTTGGGGTCGATGACAGGAAACCACGAGGTCTGGAGCCCAGTGCAGGTCATAATAATAATCACAATAATACCTCAGGGAAGGGGCAAATTAAACCAAGCGCTAAGACCGGCACTAAATCAGTGTCACCCCAATTGAGAGGCTAAACCGATAAAAGGCCGGTCCGGATCCCCTTCTCTTAACTTCATTAGTCCTAAACTAGCGATGGACTTGGAGAACGACTCTTCATTCCCATTGGGGGAGGAATTACTGAAAAATAAAAAGAATAAAAAAAAAGATTGGTTGAGAGATCACCTGCCCAGTGCCATCGGACCTCCGTAAATAATCGGTTAGTACTGTTGACCATTAACAATACCGAGTATCTAGGGTCCGAAGGTCCAGGGAAAGGGTTGGGTAGAAGTTGTTGTATGGTGTTCTAATAATAATTATGGCAAAAGCCGCATCTGAGATCCCACACTCCATCAGAGAAAAAAACAGTTTCCAGAATTTTTCTCGAGATTTTGATTTTTTTTTTTTTTTTTTT